TACCCAAATCCCAATCGTTTTATCCAAACATCACATAAGCAACCTTGGCGCAAGTCGATGTTTGCACTCTCGCAAACAATGCCTCCTGTTCATCCAAGCGTCATTCATGCTAACTGATTTGGGATAAAACATTCCTTCATAATAATTTACTGTTCATTGGTGATTTTTTTAAAATAATTATCAATTTTCTTGGTGCAAACTTTTTTGACTCACACTGTATGCTTAATGTGAATCTTGAAGGGAATTACTCTCAGCTTGATATGCACTGATACATACGGTTGAAACGAACAGTTTGAAATAACATAGATTGTAGCGGTGAAAATGATTCCAGGGAAATGCTACATTTAGAATTGAAGAAATACCTGACATAGCTATGCCAATTATGGAAGGTTATTACAGGGGTTCACTCTATATTAGAGGAAACGAGAAGCAGTATAATTATGAAGAAGGAAAAAGAGAGAAGAGAAGACTTGTCTGAAAGTACGAAATGAATTTAAAAAGAAGTTGGGAAGAATGACTTAGAAGAAAACAGGGATATCTACTAATGTTAGAGATGAGCAAGTACGGTTTAAAAATATTTAGACAGGTATACTGATTCTAACATTCTCACAATCCTTGGACCAAGTGTTTTGCCTACAACCGTCCGATTCGACACAGGTGGTGGTGTTGGTTATTTTATCTGACTGCTAAGAAAGCATAAGTGCTTGTAAGTAAGCAACCAGACGGCCGACGGCTTTAGGTCCTCTCCAAGGGACCTGGTAATGAGGTTTAATGCCTTGCCAAAGGGCACTAGCGCATCGCCTCGGGTTTCGAACCCGGGTCACCGGATTACGAGACCACTGCTCTACCGACTGAGCTATCGTGCAAACATGAAGTTGTAATTCAGGGCAATAATAAATGCATTATTATCAAAATCATCATGAAATTATTATCAAGTTCTTATTTATTTTTCAAATGTACTATAACTGACCAATGAAATACGACTATGTAGTGAACAGTTCATTTATTCACATTAAACTAAGTATGGAATATCTATAGGATATACACAGTTTTCAGCGATCGAGGATACCGTACGTGTGCGAAGAATTGGTCGGTATTTTTAATACGGCAATCTCGATCGTACTGAATTCCAAACAAGGCCAAAATGGCTGAAGAAACTCTCCCAAAATTTCAACTTCTTGATGATGATCAAATGCAAGACTTGCTGACAGCAAGAACACCAAAAAGGGTACGTGAAATTCTCCATAATTTTTTTCAAAAATAGATCTAGTAGGCCTAGATTCTAGTAGTAGGCCTAGTGCTAAAATCCTTCCCGTAGAGATTGCACACATCCCTATGCATTGGCCATTGCGCACTCATACCAAATTGGTCGATGTTTTAATTACCAGAGATTCAAACTAATCTTGCTCGTGATCTTGAAGGTGATACTCAATAAGTGAGATGTCATATGTAAGCGCAGGTTTTTCTTCATATTCCGCACAGGGCCGGCCCACCCTCAAAATTGTAAAAAATCTTGCTTAGACTAGAATGTAGATCTTGTCTACTCTCAAAGATACACTCATAAAAAACAACCGTGCAGATAAACTAGAGAAAGGCCAAGATGGTGTCATAAGTTGACTCTTTTTTTTTCGGCATATAAAGGTATTAATGACTGCTTTAATATTCGAGAACTAGTTGTTTTGATACGCTAAAGGAAAGGTTACAAAAATTGTGCTATTGCTCTCGGGAAGGTTACAATTGGGCTATTGCCCTCGGCACGCCTCGGGCAATAGCACAATTGTAACCTTTCCTTGAGCGTATAAAAACAACTATTTCTCTCAAAGCAGTCATTAATACTATATTATACATGATCGAAATATGATTGAAATGTATATTTATCAACGATTAATGTATAATTGTAATTATGCATGATTGATATATATTTGTAATTGTAATGCATTAATGTTTGTATTTGTTTTAAAGGGACTTTGTAACATTGTTCAGATGAGAGATAGTGGTGCTAAGGTAGTGACTTCAATGCTAGATTTACAATAAAAGATAATCTGAAAATTTGAGCGAAAACGAAACATTATTTATGGTACAAATTGGGAAAAACTGATCCGATCGATTCCTTAATTCTTCCAACTATATTATTACAATTTAATTACATTTTACGTGAATGGAAATCTCACAAAGCAATAAAATGGCTCTACATTCCATTCCAGACATTTAAGTGTTGACCAGGGCTCAAATTAATTTTTTGTCCACGGGGGCTCTTCCAAAATAAAAAGCGCCCCCGTGAGCCTTCTCACGGGGGCTCTTTTAGTACAGACGGGGGCTCTTTTTCCATTGAATTGGTGGTACCCATGAAACTCCTAAATTATTTGCTATTTCATCATTATCATTAATAGTCGGCATTATTTCTCTTACAACTTTACAAGTTATAACATGCAGCTAATGGTCAGATCTCTTCCCTTTGTACGAAATTTCTGGTCCAAGCCCGTATACATACGTATTACTCAATCTGTATAGTGGATATGATCGTCGCAATATAGTATAGTCGAATTGGAGTTTCCTTTGTTCGTTAGGACTAGTTCTCTTAAACATATACAAGTATTATATAATTTTATGAACACTCGTGAATGCCAGAGGGAAAAACCGTTGCAATCGACTGAACTTTAGCCTATTTTGTTAATTTTGTTTGTCGCGCCCATATCGCCTTTGTAGTTGATTAAAAGCTGAAATAAGGAAGTACTTGAGCTCGAAAATATATATCTTCACTGTTCTCACGCGGGGGTGATGTCGAAATAGAAACTTGGCCAAAAAACACAACTACACTATTCAGAATAAATAGCAGAAAGGACAAAAGACATGAAGACCTTGTCGATCTTATTACACAAGTGTAATTAACACTCCTCTTCAGAAAAGTAGAGACCTAGACCAGACCCCCCCCCCCTGATTTCGTGGAAGAAGAAAAAAATGGTTTTAATGGTAATGGTCGACATAAAAACTCTGAGCTCATCCTGTTTTCTATTTAATTATGAATCGAAAGAGAAAATTAGCGCCACCCTCGAAGTTAGTTTCGAAAGATGGATGATGTATATACTGGGCTGTTATCTTATTGTTACGGCCCTCCATCCTTGAACGGATCCTGGATGCTGGAGGGCTGGCCTGTCCCTTGCCTCTATCACCGTCATCTGACGAAGAATTTGCCATCCTGAATAATGCGAGCGGTTTCTATTTGGCTCGTAGTTTAGAGACCCTGACGTGGCTCCGTTTTCCCAAAGTATATGAGTGTGGAGATGAGAGGTGTTTTGGATAGCTGGACGTGTATTCTCTATGAAATTACATCAGTTTATGGAGACTCAACTAATTACACGTTATGAAACGATGGATTGTTTAACTGTATACTTTATTAATACAAACATAAGTCAACTTCTCCAACACGTTATCATAGTTAACACCGACACCAATTACCTGTATTAATCTCAACAAGTAGTAAGGGCAGGGATTGCCTTTTGTAGGAACTCTATTTCTCGCTTCCAGTCCTTTTCCTTACTTTAGCTCAGCTGGAGGAAAGCGGAGAGTTCGCTATCTGACCAAGACGAGAGCCAGCGTCGAAGTGACGATATCTCAGCTCAATACCGCTATTTATAGGATCTGAGACGCTCTGAGAGCTGCTTTACGCATGGTGCGTCCGTAATCGCGCTCTGAGCCCTTACGCCCCAAAAGCTTACTGCCCTCTACGTTTTCTGCAAGATAACTACCTGTAACGGGCTGGTCCGTTACATTATTCTTATTTTGTCCTCGTTGCACAGGCGTGCGTGCTTTTCTATTATTTTTTCAAGTCATGTCGATTCGTTTAGTGGAAGCACCCGTAGACATGTCGATTGTACCTTAATTACTATATTTAATTTTGACTACATATTATTTATTGGGATTTAAATATGAATCTGAAAGTTTATTCCTCGAATAACCTTATCTGGATTAACATGACTTTGACATAATATGGTTGTCCTCGCGGTGCACTAAAAGTATTGCACGTAAACAGATTTCGACCTTCCCCTCTTTCCATATTTTTTTTTCTCGCTTCCGGAAACGCATTTGTTTTGCTTGATCCAAACACAGAGATATATTAATTTATGGAACTATTTTTTATAGACTGTAAATGCTTAACATAGTTATTTAAAGATGATTCTGCAAACTGTATTTAATAACATAATATTAATGAACAATCTCAGATTTACATGTGTGTGTGCACTTCAAATTCGTTGTGTAACGACTTTACACAACATTAGATGGTTTACTCCTTAAACACGGGTTGTGTTAAGTCGTGTAATAAAACATTACACAACTTTACACCCTGCAACATCTTTGGTGATCTCCTTCTCAATATTGATTTACTGGTCGAGTTACATTATTTGCTGGCCTTTTAGAATAGCCAGATTTCAGAGGATTCACACTTTCACAACGAAAAACTTCTCCATGTTTCAGTCCTTGCGCGATCGTCTCCAGCTCCAGCAGATATTGGGCGTCAGCGTAAACACCGGTACTACCGGCGCAGTATAGCCACTGCTGAGGGCCGCACTAGCTGCACTGCGAGCTTCCGTTGTTTGTATCGGTAATACTCATAGAGATGGGAGAGAAAGCGCCATCTAAGTTCCATTTCATTGGTTTAAGGTTTGAAAATTGATACTCAATATTGTGTTAAAGTTATATCAGAAAAGATAATCTTTATTTTATAATTCCACGGGGGCGATTTTTAATTTTTCAATCGCCCCCGTAAGCAACCTGACGGGGGCGATTATGGAGCTCACGGGGGCGAATCGCCCATCGCCCCCGTGTATTTTGAGCGCTGGTGTTGACAGATTTTTTATAGCCTGTTTTTATGTCTTTTTTCATGGAAAAACGTTCGGGGAAAATTCAAAAATGGTTGGGAGAATTTAGATTCAGAAGCGCCGCACATCGACGCCCGTTCGAAAACCCGTTGAACTTTGTTAAAAATCTTTATATTGCGTGAATTAATTTCGGATTCGGGGCATCGTAGTTGGATAATCCATACATACAAACATAATTTTACGTGTTTTGCATCCTGATTCAACAGATTTGTTAAATCAACCATCACAATGTTACTAAGTACCTTTAAATGTAGTTTGACCTGCCATGGTTTCGAAAAGAGCAATGGACCTGGTCTTAAATGTACACATGTATTCCTTTTATATAAAATAAAGGCGTGATTTAACAACATATTATATACTATCATTGTTATTTGAATATTTCGTATCTCATTTTTTAATAAATGCAGAAACATCGGCAAAAAAGAAGGTCTTGAGTAATGAAAAATGTACATCAATTATACTACATGTACAAGGATATACATATTTAAATCTTTTCTCCAGATGGATTGAATCAAACGTGTGTCCGGATTATGTTCATATTTTACCCACTGTTAAACCCCTAGACGAATAGGTGGGCTCTTTGATGATAACAACTGTTCCATCATCTTGGCAACTGTATAACCAATCGAAAACAATGTACCCGAGTTTGGAGGAGTCATAGCCGTGGGAGAACCGTCAGGGAATCATGAAATTCGTTGGAAAAGAAGAATAAAACAGTTGTTGCAGTGATGCTATCCTGTGTAAGTAGATATTATTCGAATAATAATTACCACCCTCTTAAAATACATACTTCTATCACGCACATATATTTCTTTCTGTTTTGCTTTGTCTTGTTTAGTTTTACATATTATTATTGCCGTCATTTTGTTCTCTTAATAATGAATTATATTTTCTAATGAACATTCATAAGGCATGGTTGGCCAACGTTCTTAGAATTGAAGTATGAACAGATGTGGACACAGGAAATGACCATTTGCATTTTAAATTTTCTCTGCAGATTTTCTTTATTAATCAAATGTGTAACTCTACAGCATAACGAGATGAATTCATTCCTGAGTTAATCTCTATTACATGAATCTTACGGCAGAAGGCCCCCCCCCCCCAAATGAAAAACTTGCAAACTTGCAAACTTGCAAACTTAAGTCTGATCATTATAAAGGTGATGATAACGTTGCATAATGTAAGTCCTATAATTATCTGTCTTATTTTCTTTTTCTTTTTTTACAGGAAGTAGGCGAACAAAGCTGAAGTATGACTGAAGAAGGCATGGTCCCCGGAAGCAGTGTAAGGAAAAGACAACTGATATACAACAAATAAAGAATATAATCTACAAAGAACACTTTTACATTATATACAAGAGAATTGAAAATGAATAAAAAAAAATGGAAGAGATGATTTTTGGTGTATACATGTAAGGATTGAACACCAAGGCCAATAATACTCCTTATTCTCGAAAGCGGCCAAAATAAAATCTAGCTTAGCTTATTTAGTCTACTGATTTATGAAAGGGCGTACGTGTTTATATTCCTGAGTTACATATACATTAGATTACAGCATTATCACAATAAACAAAACCAATTTCGTAATGAAATGAAGAAGAGCAATCACAAAAGCAGCAATACAAAAACTATTTTACAGAGAAAATTATTTGTATTTCTATTTCGTTACATAAAATGTTAAATTGTAAAGGAAACAAAGGTTGACATTCATAACCTCGGAACCTTGCATGATACTCATTTTTTTCCCTCAAGACATTGTCAGCCTTCAATAATTCAGTACAAACAAATTAGAGTTCACAAAAGTGCAATCTCAGTGCAACAATGATTACATCATAAATGAGTAAAGTTGGTGATGTTAGTGAGAAAGCACTCATGATTCCACAACGATAGCTTCCTCTTCTTCTTCTTCAACCTCTTCAGGAGCCACGTACTTAGAGGGCGCTACTTGAAATAACAGCTGGAGGAATACTGTTAAGTATTCTGAAATGAAAGGAAACAGAAAAATGTTGCCTAATAAGCTAGTTCGTAGATACAATCTGCGCATGGGCAGATTAAAGTCATTTGTACAAGAATACTGGATTCGGGCTCATGCAAGTTATGTTTTCATGAGGCCCCTATTCATATTTTCACCGACGGCACATTATCTGACACACAGGTGGAAGTGTTATTTTCAAGAGGGCAAACATGCAATTGGGTATTTATAAAGCACCTCCATCACTCTGTCAGTGATTATTCTAAAATGCAAAAGGTGTGACGTCTATTGATGTAAGATTTTTTATGTAGGAGGTTTCATGTGGCTATACTGCATTCAAAATAAGCTTCAATTAAGTATTACTTTTTCAAAGTGAACAGTGAAACGTCTTTCTGAGTAGACTAGCTAACGCATGCGTAGGCACTCGCATATAATTTTGCACGCACGGAGCCCGATTTGGATTCCGTGCGAAATGAAACGTTTTATTGTACTGTTCCTTCTTCATCATATTCCTTAACCGTTTACTGAGATTGATTTCATACCTTCTACCTACGCACGATATGTTTTTCTTTCAGGTGAGTGGTACAATTTAATCTCACTGTGCCATGCAGTGCATAATTTTAAGATGTATACATGTTGTATCTTTAACTTACTCATGCAGCCCAATTCCTTCTTGTAGAAAACGAAAGGTAGATAGAAGATGAGACCAGATAGAATGAAGAGGAAGGCATAGAGAAACTCCAGAGCTGGTTCTTCAATGATAGGAGCAATCACGAGGTATACAGCCGCTATCAACACAATGATAGGTAGCACGATGGGAACCTGTCATCAAAAGTATATCATTCTTTTATTAAAATGACAAGGATGCCGGGGAGTCGCTTGGAAAAGTTTTTTTTTGTATACAATGATAATAATGATGATGATAATAATAGTAGTAGTAATATAACAATAATAGCAATAATAACAATACATGAGTATGATACCTTATTATGAAAAACGTTTAGACCAGCTTATAATTTTTATGAAGATTAACTTCAGCTTTAAATTGTTATAATAGGCCTACATAGTAGTGTGTTAGTAATAAACAAAATAAGGAATTTCCGAAAGAGGTATGACGCTAATTTGAAATGAAATATTTAATCAGTTTCGATTTACTAATACCTTAGTATTGAAGTACTTGAGTGACATCGATACAAATACAAGGATGAATCAATAAGGAAGTCGGATTTTCAAAAAAAAATGACTTTCCTTCATTCCTCTAAATACCCAATTAAATGATTCCTTTGACGAAAGAATATAATTATCATCCTTTTCCGTCTTAATGCTATCACATGATGTTACCGAAGCCTTTAATATTGAATACTCATTCACCATGAAAAATTACAGAGAACATCTAAAAAGTAAAAAGTTATCATTTTATTGTAGACATAAAATCCTGTACATAACGTTGTTATTCTTTTTACGTTTATGTGACTTATGTCAGTTCTTATGTTAAAACCGATGAAATTATAATACCACACTTTCAACTGAATTCTTATTGAAGAGAATACTTAGCTCTGTACCTTAATAGGTCTGTGAGCATCAGGCCATTTGTATCTCAGATAAAGCAGGGCCGATACCGTGATTCCATAGAACATCCAGGCTGCAAAGCTGAAGTAGTTGACCAGGGTATCAAAGTCACTGGGAAGAAGCATTGCAATGGAAAGAATCGCCTGCAAGATACCAAGTAAGATAATGTAAAAGAAACGATAGGATGATTTTTAAACCAAAGAATGAGAAAGATGGTGATCTATGCACCTACGGATGCCACTCATCCTATAAACAAAATATGAGAAATGATGATATGAAAACTACCTTTGGATTATCGCCCAACCTACACCAGACATGTATCACCATTGCCCAACGGAGATAAAATGTTCGCTTTTCCGATATTTACGCATCATGGTTTATGCATCTGCATTTTTACAGAGCGATGGTTGAAGTTACTAACGCTTTTTAGAACAAGGACCCTACCTGCATAACCTTGCTCGTAGAAGATTCAAAACATTTCTCTCACTTATTCCTCAACCCTCTTGGCCGTTTTCTGGGTGTTTGATTTCCTTTTTCCCCCTTCATTTTACAAATTACCTTATCAAGCACCTGCAGGTAATTTTCAAACAACTGTAGCCCGAAAGTGACTCTCCTTTTAGAATATGTTTTAGAAATTGTCGACTAATTATAACTATCACTCTCCCAGTCAGAAAAGTCTAGACTGGCCATTTTGGACATGAAAGAAACTAGGATATCATGGCATCACGTTGGTAGTAGCGATGGACGTGGATGGTACCAATAGTTATATACGTGCACGACAAGTTCAACCCTCGTACTTTATCAGAGTTATATCGAGTAGAAATTCATATAGACCATGGGCCAAGTCTCAAAATTCTTCAGTTCCGTGGTCTCCCCCTAGGAAGTACTTTTTTGTTCTAAATGATCAATGGACATATAAGAACAATGGTCAAATGTCCCCATCTCCAAATTTGTACATTCTTTCACAATTTTGATAAAAATTTGACAGTAGCGTTGGCAGTGCGGTGGTGATGCTGGTGGTGTGATAGTGGTGCTAGTAATGGTAGCATGGTGGTGTTGATGGTGTTGGTTGTGGTGAGGTGAAATGGTTGGTGGTGTTGTTTGTGGTGGTGTTGGTTGTGGTGAGGTGTAAGTGTTGGTGGTGCTGTTTGTGGTGGTGTTTGTTGTGGTGAAGTGTAAGTGTTAGTGGTGCTGTTTGTGGTGGTGTTGGTTGTGGTGAGGTGTAAGTGTTGGTGGTGCTGTTTGTGGTGGTGTTTGTTGTGGTGAAGTGTAAGTGTTAGTGGTGCTGTTTGTGGTGGTGTTGGTTGTGGTGAGGTGTAAGTGTTGGTGGTGCTGTTTGTGGTGGTGTTTGTTGTGGTGAAGTGTAAGTGTTAGTGGTGCTGTTTGTGGTGGTGTTGGTTGTGGTGAGGTGTAAGTGTTGTTGGCGTTGTTTGTATTGGTGTTGGTTGTGGTGAGGTGAAAGTGTTGGTGGTTGTTGTGGGACGTTAGTGATGTTATATTAATAGCACATTTAATCAGTGTTCATAGCAGCTATATTAAATGAGATATTAAGCTTACCGTGAATATCATAGCAGGGAAAGGAGTAAATCTCTTCACATGTACCATAGACAATACTTCAACCATGTGGCCTTCTCGTGCTGCTACGTACGCCAGTCTGCAACCAGATAATTCAAATAAATTTAGAAACATCCTTAAAACTCAGCTGCCCTACAGTAAATGCTTAACACCATTCCCTATTACGCCATAATCAAGTTATAATCATCATTAATCTGCACACAAATTTACATTTATTAAAATAGACTACTTTGATTGTAGGTTCCCTGTCGAGGTAGGAAGTTCATAGTCCATCGGGATAAATTCATTCACGTCAGAAAAGAATAATCCATGAAGTGTACAGTAAACTATCTAATTCGCCAAAGAATCAGCCGATTTACAGTGTTTTGTTAATGATAAAATTGGCAATGTCTAATTCTCTACTGATGTGGTACATGGCGAACATTTCGTTTCAATACGCATTGCACAAAAATAGAAACTTTGTAAAAGCACAACTATTATAAAGCTGATATATCAAACGTTTAAAAAGCTCAAACTGTTAGATGATAACGCAAGAAAAGCCTATTTAGCATTATTTGGCTACATGCATCTACATAAAATCAGATATTCGTTGGTCTAACTCTTCGAATTAAGTTCAACATGAAAAATATGACTAAACTTTAATCAAAATAATTATGTTGATTCATGTCTTGTGTCACATCGTGATACAACTTAACATTTAACCGCCAGTACACCGATAACTCTTATAGATCAATCATGATCAAGAACAATTCTTAAATTTCATAATTCTTTTTTTTTTGGATCAGAAATATTACTGATGAATATTCAATAGAGGATGGAACACTGAAACAGCATACAAATGATTCGATAGTGATACTTTTAAAATCACATAACACATTTAGTACATAGGAGAGACCGGGTCTAGTTGGTATAAACATTACATTATGACTTATATCATTTTAATGCATAATGCTAAAATCCATGAAGTTTCATCTTGATGTAAAGTTCTAATTTTTGCACAATGTATGGTGAAGTATGTTGATACAAAGAATATAGTGTACTGATGAGGTATTTTGTGGTTGTCTGACATATTTGTTGTTTGAACATTAAAAAAAAAGTTATCATTGAATCGAGTGTGTCTTTGCACTCTTTAAGTGTCTTGAACAAACTAGATCCTTTGTACGTGGAGTGTGTTTTTGTGTATGTGTGTGGGTAAGTGTATTTTGTTTGAGATGGGGTAAGTTGCTTACTAACACCCAATAAACATTAATTACAATGTTATACATATTCTATACTGTATGGTTGGTACATTATGAAATTATCGAATTGATCCTAAATCTAAACAGACATAATGGGTAGGCCAAATAGTGTTTTTGTGACCTACTCCTGTCACCTTGTGCGCAACCGTAAAACTTTGCGTCATGTGGTCATGTTGGTAATGCTACATTTATTGTACAGTTTTATAGAAATTGCTTGTGTAACAACTAGAATCGGTCTCCTCCTGATGAGAATGCAAAGCAACAGGTTTGGCAGGTGGAAGGAATATAAAATGCAAAGCAACAGGTTGGCAGGTGGAAGGAATATAGAATGCAAAGCAACAGGTTGGCAGGTGGAAGGAATATAGAATGCACTTTGAGGAACTGTGATAGACAATGTAGCAGTTTGGTGGTAGCAAGCTGTAAACAACTCGTTCTGGATATGAAAAAAAGCTAAATAAGACAAAACAAACAATGACAAATAAATACAATTGTATAAACAAACAAATGGATAAATAAACAATTGGTGCAAAAAGAAGAACAAATAACAAAAAACAATATAACTGGATAAATAAACAAAATTTAAATACCCAAATCAATCAAATACAATTTTTTTTTAAATTAAAAAAGATAAATCACCGGTTTCTAGGCTCTATGATATTAATTCATTTTAAGACAAAGTTTCTACCTTCCTGCGGTAAACAAAGTACCATTGGCTGAGCTGAACGTCGAAGAAGCCACCGATACAGTGATAACCCAAGACATCAAACTTAGCGTTCGATCACCCAGTGTCTTCTGATAATCACATTAATTAAAACATTTAACATAATTATATTGCCGTTCTTCTATCAAAATGCATAAAATAGTGATCACTACAAGAAATAATTTGTCTTTATAAGCTAACAGGTCCTGCAATTATAATGTAAATTATGTCTCCATTATACACAAAAGTGATCCTGAAATGGAAATGACATGATAGGTTATAACCGTTAATACTTGTAGATACAATAATCATGTAAAGAATACGCCTGAGCATGTCATGGAATTGCATGAGTTATGATGAAATGGTGAAAACTGATTCATATTGAATAGAAAATCTTTTTTTTGTACAGATAATAAATATATTACAGTTACATGTGAATGCTGGTGCTGAAAACTTATATACAAATATACACAGTGTAGAACTGTTTTCCTCCATACGCCTTTGTTGACACGAATTTGTTTTCCTTGGCATACATGTAGTTAACAGTAACTGTCTTCAATGTCATTTTTTTCCTCTGAATTATGACTATAAAGCTGGCACGAAGGAAAATGTCACGATGTGAAAATTACCTTCTTTGGGAGGCATTTAAACACTTCGTTAGTTAATTATTAAATTGATTTAAAATTACGTGTTTTTTTTTATTTTTTGCGAATTGTTATGATGTTTTGATGTCCACACGAGATGACGAGTATGAAAATGAACTTGTTTTTTCACGGGCCCGTATCAATATGAAATAAGATACATCACCCATTCCTTCGAAATCGAAAGTGAGCTTCCGAGAAGTATACAGATAGAGGCCTTTAGGTTATATTTGTTCTTACCCACAACTTACCATTCTTAAACACGTTACTAAAAGGTCTTGGTTTTAATTGCCGCAGTGGTTTACAACGTAAGGTGTGTATTTAACGACCCTTTATAAATGTAATTGAATTTGTTATGCAATAGGTTTTTGGGCGGTGATTTCGAAATGATAATTCTTCATTGTATTAAGATTGAAATCAGATCTGCATGGAAATGTTACCTTCCTGATGTGAATACAGATCCGTCATCATTTCATAAGAGCTATAAATTTGAAAAGGTGTCATTTCAGGATGATACAGACATATAGACGAGGGGAAGGGAGAGCAGTCGTACGTACTCGGTAAATGAAATGCGAATTGAGAAGGCCAATGGCTACGGGGAGGGTGTCGGGAAGACGCATCCTCTTCTCTGTTCGATCCCTTTCCCTGTTCTTGTATTTTCTTTCACCCCGTCTTCCTTGTCTCTCACATGTTGCGTTCCAATCCGGGGGGGGGGGGGCGTAAGCCCCTTCTCTGACCTACTAGCTTTTGTTATGTCATTGGTAGAAATACAGAACCTCCCGCAGTAAAGTTCTATATTAAAATACTTTATGATTAATAACCATGCCATAATAATAATGATAATAAACGGTGCTTACAAAACGCTTTCCACCGAAGTCTCCAAAATACAATTACAAACAATTATACATCAAACAAAAAATGGAGCCATGCATGAAAAAGAAAAACCAATTACGGCAAACTTTTAAACAACATGACGATCTTTAAAGAAATATATAATTATGCACACTACGTCATCACCATAGACAATGAAATGGCTAAAGCATACTTATTCTATCTACATTCATCATTTCATTTGAAAATACAAAATGAAATTCGATATAAAGACCTAATATGATAAATCAAATCAGATGGATATAACAAGAAGCGGATAAAGCCACTACACAGTAAGGCTGAGGCTCACTATATGGATGTAGCACAATGCTAAACGACATTTCGATGGAATATGCCTTCGATGTGTAGAAGTATAAGGAAAATGGCATCTCAACACATTGAACTTTAGGACACGAACAGATGAACTTAACATTAAAATGGTCTTGAACACGTGTTATCATTATGAATCATGACACAAACAACATTGAAATGAACGGCGATTCGACGTGTCAATGATAGTCATACATAGTGTACCTTCCACCCGTAAATAATGTTCCATTAGCAGCGCCAAAGGTAGAGCATGCTACAAAGAAAGGCATTATCCATGCCATGACACCCAATGTTCGGTCACCAAACGTCTGTCCAGCACACATTTAGAGGGATTTACAACGAGTTAGATATTATCAGCAGATAGACTATTTCCCGTAATTACAATTAATCTATTTACATTTCGTTGGGGAATGGAATAATTTGATCATAATTCTCCTTAATATCGGTTCATTTAAAAAATATATCGACTCAACAGTTTCTTGTTGAAGATATTCAAGTAGTCATATATGAATGGTTAACGGCGATTAAATGAAATAAGCTGAAAAGGAGATTTTTTTCCAGTTATTGAACTGAACTTACAAAGACTAATCAAACTTTCATATTGATTTTTGACGTCCTTGGTTGGTATTTTTCGTTACTTTCATTGTGTACGATTGAATGACTAAACAGGTTTTATGGACTACTGGATTCTGTTTACTCGGATATAAATTACAATTTCGATACGTTTACTTCTTTGTTATATATAACTTGGGGAAAATATAATGCTAGGTCTACCACATTGCACACTTCGTTATTATCATGCTTTAAGACTCGTTCAGATATGGCGGGGTAATCCGCAGCAACAAAGCTGCTGTCGATTTTGTTTAAACGTGTAAACGAATGGCAACAGCGCTCTTAAAAGGTCCTGCGCGTATTTACTAAATCTCTGAGATATTATTTTTCCGAAATGTGAAGCGTCAAAAACAAAACAAAAGGCTGCGTCGTATCTGAACGAGAATGATATTCCTGCTTTCGCCGGTGTAAATCTTGAAACGATATGAAGGATAGAATGTGCTTACCACTGCGACTGCACTGGATTGTAGAAGTTCTTCTGGTGACATGACGGTAAAGTAGGAGATATTAACCAATAGATACAGTACGGTAACCATAGGAATCCCAATGATAATGGCAAGAGGAAGATTTCTGAAGGAAAGGAACAAGAAGAAAAAAAGAGGTAGAAAATCAATAATTTTAGAATAAAGTATCTCTCTTTACCACTTAACAGTTTTCTTCTATCTTGTGAGTTTTATACTCAATCCTAATCTTTATGTTTCCAAAAATATGATCAAATTCAAATGTTCTGTAACGAAAATACATTCATTATTAAGAGCAACGTGTGCATTCAAGGTACACTAAGAATGTGTGTGATCCTTGTGTTTTTTCTTCTATATGGAGACAGTCTATTTCTCTATACATAATAAGGCATATCTACTTGGAATGATTTGAATTGCTTACCTATAGGGATTAATTAGTTCTTCTGTGACGTAATTAAGCTGATTCCTGTCGAATGGGAAATTAAAAGAAAAAGGTTATAGTTACGTAAAATACATGACATTTAATGCAAATTAAAAAGCATACACGTTATTATCATAGATGTATTTAAAAGAATCGTATGAATTGAATCGCCTTGAAAAATAATGTCATCGATGCATTAAGTAAAAAAATAACCATTGCGTTAGAATTTCCGGCTGTTTCAAAAGCATAGGCCTACGTGATTATATATATAATAATAACAATAATAATAGCTAGTTCTTATATAGCGCTTTTCAGGACCGAAGGCCCTCTCAAAGCGCTTTACAGATATAAATATTATTACCCCGGTCATAGGATTCAGGCTTACCCGCACACAATATATGCACATTCTCCACTCCCTGGGGAGCATTCCAGCCAGGCGTCTTTTTTTTTACAAGCGCACACTTGCTAATCTAACCACATTAGCTTTCGCATCCTTAAATAGTTGAACTTTGTTGCAGAGGTCACTACATGAGATAATGAAAAACTGAGTGTAGAATTTGGAAGAATATACAATTTAGATGATAAAATCATCTTTGTTTGATCAAAATCGGTTCAGAGACGGCTGAGATATCCATAAATACAACCATTTCTTTGTGGGGCCCCAGGCATTGTTTCCAAACCATTGCCAAGTTCATTAAAATTCTTTAAAAGTCAGCCAAGGTTAAGTCTGATGAAGAGTGATTATCAGATTCAGTCACTATTTGGCTTGTGACCCGGCATTGTCTTACCATCCATCATATGCCCACAGTCCTTGATAGAAAGCGATCCCATATGCGGCTACATTAGCAGTAGAACCTTGGAATGATGTCTTAGGATCCAAATATTGTGTGTTACCTGCAAAATCATAGGAATCACAAATCTTTGCAAACATTAACCCTACAAATAACTGGGCTTCAGATATTAAGATCTTAGGGACAGATCGACCGATCGAAGCGATATGTTTGAGGAGCTTCGAGGATTGGTTTACCCGACTTATATATTTTTATAAAGTGTCTTAATCTACCAAGATAGCCAATAATTTTACTAATTTTCTGACGCATTATATTTATATGAGCATCCCATTTCAATTCATTGTCTATATTTATACCGAGGTATTTTGTACTGTCAACCTTGACAATATTTGTATCTCTTATTTTCACATTAAGTACATTACACTTTAATAATATATGACGGGTGCCAATGAGCATGGTAACAGTTTTTTTTTGTATAATTCATTAATAACTTATTGCGAGACATCCATTTATCAAGATATTCCATTTCATCATTTAAGACAGATTCAAAAACAGTGGGACATTATTTTATGCGAAAAATAAATTACGGTATCATCTGCGTATAGATGTACGTGACAAAGATTGAAAATTTTAGGCAGATAATTTATAAATATCGTAAATAAAAGTGGGCCCAATAGGGAACCCTGGGGCACACCATATGTTAAAACATTATTTATCATGGTAACTATTCCTCTCATAGACAGATAGCTCTCGAAGCATTGTAACGACATTTCATCTAAACCAATAGAATACAGTTTATTTAAGGTGACTTCGTAATGGCAGAGACTGTCTCACCTACCTGGTAATGGTAAGCCAGATTGTCGAATAATTGACGGGGGGGGGGGGGATGATTCAGACTTGGCAAAAAATTGAAAACTAATTTAACGATAAAACATTTATTCTTGCGACCACGTTTCATTAACATTTGAATTATTCATTTCTAAAATTCACTAGCTGCTATAATAATAGAGCTCTGCCTCAAGAAGAAGATAAAAAGTCATACAACATCTTTAACATATTTCTTTACTAAGTTGATAAAGGCTATGGAGTCAAATGGCAATTCGTCTGTTATTCAACTTGTAATTTCGATTGATCTATAACCAGGAGTGTTTCCTAAATTCAAGAGGTGTCAATTCAGTTCAAATGGATAAGTGTAATATGGGTTAAACTTTGAAAAGCGAGCGATTAATTTCTTCTTGCCTTTTGTTTTCTTTCATTTTTTTTCTTTCTCTCCATTTTGGGGGTTTCGTTTGTGCGTTGTTCCAGTGCCTCCTGGGGCACGTGCCGTTGGATTCCCTAGATTTGTCATTACACCAAAGTTGAAAGTCCAGACATCGCTTTGCAGGGTATTGTCCTGTCGTATTAAGCCGGTTCAATCTAGTTTTCCTTTACATAACAGTGCAGGATATATCAAGGTTCACGCTTATCGGGTCACAGGTAAACAAAGGTATTTGCATTTCCAAATGATTTTATAGGCATTGACGGTCAGTTTATTACCCTAGTTGGGTCTGGCGTCTTTTCGTACGATAAAGGTATCTAGCTGAAGGTAGGCCCATCAGTGCAAGCAATATATAATACACGGTTAGTATTCACATGTACGTAATTATACGCAATCTATGATTTATGTAATCAGGTAGGGTGCATTTTATTTTAGTAATATGCCTAACACCTGATACATGAAGACAAAATAACTCGTATGATAATATGAATGATTAAAGAAGAGTTTAGTCCTTTTAGTACAGTACAAACTATCTTCCCCTCGGTGATCTCTAGTGTACATACACTATAGACATGTATGATATGTTATGTGTTGACAAGTTCATCGTTCTTTCGGATTTTTACCAGTTTTATTGACTTATTAACTGAATTGAAATACGATGTGGGATATAAAACAAATATTAACCTCCTTTATCAGTGACATGCACTGTTCGCACATGGGGCCCTCTTAAAAGAACGATATCAGATACAAATAAACAAAGATAAAACGTTTCCAAATGTACTAAGTTGTTGGTGTTGATAACGTGGAAATTAAAAATTCACGGTTTATACATCAATTCGCCAGTATGAAGAAATAACGAATTAGACTGTTGTTAAAGTTCTTAATGGACATGGCAAACTATCACACAATACCGAGCCATCAAATGTTAGTCTCGTCTTCCCGTTTTCCATGGATGTAGCACATTCCCAACTAAACTCATTTTTTAACCAGACCTTTTGTTTTCCGTTTGGAAATTTTACTCTTTGATGAGTATATTCGAGGAAAAAGATCAATTTAATTTTTTAATGGATCTTCATGGTATCATCTTTTAACAACATCAATAATTTTGTTTATCCAGGGAACCCTCATCAACATCACTTCTGTACGTTCTTCCTTAGGTTCTTACTGAAGGCCCTGCAATTATCATTACCCCAGGAATCGTCATGTGTCCATTGCATCTGGGTAAAGAGTGGCAAATGTAGATTTATGTCTTGCCAAAGGACGTTAGTGATATACTGGGGTTCAAACACTCAACCCTTGGATTGTGAGTCAAGTGAATAAACCATGTCAATTCATTAACAACTAAATGCTAAAGAGAGTAGCGATATTTGTTTGTCTAAACATTTATTCTATGACCTCTTAACTTATTTAATCAACCGATCAATGAGAAAAGAATAAACCATTTTACTTGTCTTACCTTGTGCCAGTTGAATAAACCCAACAATGATGATGATAACTAAAGCTAGAAGCTTGGCTACCGTGAAGACGTTTTGAACACCTGTTGCCAATTTGACGCTGGCACAATTGATGACCACAATCAAAACTAAAGAAAGATGGGAGAATAATAAGTTTAACTTTGAATGGTACATTCATATAGAGCCTTTTATATTGTGCTAATATTGTAAGTAATTTTTTTCAAATTTTATATAATGATCCGAGAATGTAGAGTAGAAAAGGGAGATTAATATCTTGACAACGAATATTGGTGCCGCGGCGGAACTCGAACCGTGAACCATGTGATATCCATGGTACGGTGACCTTATCCACTAAACCATATATAATTTATAATAAATGAATAATTGCAAGAGGTCTCATAATTTTTTCTCAGTTTAAACAAGAAACATGGGCTTACTTCGAATCATTAGGGGATTTGGGTCATTTCAATTGAATTCAATATAAATAATCTTATTTTCCAATACCTATAAAACATGAAATCATCGCGTCGGGTTGGGTGGTCGCGTTACCCGATCTTTTGTGAACCAACATAAAGAAATCCTCTGTGTGCCCATGCCTTGAGCCATAATGCGCGCCGTCTAGAGGATTTTTTTTATGTTGGGGACCGGGGTAAAATGCAATAAATTATTGATTTTTTTTTTTGCATTTTCTTTGTTTTTTTAATTTATGGAAACTGCCCCCTACCCTAGCCCCCGCTGCGTACAGTCATGGTTCAGTGACAAAGCAATGGCCTCGTAACTGTGAGGCCCCAGGATCAAAACCGTGTCGATGTGCTATATTAGTGCCCTTTTGTGGGGCATTAATCCTCATTACTGTCATTTATGACTTAAGGGCGTAGGTCCCCTAGTTGATAAGTATAGTAGCATACACATGCTTTAGCAGTCACGCAAAACACACATTGGAAAATTAATATTAATACAATCTGAGAATGTATACTATTATCAAGATCTATTATTTTTAAATTATTTTTAAATTATTTTTAAAATAATTCCATAAATTGGGGTAAAACAGAGTGAGTTAAAAAAAAGTTTACACCTAGAAAATTGCTAATTAATTAAAAAATCATCTATGGAAAGTAAATAATTATACATCTGATGAAAGAGTTTTTTTATCCCAAATCATTTGATATCATTTTTGTGTGGTATGTGTTCACGCTTGAATGAACAGGAGGCATTGTTTGCGAGAGTGCAAAAAGCGATTTTCTAGGTGTAAACTTTGTTTTGACTCACACGGTATGAGCGACAGTGTATGTCTGGTAAGAAATTTGTATAAGGCGCTATCTCGTTTTTCAAGGGTTATGATAGACTATGAGACATGTCGTTATTTTGCAACCAATAGAGATGGCGAAAGCGTGGTAGTGAATGTGGGACTTACTGACACACACTGCAGCAAACATCTTGATGATATTATCCGGTGGGCCACACTCCCCTCCAAAGAAAGGTGCTGCTACATACTCTGCGAAACTTAGACTGATGATCGCAACTGAAGATGGTCTGACGAGAAGAGTAGATACCCAAGCAAACAAGAAGGCGAGTGGAGAACCAAAGGTGTCCAATATGTACGAGTATTCACCGCCAGACTTGGGTATCAGGGTTCCTAGCTCAGCATAGCACAGGGCACCTTCACATTGAGCAAATGAAAACATTGGATTGAAAGTAAACACCGAGACTGAAGTGAATACTATCATTCATATTTTCCTCGAGGGTATTAAACTGAACACCAAACTTAACAAACGAGTCGGACAGAGACGTTATTGAGATTCAGTTCAACCAGTTTCAATGTTTAATATGACCAAGGAGGTTAGGCAGAGGCGGATCTAGGGGGGGGGGGACGGGCCCCCTTCCCTGGCCCCCAAACAGGTAAATTTAACCCTTTTTGAAGAAAAAATAAGGACGAGCTCCCTCCCCTTGGCTCGAGGGAGGGGGGGGGGGAGGGGAGAGTGGGTGTTGACAAATATTTTCTCACGAATTGGGAAAAAATAATTAGTGCTTCCCCCCCCCCCCCCGTTTAAAAAAAAAAAAGACATTCATATATCAATGAATAAGTAATTAAGTAAATCAATACATTGATAAATTCATATCTAAATGAATATTGAATATTGATAACGATTATTTAAAAAAAAACTAATGTCATAGGTTATATTCATTATTTTGATAGAGTGAGATTTCTGTCTGTATAATGTATCTTTGTCAAAATAACTTTTGGCGACACAAATCTTACCTATAGTAGAGAGAACACCACATAGGAACCAGATGACAAGGCTCATGCCAACACTCTCAGTTTGTCTCAGAACTCCTTTTGGCGAAACGAAAATACCCGAACCTATCATAGTCCCAACGATGAGGGCAATACCACTTAGGAGACTCACCTGCCTCTTCATAGCAACCTATAATCACAAAGAATCGACATTATCAATATCAGTTCAAATCTGCATTATCAAATAGAGAATGATCAAAGCACTCTCATTCGGTCCATAGAAAGCAAGCAATAATATCCAATATAGAGACAGGATATTTGGTAAAGTTATGAGTCATATTATGTTAGTAACAGTAGAGAAAGAAATGTTGATAGTAGAATAATTGGAAGTTCTTTTCTCTATTTGACGGTAAGCCTACATAACGTCCAGAGAATGTTCAAAATGCGAAAGTTCTCAGATTTGTAGGCAGGTGACAGTATGTGTAAATCAAAGAAGAGTCTGTAGAATACGCTGCGTTTAAACACCTCGGGCTTTTTGTTCACATTAATTATTCTTTTACTGCGTGTTGACCGAAATCAAAATATGATAGCTGCAGACGAGTGGGCTGACATACATGATATCTATAGTATCTTCCACTTAACTGTGAAAACTCCTGTGGACTGACCAATTAAATCCCATGATGAAAAACATTCTACTTCATTTAGGCTATCATCATCTTTTAGCGGTTAGCTCCCTTCAGTGTTTCAGCGTTACATACCGATTTGATGCTCACAACAAACACATTCACACAGCTAACACGGAATACTATCAAGTTCCGTCTGAAGAAAAGAAATCACTCAAAATTGTTTGTCTCACCTTGCCCTGTTTATTGTCTGGTTCTGTAACATCCCCGTTCCCCATCGTCTCCTCATGTTTCTCTGAGTTTGATCCACTCGTTTTATTTGTCCTTCTCTCCCGAGTCTCCATTGCAACTGATGAGTTGAGTCTCCTATACTGATGTAATTAAAAGGTATCTGCAAAATACAAAAATATAGAAAGAAAAAAAATCAATTGTAAATGACGGATGATGAGATTCCTAATTTTCTTACTAGGACAATTATTTGACGTATGTTGTGAATGTCGAGTATGCCGAGGACTGTCAATGACCCGATGCTGGTTGGTTAATTGTCCATGTACAGAAATATTTTGGGCCACATTTGATTTCTGTTTGATTTTCTTTTTCTTTTGCCTAACTATAACAAATATATAACAAACAAAACATTGCAAATTTTACACATTTCAAAAAAATATAATGTCGAATAAAGTAATTAATCGAAAACATCAAACAGGAGGGTTGACAAAGTAAGCAAAGCTTGATAGCATGACTACACTCAATGGATACATAATAATACGAATATGGTGGAACAAATATTGGTAAAAGGGGAAAGAGAGAGAGAGAGAGAGAGAAAAGAAAAAAGAAAGAGGGGTGTACATCAAGATTCACAGATGTATGTGGTACGATGTAGTTGGATTTCAATTTGATATATGAAGATAAAAAAAGAAGATGCACATTTGAATATTGGGTGGCCAACTTGGGATGTATTATAGAATGAGAATACTGACAGAGATAATATACACTGGAGGACTTGGGAATGGGTAGCGGGAGGGGTTGGCAGTATCGAGATGGTGGCGGGGGGGGGGGGTGGTGAGGTTAGGGGGATCGATAAGGGAGGGGGGTAGTGTTTGGTAAATTACTATGATTTTTTATAAAAATTGATACTGTATGTAAATTAATATGATTTTTGCTTTTGGACCCCATGGAAGAACAGGACCTTTTTGAAAATGGTTCTGTAATGGGCTATCCAACCGTTTGTCTATACTTTACACATTTACTTACTTTCTTATCGTTTGAAATGTGTTTTAAATGTATGTTTTTTAAACTTGTATGTATATATGGATTTCGGAAATAAAAACAAACAAACAAACGAGGTTTCTGGACAATATTAATACAAATGTGAGATCAGCGCGCTGGTTTATATAGACTGCGCATGTAGGTAATGAGAGACCTTTGGTGATGATGTCATGAATCATTCTTATCTTATTAATCAGTTACATCATGACCACAATTTTGTTACCAAATAAAGAAAAGAAGTTATTGAAGAGAATACAAAACTTTCTGTATGTGTTATAATGTTCATGTTTATGTAAATTATGCAAATGTGCTTAAGGGTATCCAATTCCCTACAACGACCCTATATTTAGCAGGATGATTATTATCATAACATTAAAGGTAATACAAAATTTTGGGAAATTTTGAAAATTGGGTGGATAGTGATTCTTTACAATTTTGATATATTTGGATGCCCCTGTTCATGTATTATAAGCACTAAAAAATTTAGCCCCTAAAACACTTCTGCTTTTGAGAAAAATTGAATATAAAAATTTCAAATAGCGCCTACGGCCGTACAATGGTAGCTGCGACCATGAAAATCTCAGAATATGTAGTTGTGATATATGATTCCCAAACGGGAATAGCCAATCGGTCGATTTTAGTCAAGAAACATTGTGTTATAGCTTAATTAATATTTTGAACTTGAGAGGGAGCTATACAACTTAAATAGTGTATTATTTACAATTTCATAACTTTAGACTCGATTTCAACCGCGACCACAAATCAATCATAGTAGTAAACTAAACCAATATGACGATGAAAAAGCTAAACATTATAGTACTTACGAAAAGCTTCAATGCATAATCTCACACGATATAGGCTTACCTTTGGTATCGACACCTCTAGATCTGGCTGGGGTCTTTGATGTGTTGGAAGACTGGTAAGGAGTAGTAAAGCTAAATGTTTGCAAACAACCATTGGCCTCGATGGGCGTATTGGACTTGGATGACCTTTAGACTATGATCATAGGAGTAGCTACGATTAGGCACGCATACTCTGGGACCAAACCTCGTGCAAGTGTCAGTGTGACTTTAAGATTTAATAACACGCACAATAATTATAGATGGTGTATTGCTATTACTCTTATTCGTGATAATGTATTGAATGTATAATTCTATAGCCACAAATTTCTCTTCACCCATTATAGTGAATGACGAATAATTCACTGTCATATTGAAAATTATGTGCTCTGTATATAGCCTTTGAACCCTGCACCTTGCGGTATATACAAATTAGCTCATTAACGTTCTCACACAAATAATATTTCAAGACTGGTATTTCATGATCAAAATCAGATCCACAGATATTTATTGACACTCCCCTTTATACAAACATGTATACATCTGATCTCTATATTGATTTCGTTTACGCTGTTGCATTAACAAATGGGCGATTCCAAAGCCTCGAACATCTAAGACATTATCATTACAAGGGGCAAGGGGCGGGGGGGGGGGGGGGAGGCTAAACGATCCAAGTACGTTACACTTTGCCTGAAATTAATATCTTATTTGAGTCCGATATTTTCTTACGATTTTGGACATAATTTGTCCTCCTATATGTTAAATGTGAATCTTGAAGGGAATTACTCTCAGCTGGATATGCACTGATACATTCGGTTGAAACGATCATTTTGAAATAGCAGAGATCTTAATGGTGAAAACGATTCCAAGAAAATGCTACATTTAGAATTGAAGAAATACCTGAAATAGCTATGCCAATTATGGAAGGATATTACAGCCTTTACAGGGGTTCAATGATTAGAGGAAACGAGAAGCGGTATATGTAGAAGGGGAAAAAAGACTTGTCTGAAAGTACGAAATGAATTTAAAAGAATTTGGGAAGAATGACTTAGAATAATACAGGGAAAATCTACTAATGTTACAGATGAACAAGTACGGTTTAAAAAGATGTAGACCTGTATACTGATTCTAACATTCTCACTATTCTATAAATATAGTGGGGCACTGTGGTATATTGGTGAATTAGGTTGTTACTTCTCATACGTGAGGTTCTGGATTCGATCTTCGCTCGGTGCGTACATCCTTGGACCAAGCCTTTTGCCTACATTCTGTCCGATTCGACACAGGTGCAAATGTGGAGTAAAAATTCAGGGCAATAATAATTGCATTATTATCAAAATCATCATTTTGAAATTATTATCAAGATCTCATTTATTTTTCAAATGTACTGAAACTCATCAATGAAATACGACTGTACAAAGTGAAAAGTTCATTTATTCACATTCAATTACATATGGGATATCGATATGAAATACACTGTTGATTGCGATATACAGTGCGTAAAAAAAGATGTACTTAACTTTGATAGATTTTGATTAAAAATGTATACCCTGTGTCAGTGTGACCTTGAATTATTTCCATGGTAAAGGGTAACTAATACACTGTCTAATTATATCATAGTCATAGATGTGCTGCCACGGATGACTGAGCAGCAGGCTTTAACAAAAGTATTATCAACATCTTCTTGAACCAAGTTTGGGCTGAAGAAATGAATGTTGGTCAAAAGCCATTAATATAGGTTTTCCCGCCCAATTTCATCAGAGTTGCATCCGATTTAACGATGCGATCATCCAATTTCGAGCGAATTTTATTGATCACTAGTTCATTCAATTTAATTGTATAAGCATGCGATTTCATGATTTTCTCACATAAATGTGTAAAAAGCGCGTTCAAATTAAAAATGCACGCAAATGCATTCAATTTCGCACCTGCACCGCCCTGATGAACGTTAAGGTATTCAAATTGACGAATAGGCAAGCATTTACAGCATTTGGGCAGTCAATTTCTTTTACTGTTAATTTTCTTTGCACTCTGCATCTGTTTGAATAAATTATGCAAACTTTATTAGGTACCTTGAAATGGGACCTTTCCCTTTTAGTGAAATATCTCATTCATCTGACAAACCGTCATGTAAAAATTATGATTTATAACCATTCTGTAAGTGTTATGTCCTTACTCATATGGAATACAGTGAAACTGAAAAAAAAAAGATTCGAAAGAAAAGAAATATATAGAATATGATTAAAATAAACATTATGAAACTTTGAGAATGAAAATTAAGTTATATAATTAAAAACAGAGAAAAAACTAAATATGACGTGAAAATTGCCGTAAGAATTACATAGAACTACAGAACTTGTTTATGTTGATTTAATTCGAACGTTCAAAGTGCGAGGGTGTGTGCCTAAAAATGAAATTGAAATGGATATTAAGGACGAAATTGAACGTCTATCCAACTTGCTCGAAATTGAATGACAACTTCGCGTCACTAAATTGAATGGATTTCTCTCTAAATCGAATGAAATAAAATTTAAAAGGAATGATATAAAATGAAATTGAATGCTCAAAGAATGAAAATAAACCATGAGAGCAGAGAGTTGACGAAAACCGTTCGAACTTGAACGCCTATTCATGAAGTCGAATGTAACTCTGATGAAATTGGGCGGTAAAACCTATATCAACTCAAACTCAAGGGAATGCTTATTGCAAGCAACATTTATGATATTCTCTTCGCTTTGACTACAATCTTGGCTCCCGACATTCACATCCCATATTAAAGGCAACCCTTCTCATTTAGTGATACAAAAGGGATAAAGTTTATTTGGGATGTTATCTTCTAAAAATGAAAGTCCATTGTCGATTTCTTTGATAATTATCAAAATATATTTTCTTTCTTTCATTTGGGTTTAGTAAATTTAAGTTACTCACTTTCGAGATAAACACCTTATTCTCCTCCTGTGTGTGAAATTGACAAGACTTAGTGAGCAGAAAGAACTTAGATATCATGATACAAAAAAGTTAGTAGGCTGTCCAAAATAATAAAAGGTTATCCTATGGATTGAAACAAGGTTTTGCGAAAGCCTAGATACAATGCATCATTGTAAACAATGAAGCACTGCAGTGCGAGGCGTAAATGCACTTTTAAAAGGACTTATGACAAAAGCTGGGTTCATATTTTGTATACGCACTCTTTACACCGCGGGTGAATTAATTCAGGTTTACCATTTTATTGCATCGGTTGGTGTAGATAAGCGGTGAGACGAATCTCGGTCAATGTTCAATTTCGTTTACTCCTCCTCGTTATGTAAATATAATTAACGTACAATAGACTTCAGGATAAACATAGATTTTTTTGTTTTGTTACACAAGGCACGTTTAACTGACGGTGAATAATACAGTGAAGTAGAATTGTGAATGGAGATGGGGGATACGAAAATCCACGATCCCTGCAAACGTTACGTCAACACGGTCAGCCAAACAGCTTTTATACCTGATCAAAAAGTCCGTGTTTTCTCAATAGAACATTTACTTGAAAATTGGAACGTCATGTAAATACAATATTTCCATAGTATCTATATACATTTGTTCTGTTCGTAAAGTCTTTAATGTTTACAAGATTTAGGACCCTTTATGGCCCGTATTCTGCAAAATGTTCAACCCGACGCTGGGTTTGAGCTTTTGTTCAGAATTCAGTTTACCAAAGGAATTCTGAGGTCCAAATTTTCATTTATGTAAAACAGGTTGAATAAGAATCACTCGACATAATTTGTATTAGTGGCCATTTAGTATGCACTCCCCATCCTCCCCTCCTCCTCTCACAATACCAACCCTGGATCGCAAGTCTCTTCCGATGTACTTGCCAGCTGGTTCACCACCACCGGAAATCCAACCTTACCAACCCCCTGTCCACACACAACATTTTCCGTGATTAGCTATACCGTTTCGCGATAGGTTTACGATGAAATTGTGTGTGTGGACGCTCACTAACGAACGATACGTCGTATAACGAAACTAGTCTAACGAAACGCAGGTTTGGGCATCGTTTCGAACTGAAACTCAATAAAGAATCACGCCTAATCACGGAAAATGTTGTGTGTGGACAGGGGGAGTGTAACTAGTGTAACTAACTGGGCGGGGCTTAACGTGACCTCGAGCGAAAGGAGACCAGACCTCTCATTTCCACTTCCATTTCATGACCGCAGTAGGAAACTGCGCACCTATACGACATTTCGCTGTAGAGTTTCAGGATTACTTTCTTCTGTGTGTGGACATCCTGGAATTTATACGACGTTTCTTGTGTGTGGACACTCTGAAATTTATACGATGATTCTTTATACGACGTTTCGTTATAGAGAATATGCGAAACCCCCACCTTTCCCTGAGATCATATCGTTCAAAAAGCTTCGAGACAATTGTTTATGTAGTGCATCTTGAAGAAAGACAATGTGCTTCCTTTAGTAATATATTAAACGATGTACGCATCCCATATCCGCCCCGTCCTGCCTGGTCTTCTTCAATCACTTGTCAGCAGACTGAAAAAGTTGAGAGAGTTCTAAGGTGTGTGACCCTTAGTGTACGCAGGATTTTTTCAAGGGGGGGGGGGGGTTAACATTTTTAAATTGGGCCGAAACTTTCGCAACGACTCAACAAGCCGCTGAATAAGCGGGGGAGGGGGGGGGGGGGTAAGAAGACATTTTATTTTGTTTGGTCGCAAAGGGTTAGGGTTAGGGTAAGGGGGTGGGTAAGAGGAAATTTTTTTTTTTTTTTTTGGTACCAAAATTAGAAAATTTGCCGGATCGTCATTTTGTTCCGTTGTGGGGGGGGGGGGGGGGGTCCTCCAAAATACACACATAACAAAAACCAAAGGGGGGTTGACCCCCTCCCCCCCCCCCCCCCTTCCTGCGTACGCGCATGTGTGTGACCAAATCATTCTCGGGTTCACCTCTCTCACATATGATGAAAGGAATTAAGAGTCTTAATCTATCCTCACCTCAAGCAAGAAGAATTGAGCTGGAGAAGAAATTTGCCCACTCTCTACTCAGGTCTCGACACAGACACTTGCTCCCACCATCTAAAGATTCCTTGCCCAATTTTGCCCCCTCCGTAGTAATCAAGGTTTGGTAATTCCTAGGTGCAGGACTAGCCGTTATCAAAATTCTACTGTTCCTTCTCTTGTTCGTACAATTTATAATCCTTGATTCTCTCTCTATCACTCTGTCTCTCTCTCTCTCTTCTCTCCCTCTCTATCTCTCTATATATTTCTCTCTATCTGTCTCTCTCTCTCCCTTCTCTCTCTCTCTCTCTCTCTCTCTCTCTTTCCCTCTTTGCATTACTCCTCATCATTCTAATTGACACACTCTAATTTGTGTATACGTTATATTCTAATAATGGTATTTTATAACCGCTTTTTAAAGTAGATTCCAATTTTTAAATATATATTTCTGTGTGGTAACCCCTTCAACTCAAACGTAATTATGTTAATTCAGGTTTTAATGCTTTTATCATTGTTGATTTCCAAAAATATAATTTTCTCCTATATTTTCGATTGTTTGGTACCTCAACATTATTGTCTTTTAACATTACCCTATAGCAGTTTATTACTTTGACGATCTTGACCATTACTTTCCCTTATTTTTTTTGGTATTGTATTGATTGAAATGTATTATTTTTCATCTTCATTGCCTTCTTGTACTTGATATGCCTGTCTGTTTGCTCACTATTGTTCATTTACTATATCTATAAGTTTATTGTATTACTTGTAAATATGATCAGTTTTGGTCCTTGGAATCATATATATTTATATGTCTTTTTAAACCGAAATAAAATATTTTAAAAAAATACATTGTCCTTAAATTTACTTAAATTTTATGTATGGAAGAAAAGACCCTCATCTATATCCGATGTAGTCAGAAATAGAGAAGGGGGGGGGGGTTAAAAAATAGGGCAATCCCATTTTAATAATAACATATCAAACAATGGTTTATGGCTATCAAGTCCTCGCTTACACACATTCATCACATTTACTCACGATAATTATCTACAATATACAAAGATGCCATGAGATGGTCTTGTTCTAAACTATGATCCCCGAGGAGACGTGACCATAATTATTTTCATGAGGGGCACAGAAGACAAAAATGGTCTGCTGCCCCTCCCCCCGTAGGCGCATGTAAAGAGTCTAGTGACTTAACTTTTTTGATGAGACTTAACCTTTTATATGGTAACGTTCCTTTCAAAAAATTCAATTAAAAAATGGTTTCTATTATAGCACAAACATGGTTCATACAAATACAATTTTACATGAAGGACAGCCATGGCTGGAATATTCATGTTGAAATGTTAGGCACAATTACCGTCATCATCATCACCGTATTTTTTTCTAAATTCTAAAGCCTACTTTGTAGGTAGTTGTCCTCATGAACTTTTTTTTTTTATAGTTTTCTTTCCTTTTTTTTGGGGGGGGGGAGGGGGGGGGGACTTCATGAGAATTAATCTAGATACTTCCGTATGTATCTGTGTATTACCCCCCCCCCCAAAAAAAAAAAAAAAAAAAAATAATAATAATAATAATAATAAGCTTGTAATATATCGTCTTTGTACAATGCAAACGTGTAAAATGATGCATTAATATGTTTGCTAAAATTTTAAAATTGTATCTGATGGACAGGATTCTGGTTAATTTAATGCCTTACTATGTTGGTTTCACAAGTCATTTTCTTTCTATTAAGGCTGCAACTAGGCTATGTTCATATCAAAGTTACCAAGTTTTATGTATTCGTTATGTCAGAAAATAGAGGTTTCTGAATCTGAATAAAGTGTTTAGGATGTACATGTATACATCAAAGTAAAGTAAATTGTTAAAGCATACACATTACTTAACCCCCCAAAAGGTTAAATTCTATTCAAGATGCATATGGGTACATGTATAAGAAACATTTATATAAGAAATATTAAAGATGCATTATAAAGAAATTGCATTTGAATATGATAGGACTCTAAGCGTGAAGTATGTATGTGTGTGGAAAAGATTCACTTTGACTAGGTAATTCTTGCCTTTTTCCAGAAACAAAGAAAAAGTGAGTGAATGAAAACTAATGGCATTGGATCATTAATTAAGATTTGTTTTATATCAATGTATGTTTACTGTGAAATAGAAGATAAATTAATGATTTACTTATAAACATATTATATTATGTATGAAGTCTTGATATTTTACTTGATGCATTGCTGTTTAATTACATATATGCATTTTGTATGTATGTGCGTGTGTGTGCGTGTGTGTGTGTGCGTGTGCGTGTGTGCGTGTGTGGATGTGAGTGTGTGTGTGACTTTGCTTCTGCACAAAGCATATGCAATGCATCTCATTTGATACATTCAATTTATTCTCTCACTTTAATACTTTTGCGCAAGTCGATTTTTGCAAACGCTTTACCTTCTGGTCTTAAAGTTGATACTCTAAGCAAATAAATGTCCCTTAATTTGTTACCTACGGCAAGTATATGTTATTTTTAAGTTTTTCAATTACTTAGTATATCACAAAAAAATTCTGTCTACTCGAAATCCTCAATTGAAATGTCTAAAATATCCGCCTCTCTTTGCATAGAAAATCAGTCACGACGCTGGTCTACTATTTATGACCTCACGTCCGGGAGAGAGTATATTCACGTACCCGGATGTTCCATAGCAAACATGTGCAGAGTGATACGATTTTCTGCATATTTTTGTTTCAAAGGCTGAAAAGTCTAATAAATCATAATTCTATGTACAATTCTTTACCTTCCCCTAGTACTTCATAGTATTAATATCAATTCCCCTTTTAAAAATTATGACATATACATGCCAACGATGTGCTATTAGTCGATATTTTCACCATGTAATTTTTGTTTTGGTGTTGAAATCGGCCCAGGCACGGAGTGTACAGTAGCTGTCTACCCATGCACAGTTCATTACCATACACTGCAGCGATCTCCCGATGGTTTCTTCTTCCTTTTTCCCATGTCTTTCGCCTTCCTTGGCCCTGAACATCCTTCATCTACCAATTCTGACACCGGTAGTCAGGAGCAAGTCTTTGTTAGTTGTTTTCTTAGCTGGCAACGTCACTTTCATTCTCTTGCAATTGCCGATAAACATATAACTAGCGCACGTACGTTCCATCACAAGCAAGCAGCGCCTAGAGCAGCGGCTTGGTCTTACCTCCCGATTCTGCTCGCTCCACGAACGTTCATGCAAGAGCCGCATCACTCGCCAAAATATTATAGAGGAAGCGCGCTTGCATGATCTCGTTCAAGTTTGATATTTTACAACATAAAATGTTTAACTGGTACTGTATCCTTTTTTGAGGCAGTCACACACATATATGATAAGTACTATCATAGTTCTAGACCTATTCGTTTTACAAAACTGCTCATGTACATCTGATGACAATAATTTATAATGCATCCGCCTATTCATAAGTGCACGATTTAACTTTAATTCCTAAGCAGTAAACTCGTCTTAAATCTCTACCAAATAGGTGAATATGAGGATGTAAAAAGAAATCAGCGACTGGAAAATGTTGCTTCGTTATTCTTCATTCAAATGAAAACAGAAAATCCATCAAATATACTCCTTAACAACAACAAATCTAAGCTCTGACAGGATAGCATTTACGTAGGGATATCACTGCCATTCACTCTCACTGAGCCCATGACTCCCGTTCGTGACGTCACGGATAGAGGCCCGACTCTACGTGCACTTCCGGGTTTCAGACTTAGATATTTTGGTAGAGTTTACTCGAATAAATTCATTATTCTAAACTTGTTTTGTCGGGTGGACACCATTTGGTGTTATTATGGGGTTAAAAGCTTTCTATTTATGTAATTATCTCAGTATTTGGGATTGTCTTAGAGTATCAGCTTTAAAAATAACACAGAGTTCTGTGAATACGCTAAAAAACAATAATAACCACGGTGGTTTTTTTGTTTGTTTGGGGGGGGGGGTGTCTGAACGAGCCTTAAAATGGGGTACTCAGAGCCTTTTTTAACACAGAGTGGCTTGGTTTCAGTTTTTCAATCACAAAAAGGCGCAATTTGTTTTTTCTGTGCTTTTTTGTTGTTGTTAAACGGTACACCCGCCCCGTCCTCCTTCCCACCCCCCCCCCCTTCATCAACACGGTCATGAAAATAAGACATTACTACCTGATCAACAAGGCTGAGCGTGTGTTTATTGAAATTTGAGCGGATCAAACATCTCATAATAATCAACTTTGGCGCAAGTCGATTTTTGCACTCTCGCAAACAATGCCTCCTGTTCATCCAGGCGTGAACATATACCGCACAAAAATGATACGAAATGATTTGGGATAAAACACTCTTTCATAAGATGTATAATAAATTACTGTTCATAGATTATTAAAAAAATAATTAGCAATTTTCTAGAATTTGGCATTCAATACATTAACATTAATGAGAGTAATATCGATACACCATCAATACTTATTGTGCGTGTTATTTAATCTCAAAGTCACACTGACACTTGCACGAGGTTTGGTCCCAGAGTATGCGTGCCTAATCGTAGCTACTCCTATAATCACAGTCTAAAGGTCATCCAAGTCCGGTACGCCCATCGAGGCCAATGGTTGTTTGCAAACATTTAGGTGTACTACTCCTGACCAGCCTTCCAACACATCAAAGACCCCATCCAGATCTAGAGGTGAGAATACGAAAGGTAAGCCTATATCGTGTGAGATCATGCATTGAAGCTTTTCGTAAGTATAAGATAATGTTTAGCTTTTTCATCGTTATATTGGTTTAGTTTACTACTATGCTGGATTTGTGGTAATTTTCTTTTCTTGAAATAATCATGAGATGATTATTCCTTTATAACGTTTGATTTCTTTCAACATACACCAAATGTATGGGCTAACCTGTTTGTAGCTATAGTGCAAATGATATACGATTACCTGTTTCAAGACATATATGGTAGGCATACTACGTACTAATATGGACAAGGGTGTACGGCCTAGTATGGATTAAATTGAATTGACTTGAGTCGAATTATTAAAACCTGACAACCATGCTTAAAAATCGTGTTTGAGCAAGACATAAAGGAGAAAAGAAAGACTAACAACTTATCAGTACAGTAACCATATATCTCTTGTTAGTCATCAATCTAACTCATTTAAGAACCAGTCTCCCCTCAATGTTAAAATCGCTTTAAAAAATTCGCTAACTTGAGTATGACGTCTCTGTTATCTGATTTTTATTATGAATACGCACTTTTCCTCTGCATTGAGAGAAGCAAACTTATGGTACATTTACTAGGTTTTCTTTGTGTTTATCGAATTTGGGGCCAAACATCAGTGTATGTATTTCCTTACATATCTCTCCTTGGTAATGACCTACAGCTAGTATGTTTATTTATTTATTTTTAATCTCTTGTTTTATGTGAGTAAACTCTTAACAAAATGTTATCTTTTTTCCGATGTAACTTTTTACGAAGATGTTTTTTAAGCACTTGCCAAAAAGTAATACCTAGGGTAGAAGCTTTATTTCCGTAACGATAGCCCTACACACTATTCAGGTATTTTGAATGAGTTTGGCAACGAAAATGAGCACATAAGTTGTCTGTGTATTCTGCATGTATAGTGAACTGTATCATTTCGATGTAAAAGAAATAAGTAGCCCTCGTTGTAAGATTGTTGTAGGATTAATTGCTGAAGATTCCATACAGCCTATTATCATGCCCGCTGCTTTTATCTTGAAAATGGCATGGTAAGATCTATTTGTGTCCAACATTTTGGTTAATCCATGAAAATGTCACGATGATATCTGTGATAACATGTGATAAGACATCTTTAAGGAAGGAACAAAACTCAACAAAAACAATAACGAGATGATTGGTAGTGTAAAATCGAAAAATAGCAACGAAAACAGACTAAAGCTTTTTATCTTGTTCTTATCGGAGTAAATCGCAAGAATGAACAGAAAACCGAGATCAGAAAATATTATAACAATAAAACAGGATCATGATTGTGTCATATTCATGAAATATGTTCACTTACCAATTATATATAGAATTCCCCAATATTCATAATTGGAAGAGAAGGGGGAGGTTTTAAGGTAGGGCCCCATTAACAAAAAAAGAATTAAAAAAAAGCCCCTCTTACGATGAAAAAAAGACCTATTCAATGGTAAAGAATCTCATCTGCCATTCATGTCATATTTCAGCCTTTGATGACATTATAGTATATTTTTTCTTCACTTGTCAACATTACCATATTAAAGGTATGGCCTATAGACTAGTTTTGGAAACGCCCCCCCCCCCCTCAAAAAATGAAATGGAAGCTCGTATTAGCAATCATGTGAAAGAATATGTTTTGACTAGTACCTAATGATACAAATTTTGCCGGGAAACCGCCTACTAATTGATATATTTGGTAAATTATTTCTATCCGGACCGGATAGATATCGCGTAGTCCCGTATACATCTTTCTTTCGTACCATCAATTATAACTATAATTATTACATTACTCCTTTTCTCATCTTTAAGGACAAAATATACAAAAAACATACAGAAAAACAGAAGCAAACAACTTTTCATAGCTTTACCCAAATCTGGCAAAAATAAGGTTTCACAAAACAATATTGCTTAGCCTTAATTTGAGAGTTTAGGATTTTGTTCTTCTTTTGTTTTCTGGGACACACTGAACAGGCTACTTAGCGAATAGTGACCTGATTTGACGGCTTTATTTAGGAAATCTTAAGGTACTATATTCCCATTTGCAGGCCCAAAAATGAAAAGGTTACATTCCAATGGCATTTGAAAGATAATACAAATTTAGAACTTCCCTAAAAAAGGTGGGGCTTGAAAATGTCTTTTAGTGGGAAAATAACGACTATTAGTTGTCAAATCGACTTAGGATCTATAGAGCCAATAAGTAATAGTCTTGATTTTCAGACTATTGTACCGAATGGTCATACGTTTTATGCTACGCAAAGATTCAATCAGTTAAATTTTGGCTATCACAAGAAGTGGGTTATTGATGTAGACAAATGCTCATGTATCCTTTACAGCTTATTTTATGTATGTTATTACCAAAGAGGAAAACAAATACAGTCAGTCACTCAATAGTGTCTGACAGTGAAGTCTAGCAAGTAAACGGGTTTCCATGCATAATTTGAATATTAAGACACTGCTAACGTTTAAATTTCACAGATAGAACATACATGACATATTCATAATTCCTGCAAAGTTCTACAGAGTTTGAGGTCGGCTGCAAAAGGGACATAGCACCTTTAAGAAAGCGATTATAAAACGCAGAGACATTGTATCTTTGTTCGATTCCTCATGAACTTTAATCAGACACCAAGCTCGTTTTATTACGTTTGTTCAAATAGGAATAATGATGGAAACATGAGAGTACAAGATAAGATAAGGCCTAATAAAGAGTATGATTTGAAATGTTAATGTTTGTTGAACAAACAATGGTAGTCCGGGTGATTTTACACCTAAACGGAATCTCTAAATCAACCTCTCACTTCCATTTTGTTGTTTCCTTCTTCCCCCCTTTTTTGTTGTTGTTGCTGTGATTCATTATTGCTCTGTAAGAGACTTTCTCGGTAGTATGTAATTATACATATTCAAGTTCATTACGCCATCGATTGTACACTACGGACTCTATATGTATTTTGTTAATATAGATAATGTAAAATCCTAAAAGGGAAGTCCCCCTGATATTAAGTTGGTTTTAATAAAAGCAGAAATATCCGGTTGAAAATAGGAAAGCTATGAGTATTTGTAGTTGGTTTTAATAAAAGCAGAAATATCCGGTTGAAAATAGGAAAGCTATGAGTATTTGTAGTTGACATCAGTGAAAAAACAAATTGACAAGACTGTGACGTATTTTGCGAGCTCCTCTCCAAATTACTTTGTATAGAAAATGTCGTAATCTGTCATTTTATAAGTTATTGGTGATGGAATTGATTTGTTTCTTCCCAGCGGGATTGTGTAAAAACATATTTGAAATAATTATATTTAGGGTGAATGTTTTTATCGGTTTTAGCTCAAACTTTAATGACATGTTTCCCTCATGTTTTTGCTTTCCATTAAACCAACTTAAAATCAGGGTGGACACCCTATTTAACATGGGCCTACATCATCGTTTACCTTGAATACCTGACAAGAAATATATCTTCCAAGATCAAAGAGGCAGAGGTCTTTGGTTTGCGCTATTATATTCAGGTATTTGTCAACTTTCACATGAGCCGCAACATGGTTTTTTTTATAGCTAGTCGTGTCTAATTTTTGTTCTTCTTCTCCTTATTATTTTCTTTATTCTTCTTCCTCTCCCCCTTCGTCTTTATCTTCATCTTCTTCTCCTCATTCTTCTTCCTCTTCTCCTTCTCCTTCTTCTTCTTCCTCTTCTTCTCCTTCTTCTTCTTCTTCTTCTTCTCCTCCTCCTCTTCTTCTTCTCCTTCTTCTTCTTCTTCTTCTTCTTCTCCTTCTTCTTCTTCTTCTTCTTCTTCTTCTTCTCCTTCTTCTTCTTCTTCTTCTTCTTCTTCTTCTTCTTCTTCTTCTTCTTCTTCTTCTTCTTCTTCTTCTCCTTCTTCTCCTTCTTCTTCTTCTTCTTCTTCTTCTTCTTCTTCTTCTTCTTCTTCTTCTTCTAAAGTACGGTAAATAATAAGCAATTGAATGACTGACATATACATTTTTTTCTGCTATTGTTGTTATTTTCCATTGTCGGGTGAATATTTACCTAATGCATTTCAAATAAACAAACTTTTGAGTAATTTCCATGTCACATAATTATTTAGGATATGGATATCACGTTTCCTAATGACCAAATATTGCCATGAAGTGTCTACACTAGTAATGTTTACACAGTGCTACTCGTGACTCGTGATTAAGAAGATTAATCCCATACTCCAGATGTGTGCTATCTCACATATGAGATATGGTGTACCTGGTACCAAACAAGGGTTAATAACCTCGTCTTACGGCAAACAGAAAATCAAGGAGCTTAATTACAAGAAGACTTTCATGATAATAATCATCCTGCTAAATATAAAACTCATTGCAGATGTAGTATCGAAAATAATGTCGCCCTAGATATGTTCGTTTGTCTCGCAATGTATGGTCAACAAGGGATCTAAAAGATCACGACGTTTCGTGCGCCGCTGCAACTCTTCGTCAGGTGATAAAAGATATTGTAAGCAAGCGTGTTTTGTATTCTACGGGTGGACCGGCGGTCAAATAATCATCCTAGTAAGACAATTAGGAATCTCATCATCCGTCATTTGCAATTGATCTTTTCTTTCTATCTTTTTGTATTTTGCAGATATCTTTTTATTACATTATTATAGGAGACTCAACTCATTAGTTGCAATGGAGACTCGGGAGAGAAGGACAAATAAAACGAGTGGATCAAACTCAGAGAAACATGAGGAGACGATGGGGAACGGGGATGTTACAGAACCAGACAATAAACAGGGCAAGGTGAGACAAACAATTTTGAGTGATTTCTTTTCTTCAGACGGAACTTGATAGTATTCCGTGTTAGCTGTGTGAATGTGTTTGTTTTGAGCATCACACATTGGTATGTAACGCTGAAGCACTGAAGGGAGCTAACCGCTAAAACATGATGATAGCCTAAATGAAGTAGAATGTTTTTCATCATGGAATTTAATTGGTCAGTCCACAGGAGTTTCGACAGTTAAGTGGAAGATACTATAGATATCATGTATGTAAGCTCAGTGGCCTGCAGCTATCATATTTTGATTTCAGTCAACACGCAGTAAATGAATAATTAATGTGTTTAAACGCAGCGTATTCTACTGAAACTACTTTGATTTACTTATACCCGCACCTGCCTACAAATCTGAGAACTTTCCTATTTTGAACATTCTCTGGACGTATGTAGGCTTACCGTCAAATAGAGAAAAGAACTTCCAATCATTCTACCATCAACATTTCTTTCTCTATTGTTACTAACATAATATGACTTTTTTTACCAAATATCCTGTCTCCATATTGGATATTATTGCTTGCTTTCCGTGGACAAAATGAGAGTGCTTTGATCATTCTCTATTTGATAATGCAGATTTGAACTAATATTGAAAATGTCGATTCTTTGTGATTATAGGTCACTATGAAGAGGCAGATGAGTCTCCTAAGTGGTATTGCCCTCATCGTTGGGACTATGATAGGTTCGGGTATTTTCATTTCGCCAAAAGGAGTTCTGAGACAAACTGAGAGTGTTGGCATGAGCCTTGTCATCTGGGTCCTATGTGGTGTTCTCTCTACTATAGGTAAGATTTGTGACGCCAAAATTTATTTTGAGAAAGATGCTTATACAGACAGAAATCTCACTCTATCAAAATAATGAAAACAATTTATGACATTAGTTTTTTTTTAATAATCGTTATCATTATCCAATTATTCATTTATATATGTATGTATTTTGTCAATGTATTGATTTACTTGATTACTTATTCATTGATATATGTATGTATTTTTTTTTTTAATTCACCAGCCAACACAACTAAGCGGCGGTGGGGGGGGGGGGGGGGAGGAGCACTAATTATTTTCCCAATTCGTGAGAAAATAATACTCAACACCCACTATCCCCCCCCCCCTTTGAGTCAGGAGAAAGGGGCTCGTCTTCTTTGTTTTCTTCAAAAAAGGTTAAATTTACCTGTTTTGGGGGGTCAGGGAAGGGGCCGCCCCCACCCCCCCCCCCCCTTAGATCCGCCACTGCATAACCTCCTTGGTCATACAAAACAATTGAACTGGTTGATCTGAATCTCAATAACGTCTCTGTCTGACTCGTTTGTTAAGTTTGGTGTTCAGTTTAATACCCTCGAGGAAAATATGAAATATGAAATGTTCAGTCTCGGTGTTTACTTTCAATCCAATGTTTTCATTTGCTCAATGTGAAGGTGCCCTGTGCTATGCTGAGCTGGGCACTCTGATACCCAAGTCAGGCGGTGAATACTCGTACATATTGGACACCTTTGGTTCTCCACTCGCCTTCCTGTTTGCTTGGGTATCTACTCTTCTCATTAAGCCATCTTCAGTTGCGATCATCAGTCTAAGTTTCGCAGAGTATGTAGCAGCACCTTTCTTTGGAGGGGAGTGTGACCCACCGGATACTATCATCAAGTTGTGTGCTGCAGTGTGTGTCAGTAAGTCCCACGTTCACTATCACGATTTCGCCATATGTAGTGTTGACACGATATCACATGTTTTCATAACCTGTCATAACCCGCTATGATCTTTACAACAAATTTCTGACCAGACATATAATGTGTGAGATAATAGCTGTGTATTCTTTGAAGAGTGTATATCAATGGGGCGTCCCATCCCATCCCATTCTCCTGATAAAATCGACAAACCTCGCCAGCATATAACTAATCATTCCTCTTGATTTCAATCTTGATTGAGTGTTTAAAGAAAGTTGAATCAATTCACAAATGAAATATACGATCACTCTACTATTATATTCACCACTAACAAATCCTAAGAAAAGTGGCCACCTCTCGTGAAATACGTTTGAGTTTACAGACTGGTGTGTTCTTATGAATGGTGTAGCACGTATATGTCACATGGTTTTCATTTTAGTCAGGTTTCAGTAGATTTCAAATCTATGAAGAGAGAAGATTACAGACAAATACTTGGAATGAAACACAAAGAGCATGTATCTGGCTTACTTCGAATGATCGGGTCATCGCGTCCGGTCGTTGGCCGCGTTACACGACCTTTCGTGAAACGAAAGCGTTAGATCACGCGGCTTGCCGTAGGGTTTTCAGTGTCGGTTAAATTGGACCAGACCATTTATAGACGAGATCAGGGGCGGCTATTCTGGGGGACGGGGGGGGGGGGACACGTCCCCCCTCAATCTGTTTAGGGGGGGTCGTCCCCCTCAAAATTTAAAAAAAAGTGGAGAAAAAAATGTATAGCAAATACTGATTAAAGACTGCAACACACTTTTATGCTCTGAAGGGCCAAAGAGTGCGGTGTTTAGACAAATAAAAATGCAAAAATCTTCTCACTTGGTAGCTACGCTCCCTCGCAAAATATCCTTCAAAATGAACACGTAAATACCGAGAAAAGTGAAGTGTGAAAACAGTATATTGCTCGTTTTTATACTATAGTTTTGCTAGGGAATGTGATTTTTTAATACAACCTAAACCTTTAAAAACCTGTGAGGTAGTCACTTCCATCACTTTCACCCCTCTCATTCACTATGCTCCCTCGTACTTGCGTATTGATGGGGGGGGGGGTTTGGGGAAGTTCCCCCCTCCAAAATTCAAATTCACAGTGGTTTATTTCTAATTCGATACCAGTGATTTTTAAATGTTGCTGAAATGGCATTTTCCCCGAGTTTCCGGGGGTTCTAGCCCCCCTGAACCCCACCGCGGGCCCCTGGTTGCTCATCTGACCGCAATTAAATGCCTAAATGCCTGAGCTTCGGGGGCTTTGCCCCCCAGACCCCACCAAGGGCCCTAAGGAGGCCCCTGGGTGCTCATCTGATCGTTATTTAATGCCTAAAACCCCTGGGCTTCGTGGGGCTCCGCCCCTGGACCCCAATCCAATTAGTGACCTGCAGGTCAGTGCATGTCATAAATAAGGTATAATATATAAAATATGCTCATCTGACCGTAATTAAATGCCTAAAACCCATGAACTTTTGGGGGATCCGCCCCATGGTTGCTCATCTGAACTTAATTTAATGCCTAAAACCCCTGAGCTTCGGCTTTGCCACTGGACCCCACGCCACTTTACGCTCCACTTGCTTCGCTCGCTTTGCTGTACCAGATGCGGATTTTTTTTTTCTGCATTTCGCCCCCCCCCCCCCCCCGGTCAAGAAAAGAAATCGCCGCCCCTGGATGAGATGGGTTCATATCACAAACATAGCCCCCGACATTTCGTGAATAAAGAGACATGTTTTACAAAAGATCGGGTAACGCGACCACCCGACCCTACGCGATGATTTCATGTTTTGATTGGTATTGGAAATAAGATTATTTGTATTGAATTCAATTGAATTGACCCAAATAACCTAATGATCCGAAGTAAGCCCATGTATTAACTATTATGAGACCTCTTGCAATTATACATTTATATATGGTTTAGTGGATAAGGTCACTAACTGTGGATATCACATGGTTCACGGTTCGAGTCCCGCCGCGGCACTAATGTCCTTTGTCAATATATTAATCTTCTTTTTCTGCTCTAAATATTCTGATCATTATATAACATTTGAAAAAAATACTTACAATATTAGCACAATGTAAAAGGCTCTATTTGAATGAACCATTCAAAGTTAAACTTATTATTCTCCCATCTTGTTTTAGTTTTGATTGTGGTCGTCAATTGTGCCAGCGTCAAATTGGCAACAGGTGTTCAAAACGTCTTCACGGTAGCCAAGCTTCTAGCTTTAGTTATCATCATCATTGTTGGATTTATTCAACTGGCACAAGGTAAGACAAGTAAAATGGTTTATTCTTTTCTCATTGATCGGTTGATTAAATAAATGTATTGGTCAGCTTTTTTTTTTTTTTTTTTTTTTTTTTTTTTACTATAACAAGAAGTCATAGAATAAATGTCTAGACAAACAAATGTCGCTACTCTCTTTAGCATTCAGTTGTAAATGAATTGACATGGTTTATTCACTTGACTCTCAATCCAGGAGTTGAGGGTTTGAACCCCAGTACAGCACTAAAGTCCTTAATTTGTCAAAACATTAATCCACATTTGCCACTATCTTCCCAGAGGCAAATGGACACCTGCCGATTCCTTGGGTAATGATAATTGCAGGGCCTTCAGTAAGAGCCTAAGGAAGAAAAGCAGTTATGTTGATGAGGATTCCCTGGCCAACCAAAATTATTAATTTTATTAAAACATAATACCGTGTAGATCCATTAAACAATTAAATTGATCTTGTTCCTCGAATATACTCATCAAAGTGTAAAATTTCCAAACGGAAAACAAAAGGTCTGGTCTAAAAAATTGAGTTTAGTTGAGAAACGTGCTACATCCATGGAAAAACGGGAAAACGAGACCAACAGTTGATGGCTCGGTATTGTGTGATAGTTTGCCATGTCCATTAAGAACTTCAACAACAGTCTAATTCGTTATTTCTTCATACTGGCGAATTAATGTATAAAGCGTGAATTTTGAATTTCTACGTTATCAGCACCAACAACTTAGTGCATTTGGAAACGTTTTATCTTTGTTTATTTGATATCCTTCTTTCAAGAGGGCCCCATGTGCGAACAGTGCATGTCACTGATAAAGGAGGTTAATATTTGTTTTATATCCCACATCGTATTTCAATTCAGTTAATAAGTCAATAAAACTGGTAAAAATCCGAAAGAACGATGAATTTGACAGCACATAACATATCATACATGTCTACAGTGTATGTACACTAGAGATCACCGAGGGGATGATAGTTTGTAGTAAAAAAGTACTAACACACCCCTAGCTCACGGCCATGAAGTGATGGTAAATATATCATTGATCATATGACCTCGTTTAGACCAATCAGATTGCAAGATTCTTAGTATGCGGGATATAATAACAAATAATGAAATTGATAGTAATATTTGAGGGTTATCAATTTTTATTTTAATGAAACTGCATAGTTTTTTCTTAAATAGTGAAGTAATCCATCGGACATTAGGTAGGTACAAGTCCACTTCAAATCCACCATGATACAAAATGTGAGATATTTTTCTCTATCGGAACTTAAATTTGACGGACATGATAATGTTTGGGACTAAACTCTTCTTTAATCATTCATATTATCATACGAGTTATTTTGTCTTCATATAAGTGTTAGGCATATGACTAAAATAAAATGCACCCCACCCTGATTACATAAATCATAGATTGCGTATAATTACCTACATGTGAATACTAACCGTGTATTATGCATTGCTTTCAATGATAAAGGCTTACCTTCAGCCAGATACCTTTATCGTACGAAAAGACGCCAGACCGAGCTAGGGTAATAAACTGACCGTCAAAGCCTATAAAATCATTTGGAAATGCAAATACCTTTGTTTACCTGTGACCCGATAAAAGCGTGGACCTTGATATATCCTGCACTGTTATGTAAAAGAAAACTAGATTGAACCGGTTTAATATGACAGGACAATACCCTGTAGAGCGATGTCTGGACTTTCAACTTTGGTGTAATGACCAATTTAGGGAATGATAGGCACGTGCCCCGGGCGGCACTTGAACAACGCACAAACGAAACCCGCAAAATGGAGGGGAAAAAATGAAAGAAAAGAAAAGGCAAGAAGAAATGAATCTTTCGCTTCTTCAGGTTAAACCCATATTACACTTATCCATGTTTGCTTATAATACACTAAATCAAACTAGACACTAAAGATGGACGAACTGATGATAAGACAATAGTAGTAGGTATAGCACACCAAAAATAAGTACAACAAACACATGTTATTTGATGATTGCAAATGATCAAGCTTTATGAAAGCTTCAAAAAACAAAAAACAGAATTGAAATCGGTCAATGCGTTGTGATTTATACCACTTTTTTTTAAATCTCAAAATTACCGAAAAAACCTGCCAGAAATGGTCGAATTGGCAAAAATGGCAAAATTCGACAAAGTTGACAACTTAATTCATCACTTTCTTGAACTCAAATATTAAATTAAATTATCAGACACTAAAATATCATCTTTGTGGTAAAAAATACAAAACAAAAAATTCATATATCTTTTTCCGTTTTGAAAACAGAAGCCAACAAAATAGGTAATTTTTGCCATTTTTGCGAATCTGCAAATATGAAAAAGTTGTGAAAATAACTAAGTCCGCCTAATTAATATGCGCATATGTAATCAAATCAAAACCGAACATGATACATCAGTGAAATCTATGTATATCAGACAGGTATGAAAATATATTTTATTTCAAATTTTAAAATATCATGAATATTCATCAAATATGCAAATTAGGTCATTTCAGCTAATATATATATATATATATATATATATATATATAGGAAAGTCAAACTGTTTATTTTGTAGGCAATTTTAAATCATATATTTATAGATCATATTTACACGAAATATTAACATTAAATTCCAAATATTTTTGCAATGCCAATAAAATATGGCGATGGAAATTACTTGGATCACCGTCACAACTATTTCCTCGTATGTTTCCTAAATTATTCAGAAAAACCGATCAAATGATAAGAATTTGCAGACTTTCAGCTATATCACAGTATATTTTTCTTTTAAAAAAATGTCAGATTTGAGAATTTATGACGTTTTTCCGGGAAACCATTCAACAGGCCATAACATTCCACAAGGACTGAATTTTAGAGTAAAAATAAGTTTGGTGACACCAGTACAGTTGTGGCTACCTTGAGTGCAAACAACACATTGATTAAATGAGTGTAACACATGAGGATATTGCATTTTTTGTAGGGGAGTTTTCACCACGCAGAATAATAGTGCAAGTCAATGGGCGATCAGCGGGCCATGGCTGAAAAGACAATATTCTAATTAAATAATTTAACATATTTCCCACATGCCTATAACAATGAAACACACAGAATTGTAGTTAAAGGTATGCTTGAAATATATGTGAAATAAAAAATTAAAAATATTGTTTTTTTTAAATAAATTTACAAAAACTGCTATTTCTAGCAACTGACTGCCGTTGTGTGTGTGTGTGTGTGTGTGTGTGTGTGTGTGTTTGCGGGGCAGACTGTGTGCACAGGCAGTATGATCACCCTAATAGTAGACGAATTGAATTGATACCTGTTGAATTTAGGAAACACACCTGGCTATATATCAATGGAAGTGACAAGTTGAATAACAGACGAATTGGCATTTGACCCAATAGCCTTTATCAACTTAGAAATATGTTAGATATGTTGTTTGACTTTCTTCTTCTAGAGGCAGAGCTCCATAGCGGCTAGTGCTCATGAAAATGAGTGAAAACATTTTTAGAAATGAAAAATTCAAATTTTAATGAAACGTGGTCGCTAGAGTAAATGTTTTACCGTCAAATTAGTTTGCAATTTTGTAGAAATCTTGCCTAATCTGAATCCTCCCCCCCCCCCCGTCACTTTTTCGAAAATCTGGCTTACCATTGTGAAGTCAAGCGGTAAGTCGCCGCAAAAAAAAGCCGCAGGTTTTTAACGAATAAATGAATCTTTAAAAAAATGGCCTTATAAAAAATGTTGACCCAGTCTCAAACCTCAAATTGTAATACTCATAGAACAGAGATTTGAAATGGAGCCGAAAACCTGAAAGAAATTCATAGGACAAAAATATATAAGTCAGGTAAAGCAATCCTCAAACCTCCTCAAACATTTCGCTTCGATCGGTCGCTCTGTAATATCTGATTAAGCCCAGTTATTTGTAGGGTTAATGTTTGCAAAGATTTGTGTTTCCTATGATTTTGCAGGTAACACACAATATTTGGATCCTAAGATATCATTCCAAGGTTCTACTGCTAATGTAGCCGCATATGGGATCGCTTTCTATCAAGGACTGTGGGCATATGATGGATGGTAAGACAATGCCGGGTCACAAGCCAAATAGAGACTGAATCTAAGAATCACTATGACTTTTAAAGGATTGTAATGAACTTTACAAGGTTTTGGAAACAAACATCAATAATTAGTGGAGTGCAATAATGGATGCCTTCATAAGCTTTCAAGCAAAGCTAAAGATATTAAGTTTTATGCGGTCCATTTTGTAAGAAGCAAAATTAAAAATCGTTCCCATCTATTGTTAAGTACACTTGAAGGGATAGCTGAGTTATTGTTTAAGATCGCAAATGCCTTCATAATGCATGGTTATTGCTCTTATTCTTTTTTCTTCTGTTTTTATTGTTATTGCTCTTATTCTTATTTATGACATTTCTAGTGCCCTTTTAGAACCTAAAATTGAAGGTAATTTTAGACCCCCACATTTGTGAATTTAGATTAAATACGATCATTTCAATTCAGCTCCACTTTCCCCAAAATACGGTGACCGTTAATTAATAAGTTGATACAGAATAACAATACATGGGCCGGCTAGTTGTGCGTATTATAACCAACACGAAAAAAAGCCAACAAAAAGTCAGCATTGGCATAAGCTGAAATAAAACGTATAAGGCACTATTTCTTTTTTTCAACGGCTGATTCAAAATTATAAAATATTTGTGGGGCCCCACAAATACTAGAAATGGTTATATTTATGGATATTGCAGCCGTCTCTGAACCGATTTTGATCAAACAAAGATGATTTTATAATCTAAATTGTACATTCTTTCAAATTTGACACTCAGTTTTTCGTTATCTCACAAAAAAATATTTTATGTAGTGACCTCTGAAACAAAACTCAACTATCCCTTAAAGTATATATATATAATCACGTATGCCTTTGAAACGGCCGGAAATTTTAACGCAATGGCTATTTTTTACTTAATGCCTCGATGACATTATTTTTTCAAGGCGATTCAATTCATATTCATAAACAATATTATAAACTACTTCTTTTGTTCCTTATTACGTTATCATATAGTTAAGATTTGTTTATACATTTATGATAATAACGTGTATGCTATGTAATTTGCATTAATGTTCATGTATTTTACGTATAGCCTTTTTTAAATTTCCCATTCGACAGGAATCAGCTTAATTACGTCACAGAAGAACTAATTAATCCCTACAGGTAAGCAATTCAAATCATTCCAGATAGATAGGCCTTATTATGTATAGAGAAATAGACTGTCTCCAGGCATAAGAAGAAAAATACAAGGATCACACAAATTCTAAGTGAACTGTGAACGCACACGTTACTCTTAAAAATTGGTGGTGGAAGTTATTTTACCTGACTGCTAAGAAAGCATAACATAAATGCTTGTTAGTAAGCAACCAGGCGGCCGACGGCTTTAAGTACTCTCCGAGGGACATGGTAATGAGGATTATTGTTTTACCAAAGGGCACTGGCCCATCGCCTTGGTTTCGAACCCGGGTCACCGGATTACGAGACCACTGCTCTACCGACTGAGCTATCGCGCCTCCTCTAAAATGAATGTATTTTCGTCACAGAAAATTTAAATTTGATCATATTTCTGGAAACATAAAGATTAAGATTGAGTATAAAACTCACAAGATAGAAGAAAAGTGTTAAGTGGTAAAGAGAGATACTTTATTCTAAAATTATTGATTTTCTACCTCTTTTTTTGTTCTTGTTCCTTTCCTTTAGAAACCTTCCTCTTGCCATTATCATTGGGATTCCTATGGTTACCGTACTGTATCTATTGGTTAATATCTCCTACTTTACCGTCATGTCACCAGAAGAACTTCTACAATCCAGTGCAGTCGCAGTGGTAAGCACATTCTATCCATCATATCGTTTCAAGATTTACACCGGCGAATGCAGGAATATCATTCTCGTTCAGATACGACACAGCGTTTTGTTTGGTTTTTGACGCTTCACATTTCGGAAAATAATATCTCAGAGATTTAGTAAATACGCGCCGGACTTTTTTAGCGCGCTGTTACCATTCGTTTACACGTTAAAAAAAAAAAAATCCGCAGCAGCTTTTTTGCTGCCGGTTACCCCGCCATATCTGAACGAGTCTGAGAGCATGATAACAACGGCAGTTAAAGTGTGCAATGTGGTAGACCTAGCATTATATTTTCCCCAAGTAATATATAACAAAGAAGTAATCGTATCGAAATTGTAATTAATATCCGTATAAAAAGAATCCAGTAGTCCATATAACCTGTTTAGTCATTCAATCGTACAAAATGAAAGTAACGAAAATACCAACCAAGGACGTCAAAAATCAATATGAAAGTGTGACTTCAGTTCAATACATGAAAACAAATCTCCTTTCCAAGGCTTATTTCATTTAATCACTGTTGACCATTCATATATGACTATTTGAATATCTTTAATAAGGAAATGTTGAGTTGATATATTCTTTAAATGAACCGATATGAAGGAGAACTATAGTTGAGATGATCAAAATTCCATTCCCCAACGAAATGTAAATAAATTAATTGTAATCACGGGAAATAATCTACTGATAATATCTAACTCGTTGTAAATCCCTCTAAATGTGTGCTGGACAGACGTTTGGTGACCGAACATTGGGTGTCATGGCATGGATAATGCCTTTCTCTGTAGCATGCTCTACGTTTGGCGCCGCTAATGGATCATTATTTACGGCAGGAAGGTACAATACGTGTGACTATCGTTGACACGTCGAATCGCCGTTCATTCCAATGTTGTTTGTGTCATGATTCATAATGGTACCGCGTGTTCAAGACAACTTGAATGTTAAGTTCATCTGTTTGTGTCCTAAAGTTCAATGTGTTGAGATGCCATTTTCCTTATACTTCTACACATCGAAGGCATATTCCATCGAAATTTTGTTTAGCATTGTGCTACATCCATAGTGAGCCTCAGCCTTACTGTGTAGTAGCTTTATCCGCTTCTTGTTATATCCATCTGATTTGATTTATCATATTAGGTCTTTATATCGAATTTCATTTTGTATTTTCAAATGAAATGGTGAATGTAGATAGAATAAGTATGCTTTAGCCATTTCATTGTCTATGGTGATGACGTACTGTGCATAATTATATATTTCTTTAAAGATCGTCATGTTGTTTAACAGGTTGCCGTAATTATTTCTTCTTTTTCATGCATGGCTCCATTTTTTGTTTGATATATAATTGTTTGTCATCGTATTTTGTTTGTATAGCGCTTGGAGACTTCGGTGGAAAGCGTTTCATAAGCACCGTTTATTATCATTATTATTATGGCATGGTTATTAATCATAAAGTATTTTAATATAGAACTTTACTGCGGGAGGTTCTGTATTTCTACCAATGACATAAGAAAAGCTAGTAGGTCGAAGAAGGGGCTTACGCCCCCCCCCCCCGGTGATTGGAACGCAACATGTGAGAGATAAGGGAGACGGGGTGAAAGAAAATACAAAAACAGGGAAAGGAATCGAACAGAGAAGAGGATGCGTCTTCCCGACACCCTCCCCGTAGCCATTGGCCTTCTCAATTCGCATTTCATTCACCAAATACGTACGACTGCTCTCCCTTCCCCTCGTCTATATGTCTTTATCATCCTGAAATGACACCTTTCCAAAATTATAGCTCTTATGAAATGATACCCCCTTTTACGCTTGCGTTGTATGTTATTTCTGCAATATGTCCAGGAGGGGTTATGACCCCCCCCCCCCCTCGTGATTGTTGCGTGTTGACCTATATTGTTCATCAATAAGATTAGAATATCACACATTTAATCGATTTCGCGTATTTTATGTGAATTGTACTCGCTCTTATACCATAAATTGTTACCGTTACGTCGTCTATTTGTCCTGTTGCTTTAATTAATTTTGTTTGTAGCTGCAGCCACGATTTATTTATCCAAGCCCCATTACCTATATCCAAGTCCCATTACCATTACCTATATCCAAGTCCCATTACCTATATCCTTATCTCATGGACGGAAGCAATGGGAATCTGTAACATTTAAAAGGCACATACTGAAAGGTTGATGATTTTAAAGTCTGAATACTGGCAGCAGTTCTTCAATGAAAAGGTAAAGATGAAAACAATTACACTGTCACTGTCACTTATATTGTTATACTAACCATGAAATAACACAATAGAGGGTATTTATACTGATACGTGATAATATTAAATATGATAATCATGCTAAATACATGATATATTTATGTTATACGTATTTACATAAACAAAAACTTTCGATTTTTTTTTTCTGACTAAGACACACAAATTGTCTTATTAGTTTAATTCGAAAATATTGGTACTTAATCTTTAAAATTCAAATCTGCAGACGTACGCAGACCGTACACTTGGTCCTATGGCATGGATAATGCCAGTGTTTGTTGCTATGTCTACCTTTGGTGCAGCAAACGGAAGTGTATTCACATCAGGAAGGTAACATTTCCATAAAGATCTGATTTCACCCATAATACAATGAAGAATGATAATTTTGAAATGATTGTGAAATAATCACCGCTAAAAAAACCTATTGCATAACAAATCCAACTACATTTCTAAAGGCTCGTTAATTACACATATTATTACGTGGTAAACCACTGCGGCAATTAAAACAGGACCTACACTGTCGCTCATAAATTTGGAATATTTTTGTTTTGCCCCAATTTATGGAATTATTTTAAAAATAATTTAAAAATAATAGATCTAGATAATAGTATACATTCTCAGATTTTATTGAATAATAATTGGACAATGTGTGTTTTGCGTGACTGCTAAAGCATGTGTATGCTACTATGCTTATCAACTAGGGGACCTACGCTCTTAAGTCATAAATGACAGTAATGAGGATAAATGCCCCCACAAAAGGGCACTAATATAGCAAATCTACACGGTTTTGATCCTGGGGTCTCACAGTTACGAGGCCATTGCTTTGTCACTGAACCATAACTGTACGCAGCGGGGGCTAGGGTAGGGGGCAGTTTCCATAAATTAAACAAAAAAACAGAAAATGCAATAAATTTTCAATAATTTATTGCATTTTACCCCGGTCTCCAACATAAAAAAATCGTCTGGACGGCCATGCATTATGGCTCAAGGCATGGGCACACGGACGATTTTTTAATGTTGGAAACCGGGGTAAAATGCAATAAATGATTGAAAATTTATTGCATTTTTTTTTAATGGAAACTGCCCCCTACCCTAGCCCTCGCTGCGTACATTCATGGTTCAGTGACAAAGTAATGGTCTCGTAACTGTGAGGCCCCAAGATCAAAACCGTGTCGATGTGCTTTATTAGTGCCCATTTGTGGGGCATTAATCCTCATTACTGTCATTTATGACTTAAGGGCGTAGGTCCCCTAGTTGATAAGCATAGTAGCATACATATGCTTTAGCAGTCACGCAAAACACACATTGGAAAATTATTATTCAATAAAATCTGAGAATGTATACTATTATCTAGATCTATTATTTTTAACTTATTTTTAAAATAATTCCATAAATTGGGGTAAAACTAAAAATATTCCAACTTTATGAGCGACAGTGTATTAATTACGTGTATAAGAATGGTAAGTTGTGGGTGAGAAAAAAATGTAACAAAGGCCTCTATTTACATACTTCTCTGAAGCTCACTTTTGTTTTTGAAGGAATGGGTGATGTATATTTCATATTGTTACGGAAATTGTTTTTAATTTTCATACTCGTCATATCGTGTGGATATCAAAACATCATAAACCCTCGCAAAAAAATAATAAACACGCAATTTTAAATCATTGCACATTTCATTAGTTAAATAACGACGTGTTTACATGCTTCCCAAAGAAGGTCATTTCCACACTGACATTTTGTATAACATGCCAGATTAATAGTCATAATTCAGAAGAAAAAAATTGTCATCGAAGAAGGTTACTTTTTACCTATGCCAAGGATAATAAAATTGTGTCAAGAAAGGCGTATTAAGGAAAACAGTTCTACATGTTGTATATTCTTATATTCTCAGATCATTTCAAGGCAGCTAAGTTTTCAGCACCAGTATTCACATCACATGTAACTGTCATGAAATTCTTATGTGTCAAAAAAAGAAGATTTTCTATTCGATGTGAATCCGTTTTCACCATTTCATCATAACTCATGGAATCCCATGACTTGCTCAGGCGAATAAAAATTAAAAACATATTGTGTCTACAAGTATAAACGATTATAATCAATCATGTCATTTTCATTTCAGGATCACTTTCGTGTAAAATGGAGACATAATTTACATTATAATTGCAGGACTAGTAAGCTTATGAAGACTAATTATTTCTTCCAGTGATCATTATTTTATGCATTTCGATAGAAGAACAGTAATATAGTGTAATTATGCTAAATGTTTTAATTAATGTGATTATCCGAAGACACTGGGTGATCGAACGCTAAGTTTGATGTCTTGGGTTATCCCTGTATCGGTGGCTGCTTCGACGTTCAGCTCAGCCAATGGTACATTGTTTACTTCAGGAAGGTAGAAACTTTGTCTTAAAATGAATTAAAATCATAAAGCCTAGAAACCCTTGTGGTCCTTGACCCCTCCTTTTTTCTCTCCCTATCTCTCTCTCTCTCTCTCTCTCTCTCCCTATCTCTCTAATGCTCTCTGTCTCTCTCTCTCTCTCTCTCTATCTAATGCTCTCTCCCCCATTCTCTCTCTACCTCATTCTCTCTCTATGTCTCTCAATATATATATATATATATATATATATATATCTCATTCGCTTTCACTGTCTCTCTATCTCTCTCATTATCTCTCTCTTTCTCTCTCTCTCTCTCTCTCCCCCTCCCCCTCTCTCTCTCTCTCTCTCCCTCCTACCATAGCCTCTAATTGCCTCAATCTCTCTCCTATTTCGTGCACCTCTTTTTCTCAATTCTTTTCCCCAACAATCTTTCTTTCTCCATGTGGTCCTTATTTCTAATTCATGAAATATATTCTTGTGGAAGTAGGAAGCAAAGTATAAACCAAAGATGATGCATTTAAAATCACTGATATTGATGAGATATCTATCTCTTACTATATTGCTCCGTCTCTCTTGAAGCGCAAAGTCTTTAATTGCATAATTAATCAGATATGTTTAGTATATCTTTATACCTGCTTTATCTTATATGTACTAACATTTATTCTTAAAAATAAATGATAATCTTCCTTGATCAATAAATTTCTCCCACACTACAATTTAACAGTTTCTTTAAGCATAAGAAAAAATAATTTCCTTGAGAGCTCTCTTTCAATCTAATCAATAGTGAACTATCATATGATATCATCGCCCATATTACACGCATTGTTCGTAAAAAGTCGAAATAGCGGTACTCATGAAACTTACTATTAAAATAGTCCTGTTGAATCCGGAGTATATTGACGATTTTGACCGTCTTGACCATTTTCTTTTTGTTTGTTTATTTATTTATTTTAAATTGATTAATTTGTGCATTTAATTTGTGTGTTTATTCATCCATTTATTTCGTTATTTTTACTTCATCTTTTTTGATCATCCATTATTTATGTATTCATTTGTTTGTTTATAAATGTATTTATTTATATATTAATCATTTCATACTGTATTATTTAGTTACCTTTTCATATCAAGAATGAGTAGTTTACAGCTTGTTACCACCGAACTGCTACATTAGCTATCAAAGTTCCTCAAAGTGCACATGTATTCATTCCACCTGCCAACCTGTTGCTTGCATCCTCAGCAGGTGGAGACCGATTCTAGTTGTTACACAAGCAATTTCTCTAAAACTGTACATGACGCGAAGTTTGACGGTTGTGCCCTATACGGGATCAGGTCACAATAACACTATTACTCCTATGTCTGATTAGGTTTTTTTGATCAATTCGATATTTTTTCATATTGTACCAAAGGTGCGATGATCCATACAGTAATAGATATAACATTGTAATTAATGTTTATTGAGTGTCTTTATAGGTAGGAGTAGAATGCGTTTGGATAAATTGTTACAACGTAGCAACTTACCCCATCTTAAACATAATACACTCACTCGCACACACGCACACACACACACGCACACGCACACACACACGCACACGCACACGCACACACACGCACACGCACACACACACACACACACACACGCGCGCACACGCACACACGCAAACTCACTCCACATACACACGTATACGCACACACGCACGCACACACACACACACACACACACAAACTCACTCCACATACAAAGGAGTTATTTTTTTTAAGAGACACTCAAAGAGTGCAAAGACACGCTCAATTCAATGATATATTACAAAAAGATGTACAAATAAACCATATTTCAGACAACCACAAAATACCACATTATTTGTATCAAAATATACCACATATGGTGTAAACACTTACCCCAGCCAGCAGCGGAGGAGATGTTATGGCTGTCGGTGGTTTTTTATTATGTAATCTCTCGTATAAAGTGAAATAGAAAGCGATATTACAAAATTATTTTATTGGTTATAATGAAGTAAAATAAAAATGTTTCACCAAGATGAAAATACATGGAATTTATCATTATGTGTTTGAATGATATAATATACTTCATAATGTAATATTTATAACAACTAGACCCGGTCTCCCCTATGTAATAAAATCTGTTATGTGATTTTATGAAAATTGTTCTTGATCATGATAGATGTATAAGGCTTCTCGGCTAAATGTTTAGTTGTATCAAGATGTGACACAATATATGAATCATCACATAATTCTACGTATCATGCTGAACTTAATTTGAAGAGTTAGACTAATTAATATCTGATTTATGTAGATGCATGTAGCCAGATAAAGCTAAATATGCTTTTCTTGCGCTGAACACTTACATTCGCTGTCATCTAAAAGTTTGAGCTTTTTAAACGTTTGATTTATCACCTTATAATAGTTATGCTTTTACAAAAGTTTCTATTTATGTGCAATACGTATTGAAACGAAATGTTCGCCATGTAACGCATCAGTAGAGAATTAGATATTGCCAATTTTATGATAAAAATGCAGTGGATATCAGTTGATTCGTTGGCGAATTAGTTTACTGTACACCTTCATGATTATTCTTCTCTAACGATAATAAATTAATCATAATGGATTATGAACTTCCTACCTCGACAGGTAATCTACAATCAAAGTAGTTTATTTTAATAAATGTAGATTGTTGTGCAGATTAATACTGATTATGACTTGTTTTATATGAATTTTATACCACGAAATAGGGAATGAAGTTAAGAATTTACTGTAGGGCAGCTGAGTTTTAAGCGTGTTTCTAATTTGATTTGAATGATCTTGTTGCAGACTGACGTACGTAGCAGCACGAGAAGGCCACATGGTTGAAGTATTGTCTATGGTACATGTGAAGAAATTGACTCCTTTCCCTGCTATGATATTCACGGTAAGCTTATCTCATTTAATAGCTGCTATGGACACTGATTAAATGTGCTATCAATATAACATCACTAACGTTCCACAACCACCATCAACACCAACACATACACCTCACCACAGCCAACACCACCACAGACAACACCACCACAGACAACACCACCAACACTTACATCCCACCACTACCAACACCACAACACCACAATATTACCCCCAACACCGACATACTACCATTACCAACACCACTATCCCATCACCACCATTACCACCGCACTACCTTAACATTACCGACCCTGGTGAATTTCTACTCGATATAACTTTGATAAAGTACGGGGGTTGAACTTGTCGTGCACATAGATAATTATTTTTTACCATGCACGTCCATCATGATTATCAACGTGATGCAGAGGCGGGCAGAGGCATAGGCCCCCCACTTTTTACATAGGAAAAGTGCCCCTTTAACTTTTTTTTTAAAGAAGTGCCCCTTTTTACATAGGAAGAGTGCCCCTTTTACTTTGACAAGTGCCCCTATTAATTTGTAAAAGTGCCCCTTCCCCTTTTCAACTCTGATAAATGTCCCTTTTATTTGGACACGTGCCCCTTTTCCTTCGACAAGTTCCCATTTTCCATTCTCATAAGTGACCTTTTTTTATCTCTAGTAAGTGCCCCTAGTTAGGTACGAGAAGTGCCTCTTTTCACCTCTGATAATTGTCCTATTTAAATCTGAGAGGTAAATGCCTCTTTTACTTTGTCAACTGCCCCTTTTCCTTTGTAAGAAGTTCCCCTTTCCCTTTTAATAACTCGAATAAGCGCACCTTATATTTTCACATGTGCCCTTTTCCCTTTCTAACCAGTGCCCCTTTTCCTAATGATAAGTTCCCCATTAAAAAAGAGCCCCTTCCCCTTCTCATTAGTGCCCCTTCTCTGGTAAATGACTCTTTTCAGGTACGAGAAGTTACCTCTTTCACTTCAGATAAGTGCCTCCTTCACCTCCGATAAATGCCCCTTTAAAATCTGATCGGTGCTCATTTTCTTTGATCTAATGCACATTTTTCTTTATTACAAGTGCCCCTTTTTCATTCACATACCTGCCCCTTTTCATATCTGGTCATTGCGCCTTTTCAGGTGCGATAAATGCATCTTTTCACCTCTGATAATTTCCCTTTTAATAAGATATAATAACATCTTATAAATGCCCCTATTAAAATCTGATGGGGCCCCTTTTCCGTCGACAAATGCCCATTTCCTATTCTCGTGACTGATTTTTTTTTTCCATCCCTGGTGAGTGCCTCTTTCTGAGGGTGTAAAAAGTGCCCCATTTTACCTCTGATAATTACTTTTTGTACTTTGGCAAATGCTCCTTTTCTTTCCTGATAAGTGCCCCCCTTTTCCTCTCATCAGTTAACGCGCCCTAGCTAATTTCAAGCGACTAAGAGCAATTTCCCCCAAAGCTCGCTCGCTACGCTCGCACGCATCTATAGATGATATACTCATGTTACTTATCAAAGGTCTTTGCAGTCTTCCGTTATGAAAATATGCTTATAACCCCATTAGGAATTTAGGATTGGGTTTTTTCCTTTTTATAAGATGTAATTTTTCGCACTGCAACCTCACACATCTTAAAAAAATTCCTTCGCTCGCTTGCAAACAATTTTTTAGACAATCAAACCCAACTGCAAAGTATGATGCTTAAGTAATATCTTGTATGGTGTATAAAGTGAAACAAATATTGAAATCATCCCTGATAATTGTAATCACAATGTAGGGCTATATACCAAATTCCCAATGTCTACAAGATTGTATATTTTCGCTTTGATTCCCTTTTGTATTTCCCTTTGTAGGTGCCCTTTTTTCTAGAAAGTGTCCTTTTTTCTTGGTGCCCCCCCCCACTTTGTTAGTCACTCGGCCGCCCATGGCGTAATGCCATGATATTCTAGTATACTTCATGTCCAAAATGACCAGTCTAGACTATTCTGACTGGGAGAGCGATAGTTATTATTAGTCAACAATTTTCTAAAACATATTCTAAAAGGGTAACAAGATTCACTTTCGGGCTACAGTTGTTTGAAAATTACCTGCAGGTGCTTGATGAGGTGATTTGTAAAATGAAGGGGAAAAAAGGTAAATCAAACATCCAGAAAACGGCCAAGAGGGTTGAGGGTTAAATGAGAGAATTTTTTTGAATCTTGTACGAGTAAGGTTATGACGGTAGGGTCCTTGTTCTACAGAGCGTTAGTAACTTCAACCATCGCTCTGTAAAAATGCAGATGCGTATAAAACTAAGATGCGTAAATATCGAAAAGCGAACATTTGATCTCCGTTGGGCAATGGTGATACTTGTCTGGTGTAGGTAGCGTGATAATCAAAAAGGTAGTTTTCATATCATCATTTCTCATATTTTGTTTTTAGGATGAGTGTTATTCGTAGGTGCATTATATTGATCATCATCTTACTCATTCTTTGGTGTAAACCTCATCCTATCATTTGTTTTTACATTATCTTACTTGGTATCTTGCAGGCGATTCTTTCCATTGCAATGCTTCTGCCCAGTGACTTTGATACCCTGGTCAACTACTTCAGCTTTGCAGCCTGGATGTTCTATGGAATCACGGTATCGGCCCTGCTTTATCTGAGATACAAATGGCCTGATGCTCACAGACCTATTAAGGTACAGAGCTAAGTATTCTCGTCAATAAGAATGCAGTTGAAAGTGTGGTATTATAATTTCATCGCTTGGTTTTAACATACGAACTGACATGAACTGACCATGGTGAATGAGTATTCAATATTAAAGGCTCTCGGTAACATCATGTGATAGCATTAAGACGGAAAAAAGGAATCAATTAATGGGGCATTTAGAGGAATGAAGGAAATTCATTATTTGAAAACCCGACTTTCTTATTGATTCATCCTTGTATTTGTATCGATTTCACTCAAGTACTTCAATACTAAGGTATTAGTAAATCGGAACTGATTGAATATTTCATTTTAAATAAATAGCGTCTTACCTCTTTCGGAAATTCCTTATTTTGTTTATTACAAACGCAATACTAAGTAGGCCTTGTATATGAATTTAAAATTTTGAATAGAAGCTGAAGTTAATCTTTATGAAAATTATAAGCTGGTCGAAACGTTTTTCATAATAAGGTATCATACTCATTAGTATTGTTATCATCATTATTATCATCATTATTATCATTGAATACAAAAAAAACTTATCCAAGCGACTCCCCGGCATCCTTGTCATTTTAATAAAAGAATGCTATACTTTTGATGACAGGTTCCCATCGTGCTACCCATCATTGTGTTGATAGCGGCTGTATACCTCGTGATTGCTCCTATCATTGAAGAACCAGCTCTGGAGTTTCTCTATGCCTTCCTCTTTATTCTATCTGGTCTCATCTTCTATCTACCGTTTGTTTTCTACAAGAAGGAATTGGGCTGCATGAGTAAGTTAAAGATACAACATGTATACATCTTAAAATTATGCACTGCATGGCACAGTGAGATTAAATTGTACCACTCACCTGAAAGAAAAACATATCGTGCGTAGGTAGAAGGTATGAAATCAATCTCAGTAAACGGTTATGGAATATGATGAAGAAGACACAGTACAATAAAACCCTGCACGGAAGCCAAATCGGGCTCCGTGCGTGCAAAATAATATGCGAGTGCCTACGTGTGCGTTAGCTAGTCTACTCAGAAAGACGTTTCACTGTTCACTTTGAAAAAGTAATACTTGAAGCTCTTATTTTGAATACAGTATAGCCACATGAAACCTCTTAGATCAAAAATCTTACATCATGAAGACGTCACACCTTTTGCATTTTAGAATAATCACTGACAGAGTGATGGAGGTGCTTCATAAATACCCAATTGCATGTTCGCCATCTTGAAAATAATACTTCCACCTGTGTGTCAGAGAATGTGCCGTCGGTGAAAATATGAATAGGGGCCTCATGAAAACATAACTTTCATGAGCCCGAATCCAGTATTGTTGTACAAAAGACTTTAATCTGCCCATGCGCGGATTGTACCTACGAACTAGCTCATTCGGCAACATTTTTCTGTTTCCTTTCATTTCAGAATACTTAACAGTATTCCTGCAGCTATTATTTCAAGTAGCGCCCTCTAAGTACGTGGCTCCTGAAGAGGTTGAAGAAGAAGAGGAAGCTATCGTTGTGGAATCATGAGTGCTTTCTCACTAAAATCACCAACTTTACTCATTTATGATTTAATCATTGTTGCAGGTTGCACTTTTGTGAACTCTTATTTGCTTGTACCGAATTATTAAAGGCTGACACTTGAGGAAAAAAAATGAGTATCATGCAAGATTCCGAGGTTATGAATGTCAACCTTTGTGTCCTTTACAATTTAATATTTTATGTAATGAAATGGAAATACAAATAATTTTCTCTGTGAAATAGATTTGTTATTGTAAGTTGCTTTTGTGATTGCTCTTCTTCATTTCATTACGAAAATTAATTTTGTTTATTGTCATAATGCTGCAATCTCAGTATGCTAATTTATATGTAACTCAGGAATAAAAACACGTACGGCCTTTCATAAATCAGTAGACTAAATAAGCTAAACTGTATTTTATTTTGGCCGCTTTCGAGAATAACTGAAGGAGAAGTATTGGCCTGGTGTTCAGTCCTTACATGTATGTGTGCATACACCCTAAATCTTCGATGCGAACAAATTTTAAATACTTTCGAGAAAAACAGCTATTGGAATAAATCTAGGTGTATCATAAAGCAAACAAATTACACTTTCTCTGAATGAATCAAATTATTTCTGCTTCTTTTAAAGTGGAAAATATATTCCATCATTAATTTTTAGGGTAACTTTAAAACAATAAGCTTGTTAAATATGATTTTTGTGTAATTTACTGTCGTCTCAGAAAAATATTTAACAGGTTTAAACAGTGTTTCATTATACTCTACTTGATGTTCTTACTTATATTTTTAACGTCTCTCCCATATTTTCTATTCATTTTCTCTTCTCTTGTATATAATGTAAAAGTGTTATTTGTAGTTGATATTCTTTATTATCAGTTGTATTTTCCTTACACTGCTTTCGGGGACCATGCCTCCTTCAGTTATACTTCAGCTTTGCCGACTTCCTGTAAAAAAAGGAAAAGAAAATAAGACAGATACTTATAGGACTTACATTATGCAACGTTGTCATCACCTTTATAATGATCAGACTTAAGTTTGCAAGTTTGCAAGTTTTTCATTTGGGGGGCCTTCTGCCGTAAGATTCATGTAATAGAGATTAACTCAGGAATGAATTCATCTCGTTATGCTGCAGAGTTACACATTAATTAATAAAGAAAATCTGCAGAGAGAATTTAATATGCAAATAGTCATTTCCTGTGCCCACATCTGTTCATACTTCAATTATAAGAACGTTGGCCAACCATGCCTTATGAATGTTCATTAGAAAATATAATTCATTATTAACAGAACAAAATGACGGCAAAAATAATATGTAAAACTAAACAAGACAAAGCAAAACAGAAAGAAATATATGTGTATGATAGAAGTATGTATTTTAAGAGGGTGGTAATTATTATTCGGATAATATCTACTTACTTTATACACAGAATAGCATCACTGCAACAACTGTTGTTCCTAAGGCCCTGCAATTATCATAACCTCATCAATTACCAGGTATCTACCTACATCCGCGAGAAGAGTGGATTATTTGTTTTATTAATATTATGGTCATCACTCTTTTTGCAAACCTTCTGCTGAACTTCGGAAGAAAATATATCCTTTAGATGTCAAAAACTTTCGGACTGTCAACCAATTTAAAACTTGTTTTAAGACACATTTATCAAAAATTGCTTTTGATGATTTACTTACTCTGTTCACATTGATATATATTTAATATTTGTTGTAACTTGTAGGTTTATTTGTATTTTGTTTTTTAAATATGGAAATGTTTTTCATTGAATTTCTTTTGCTATAGCGCTTAGAGACTTCCGTGAAAAGCGCTTTATAAGCTCTATTTTTTTGTTAATATTATACAAATATACACTGTCTTGAGAGGCTCTGGTTAAAACTATGCGCAAGAGTTGACTCCAATAGTACTATTTGCTGAGGGGCGCATAGTTTTAACCAGTACCTCGAAAGGAAGGCATTGTAGATTTGTTTTATATCCTGCATCAAATTGATTTTTTTTTTTTGAATTTTGTTACTGAAAATTTCAAATTTAAAAGTTACAGTTATTATAAAAAGAAGAATTCAAAATAAAAATAAATTATTAAAAATTTAAATTTAAAGAAAAAAAAAATCAATTTAACATCTTTGTTTGAATCCCCAAAAATGTAAACTCCCAAATGGTACTTCTACTCCCAAATAGTACTTTTTCAGAGCAATCTTAAAATAGTTGAAATATTTCTGGTCATGTGACGAGCTCTCAACCAATCAAGAGCCAATACATTTTTGATGCAGGATGGATATATAATTTGTTTTATTATTATCATTTTTTTATGTATATATTACTATTATCATTATTAAAGTAAAGGTATGGTGGTTTGAATACTTGACTGGAGATTAGAATGTCGTGGGTTCGAACCCGGCCACGGCACTAGGTGTCACGTTACACCTAGTTGTTAAATAGGTTTGAAGGAATTCCGTGAACGCTGAAATACCTTTTTAGCCTTGCAAAAGCCGGGGCAATATTGGAGCTCCTTGGTTTAAGGATATCAAATAGTATTATTTTTTTGATATATTGTCAAAGGATGTTAGTGTCGAGCTGGGAGTCGAACCCTTAACCATTTTATATATTATGAGTCAAGTAAATGAACCACTCACTAAACGACGACAATTCCGTATCTTGTAAATAAATTGCTGTCATATATCTGTTACAATGTTTTGAATAAATATAATGCACGTTACATGAAGCAAAGTTTTTACACGATATTTATATTACACTCGTCAGAGTATATGAAAGAAATCTGTTTGCGACTGAATTCATTCAGTTCCCCCCACGTATTGTTTGACTTCTGTTTCCTGCTCTTTCTCGCATTTTACTCTAAATGCAAAAGCTAAAAGCTTCAGTGTGTCTATAACCAAGGTTATTCTTCGGGTTTTTCAGACTGTTAACCATCTCGTACTTGGTAATTTTTGTACAATGAGAGTATGTCAATTCAGATGGTAAAACAATGATAATATTCTGGATTTATATGGCGCTTAATACAAAATACCGTCTTTAAGCCCTTTACATCTCCACTCCCTGGAGTATATTATTACCATATTAATAATTTCATTATTAAAATATACATATATTTAAAGACCCACTTTAACCAAAACCGGCTAAAAATGGGGGAAAAGACAAATAGAATAATTTTTGACGGAGATTCCAAACATGACAATTATTTTTTTGTTTAGAAATCATCAATAATTCTGGAATCTAGCTTTAAATATGATGACTTTCATGAGCCAGCTTCTTAATTTGTCTGCTTCATTTTGCTATTAATGTTGGGTTTACGTTAAATAGTGCTCCTACTTAAAATAAATTGCCAGTACTATAAATTCAGTGGCGTATGTAGGAATTATATGGGCAGTAAACATTTGAGAAAGGAAGAGAAAAGAAAGGAGAAAGAAAGGAATAGCCAGGAAGTGACGCATAGATCAATGTAGGAAGGATGACGGTAGGGAAATTGATTTGGAACTGGCTAAAGACAGGAAAAGATTGAGAGTGGTGTAACGAGGAGACCTGACCCCCCTCCCCTCTCCATAGAGAAGACCCATGGGATGATGATGATGATGATGATGATGATGGTGGTGATGATGATGGTGATGATGATATATGTAGGGATTATGTGCACGAGGCAAACAATACCATTTCGCCCCTATTCCGGCCTCATTGGCTTAAAAAACAAACCAGATTTTATCGATTTTCCATACTGAAGCATTTACCTGGGTTTTGGTAAAGCAAATTAGTGATAAATAATCGACAAGCTAGGAACATTTTACAAGGCAACCAAATATTAGTCTATTTCACATTCAGAAGATTGAAAAATATATATAATTATTCCATTCAATTACTCCTATATTCAGGGCTCAAAATAAAGGAATATTCGGAGGCAATATATAATGCTAAGGGAATTAAGCAACGCAAACTAAAAACTAGGGTTTCTTTTGCATGTTGAAACTTAAAATGCTATTTTTTGCTCTGCAATTCAGACTCTGATGAAGCCACACAATGCTAGAACAATGTGCCCGAGCTTTAGAAAATGTTCACATTTTGAACACCCTACATTTTGCCTTTAGTTTAATTTTTCTTCTTCTTATCTATTTTGCGTTTTCGCCCTCGTACTGTCTGGACACGTGCCCTCTCTGTCCCTATATATGTAGACACAGAAACAATTTCTCGCTCAGTGGCTCTGCTTCCTCACAAATCAAAAATATACGATTAGAGTCTTTTATTCAATTTAATATAATCTAACCCGATTACATTTTAAAGTTCATTTTTCTTTTGGAGAGCTATCTTTGTATATTGAAATGTTGAATTAGAGTGAAATTTGCACATAGTATGTAGATAGCGATATAGCTGCTAAATGCAAATCATGCAAAAGACTTCCTATTCGAACTCCGACTCTTAGAGTCGGAGGTCGAATTCATTAGACTGATGAATATATTAGATAGATGAATTTATGAATGTGAAGATAAAATGGACGACTGACGAAATAGGTCTGAAATAAATTCCCTTGACCAAGACACTTAGAAAACACAGTCAATCGATGATAAATGAATGAAAAATCAGAAATTATAGTGGAATTTTAGATTTCGGTGGGGGGGGGGGGGGACATGACCTAGGTAGTTTAGTTAGATGACAACCAATATATCTTAATCATGTCTGAGCTGGTACACAAATTGTGTGCTTTCGTGTCCCCTTTTTATAAGAGCTTGTAATCATAATAATGAACATTTGAGTTTTGGGGCATCTACATCATATTTTGCAGTTGCTTGCAAAATGTCTAAAATTTACTGAGGTGAGAATTGTTTCTATTGCACGTACCCAATCAGATCGACCAACCAAATGTGGTAGAATTTGAAGCACAATCTCATTTAATAATATGAATGAAAGCTTACGTGACTCCTGTGCAGCTATCCACAAGATTTCACAATTAGATCGATTACAAGCCTTGGGGAACTTTTAAACAGAACTATACAAAAAAAGGGGGGGCGAACAGGGGGCGAACACTCAGATTGAAGTAAAAAGGGCCCCCAAGTATAACAGTATTTTACTGACTAGGGCAGCCATATGTTGAATTAAACGAAATAAATAAATAAAAAGAGAAACTTATATAATTAGAATATGGGCATTTCTAAGAGGTAAAAAAAGTGGGTTCTTCCTCAAAAAAGAAAAGTGACACTAATTGAAGGTGAAAACGGGCAATTATCAAACCTAAGGGTTATCAGATTTGAAATGGAGCACGAAACAGAGGCGCAAGAATGCACTTGTCATGATGGGGGAAAAGAAACATGTTACAAAGAAAAAGGAACACTTAAAAAAAGGAAAACGTGGCACTTTTGGGGCGCTAGACAAAATTGGAGTACTCTGCCCAATGCACCCCGGCGGCGTTATTTTCTTCTTCGGGACAGATTGGGGCTTATTTTTTAAAAGGGGGTCTTGATTTAACCCTAACCCTAACTCTAAACTTTCCCATAGGCTCAACACGCACCTATGCCCAATCTGTGCCGCCGAAAAAAATAAAGCACCCCGGCGCGCCGCCTCAGTTGTGACCTCCAGCTCCACGACCCCTTATAATGTTCGGAAAATTTCCTTTTATTTTTAACCATGACAGATACCGTACCATCAGCAGGTTCTTGGTAATTTTGGCTGTCGAGTCGATATATATCTCTCCGAAAATGGCTTGTTTTGGCTCATTCCTGCGGAGGACTGCTTTTTTAAATGGAGGTTTGAATTCTGTAAGAACATTCGTGACAGCACCCAACTTACTCTCACAAAATGGTAAGTGTAAATGTGTTAATGAGCTATTGTTACTTTGCCTCTCTCGATTATTACTAACTCCGGGAAGCTCCAACACCGGCGCCGCAGGCGTCGGAGCTTCGGGTGGTTTCGTTGGTTTCTCGTGGCGTGGGGGCTAGTAAAACAGCCGATTGGGTGATATTATCGTTAAATCTGCAAAGGGAGTACCGTACCCTGCCCGGTATCCGCCCGATAGGCAGTTTTTCTTAGATAACTTTTTCTGAAAATGAATTATACAGGCGCTAATGTATATCAATTTGTAGCCGAAATTCTAGCGAATCCAACCATGCCATTCTTATGCCTGAAATCGTAAGCGATTGTCCGTAGTGCGCTGTCTGCGTGAGGCATTTTCCTTGCCTATTTCCGCCTAGACCTGCCCTAATTCCGCCCGATGGTGGATGCGCATCAAAAGTATAGAAAAGGGAGACATCTCGGGTAAACGTTAGGCCAAATAAAATTGCTTCCCAGTAGAATTTTTTTTTAAATGCAAACTATTCTCGACATCTCTCAAATCTTGATTCAAAAATAAATTAGCGTATATTTTTAGGCATAATAATTGGTTGGAAAAAGCATCTAGCAATATTGTCATTAGAATTATCATCATCGCCGATATCGTCTAAATGATCATCATTACAATTTTAGGGTATATAGGTCTATAACGCAAATGTGGTTTCCTGTTTGATTATTTGTTTAAGACTTCAAGTTGTTGTGTTTTTTGTTTTCCACTTGTTCTAAATTATGCAGTATTATATTTTGATAATGCATTCAATAATAATTATAGCCAACTTGAAAGACAAAACTTTCCGAAATGATCTTAAAAACGAAGTTGTCGATTCACTTCCATGGAAAGTCAGTGTTTTTTTTTTTTGCAAAATAATGTAGTACTAATTAATGCAAAAGGAGTGGTGGTAGGGGGGGGGGGGGTCACCAGTCACGTTTTTGCCACTTCAACAACCAAAGAGGGTTGAAAGCTATTGTATAAGTATTTTGTTGACATTACCGTCATACCGAGAACAGCTCAAATCATGTCCTGCAATGTATTGCCCTTCTCTAAATTTGGCTCTATACCCCCTCCCCCACATCTTCTACATAATTCATCTATTTATTTATTCATTCAATATTCATTCATTTTATTGCCAAGAGATATTTATGTGATGGATAGAGATAAAAAATGTTCACCTTTTATTCTCCATAAAACTTTAGCAAACTAACAACGTATATAAGAATTACCCTAGCCATTTGAAAGGCTGACAGGCGTATAGGCCCTTGTGAAATGTATTATTTATAGTTTTATACTACTCTGTCATATACTACTCTTCATATAGGTTTATTTCACATAAAACAACATTTATTTTATTCAAAGTCAGCTGACGGAAATTTGATAGCAGCGAAAATGTCATGGTCCATGTTGGTCATGTTGGCAAAAATATATAACACACAAACATTTGAAAAAAGATAGAAAATAATTATAGCCTAATGTATAGAAGCACTAAGAAAGAAGGATATAAAAGTGAAGAGGGAGACTAAAAGAAAAATGGGGGAAAGGAGGGGTGTAATCGAAGAAAATTGAGGGAATAAATTAAAAAGACTATAATAAAACAAAAACTAATACATCAATCCTCTGCATGCATCCTGTATTGTATCAGAAACAAGCACTCTTTTCGCTACAAAGCCACGACGCTGGATTGAAAGACGACACAAGCTTCAGCGACATAGAACATAAATACAAACTTTTTGCAAATCTACCAAACCTGGCAACATTTTTAAAAGCCGGACTTAGTTGTCATCGGGATCACTGTCGGAGAACCGAACTTCAAGCATTTTTTGCAACATTAATCAATCATATATAATTTTGTCACAAAATATAACTGCATGATTATCACATACCACATCGTTACCAGAAATTGTCGGTTGCTTGATCGAACGAACGGCCAAACATCATTGCAACATTCTTCGGGGGGGGGGGGGGTGAATTCCCAATTTACAAACTGTTAACATTCTAGGTCGAATGTAGTTTTATAGTATTTGTGTATTCTTCACCTTCTTCATACTCTCGAGTTGCGATTTTATGGAGTAAACCGAGTGTTTTAACATGGAAAAAAGACAATGAAGTGTGCACTTTCAAAAAACCAACCGCAGACCTATAAAAACCTTTAAAAAACACACAAATAGACTAAAAAACCACGGGCAGAACCTTTTCTCTGTTAGAGCATAAACAACGCACGGTTTACATACAATGAACTAGCGCGTGTGTTTGAGTGGACGGAAATAGGGCAGGGGCATCTCAGGGCGACATGGCCGAGTTCAAGCCTCGATAACTTTTTTATAAATAATAATTTTCGCAAGAAATTTGCTCAGGTAAAACATCAGGAATTTAAACTTCCATATCTCTTTAAACAAAAGTAAAATTTCCACCATATTTTTTTCTGATCGTTTTGAATAGGAACTTGATGTTTTTTAAAAAGGTTGATTCACACCTAAATAAGCGCATAGCTGACTGCTGCACAGTGACGTCATTCGCGTATCTCCGTTAAATGGGCGATCGACAGTGTACCATATTTCGTGCACATGTTCCTTACAACGTGTATGCTGCTATAGGCAAGTTAGTTGCACACCTTCATTGCGCACCGTAGAAACTCGGGCGATGGAAGACGGCCGTTGTGTACTGGTAACGGGGGCGGTAACTGGGCAGGGTACGGTACTAACAATTTTTACATCATAGGGTGCACGACTCGTCAGGGCTCAACTCCAATCACTTGAATGTATAATTTGAAGAAGTCTTCGATGGGAAAAAAAAGGTTAATTCGGGGTTCTACACCAACGATTCTTCCATGTCGCAGCGTTGATTCAAAATAGCGATGAAAATGTACGCATGCGCGGCAGTGGCGAAGAAAATATGAATATTCGTGCTATCGACCGCCGATCGCACGAAATCGCTGAATATGCACGAGGTTGAGAAGGGCTCTGTTTGTTCGAGTCGTCCATATTCAGCGATTTCGATTATCGGCGCTCGATAATGGGAGCTTATGAGATACTTTTTCACTTTATCGCGAAAATTTTCTAATGGCGGCCATTACCACGGACCTAGGGGTACCCCTACCAGAAGATGGCGCTCTTCCAAACAGGCAACATTGAGTGTCATTTTGACTACGTAAAAATAGCGCTTTCGTAAGATTTTAGCACCAAAATATAGTGTGAGTGTTGTGAAAAACACCTTTCTGATAGTTCTACCTAAAGTAAATCTACCCAAAACGAGAAAATAATACTTTTTTCATGAAATCAACGCAGTCAAACTTACCCCCGTCGAACGATTTTAGATCCAGTTTCCAAACCTCCGATGAATGCGCACTTTTTGTGTAGGGTTATGTGGGCCAATCAGTACACCAAACTTGCAAAACTTATCCCCGAATTACTCCTTTCACAGGATGCATATCCGATGCATTTTATATTGTAAATTAGGTTAAAACTTAAAGGTAATACAAAGTTTTGGTATGGGGTCATGAATTTGGTTCAAATGAACATATTGGAAGCATATGCGATCCTACAATATTCAGTGATCATTGTTAAAATCGAGTCTAAAGTTATGAAATTATAAATAAAAAACTTGTTATGTTGTATAGCTGCCTCTCAAGGTCAAGATATTACTTGAGCCGTGAAACAATGTTTCTTGACTAAAATCGAACAATTAGCTATTCCCATTTGGAAATTATACATCACAACTACATATTCTGTGATTTTCATGGTCGCAGCTACCATTGTACGGCCGTAGGCGCAATTTGAAATTTATCAAAATTTACCGGGAGCACCGGTAAATTTTGATATTCAATTTTCTCAAAAGCAGAAGTGTTTTAGAGGCTAAATTTTCTAGCGCTTATAATACATCCACAGGGGCATCCAAATATATAAAAATTGTGAAGAAACACTATCCAGCCAATTTTCAAAATTTCCCAAAACTTTGTATTACCTTTAACTAGATCTACTTTGGTTCCACTTACCAACTTGACTGAAATAATCTGTTTAATGGTCCATTTTTTAGGAAATTATGTGTCAAAATCGATATCCATGATAAAGATCTTGCAGCGGGCGTTTAAACTCTCGCTGCACATGACGTCATCTAAATCTCATCCCTTCTAGTCTACGCCGAAGGCAAAATGATTACAACGGAAAACTGTACACAAGCGACAAGTTCGTAATGACATGCACAGTTTTTCCGAAATAAGATCTTTATTACCGATTCGTGAACGGGTGATGCATACAACGGATTCCGCAATGATGCTCCATGATGCATGTGTCACTTACGCATCACAGAGACTTTCACGTTATGAACGATAAATCCTTGGAAAGAGGGACAACTCGTAAAAGTAGAAGGTGAACTGGGGATATTTTATTACGCAGAATCCGTTTTTTTCGCATTGCCAGCGCGTGGATCGGTAACCCTACACTTGCAGATAGCTTCTCTAGACGTTGTTTGTATGTAAAGCATGTTAGAAATTTAGTATGGAAAACAAGAACGAGTAGATCCAAATCGTCTTTAAATAGCCTCAAGAGCCAAAATATGGTTCTTTTGGTGTGGCAGCCAAACTGGGATGGTGTATTCAATTACAGGTCTACATATGGCACAGTATAATCATTTAAGGATGGTTGTATTTCTCGAGTTTACAATCCGACGCACAAAGGCACATAACCATGCACATCGGGATATCACAGATTGGATATATTTACTCCAAGAAAGATCACTCGAGAATATTAATCCAAGAAGTTTACATGTATGTGAGGTAACCACATCAAGTTGACGACCCCCCAGATTTCTCTTCTAGATCGCGTAATATGCATTACCGATACTTTGATGTTTTGCATTTGGATGCATTGACCTCCATCGTATTGTTAAAACACCATTGACCGTCTGATAAGTTGTCTACCTTTGTAAACATGAACTGTTAATTATAGCGAAGGTCTTATTTGTAGACTGTCGATCACAAGGTCTGTGGTTCGAGTCCCACCGTGGCACTAATTTCCTTTGGCAAGACATTGATCTACAATTGCCACACTCAACCCAGGTGAGGTAAATGGGTACCTGGCAGGATTATTCCTTGAAATACACTGTGCGCTGATAAGGCTGCCGAAGCTAAAGCTAGGGTAATAAAGTCCAAAGCTCTTTGGAAGCACATAGAGATGTTATTTCATAACGTATTATGGGCTATAAAAGAACTGAACTATTATTATTATTATTGATGATGTACATTCATACCATTACTAAAGAAAATATTGAACACTTGTGCCTGCTTACAGCTTCCCATGGTGTAGATATTGGATTAACTGCACCTCACAGACAAAGAAGAGTTATCCGACGGACCAGAGCAGCTGCTATCAAGGATGGTAGAAGCCAAGCTCAACTAGAAGCTCAGGCAAGACACAGAACATGTAAGTATATCATGTTTCTCTCAATCAAGTATTTGTGTTTATATGGCGGTTTATTTGTCTCTCTCAAATAACCAGCTATTATTCTGTTATTGCAATGACGACCTTCGTCATTGCCTTGTTTTCGTTCACATTCTTCTTATTAATATTCATGGTTCTTCTTCTTCTTCTTCTTCTTCTTGTCGTCCGGAATCCCATTTGCTTTGCACGTAGTGCTTGTTATTCCTATCTAGGTCCTTTTCTCTTGCTCGATTCCTTTCAAACTTCGTAGGCGTAATCTCTGATATCCAATCTAGGTCACCTACTTTTTCGTTTTCTGAAATCACTCATGCGTAAATGTCCAGGCGTTATTTTGTCAGTTTCTGGTCCATTTTAAGGCCTTTCTTTCTTCCTTCCCATCTCCAATATCATAGATCCTACAAACTTCTAACAAATTCCTTTAGTTAGTCTGAGACATGTTCTTTCATCTGCGACGTATAACTTGACCTTCAAAATGCCATCTTTGTACTTAAAATTCAAATCTGAAACTGTCTCCGTCAAAAATCTCTCAAATTCCTGAAAAATGGACCCCTAAAAATCTAAAACTGCCATAACTTTCTCATATAAACTCCGTTTTGTGTTTAAATCTCACATTATCCTTATCTCATAATTGCTCATAGCCATGCCAAATTTCATGCTCCAATGACAATGCAAAACATAAATTTCGCCCTCTAAAGTTCTGGGAATTGGCTTTCTTTCTGTGGCCGTATCTCCATAATGGCTTGGCAAACCCGTACCCTTTTTTGGATTTAGATACTTGAAGATATGCCCTTTCCAGCCATATACAAAATTATATACCCTAACACTGACCAAGTTTGAGATAAATGCCCTCCAAATTCGCCATTTTCAAGAAAATTCCAAAATAACTTCAACTTGCTCTAAATTGGCGATCTTTATACCTACATCAATAAAACTTGACAGACACATGTATCCATATACGTGACAACTCTCTGCTAAGTTTAGTAAAATTTGAATATGTCAGCGCAAAGTTATCGCCAAAAATGATGAATTTACTATGCATTACGTAATAGCGCGTTTAATGCGTGCAATACATTGCGCGCAGATAACAATGGTGTCAAACTAAACCGCAATGAAGTGCCCTTTCCAATGATACCAAGTATAGTATATGTTCACACAGAAAATTGTGAGTAAATCGCATTTGAACAAAGGTCACTACACGAATTCCGCCGAGTTTCCGCCCGAATCTAACACGTACATGTATTGGCTATGACGTAATTTTTCAGACTGCTTTTCGCCCCTTAAACGTTCTATTTTTTCCTTGAAAATTTGCAGTGACATGCCGAGTTCCAATACGCAGTGCACCTCCTGGCCGGATTTTTGAAATTGGTCAAGGGGGCCATTTAAGACGCCATTTTGTCCTATAAATCTATTTTACCTCACGAGTTTCGATAGGATTATCATAGAAAAAAAAAAGTGGTTTACAATAACAACCATGAAATTTTCTTTCTAATGATACCAAATACGGCCCATGAAGAGACGTAAAGAGAGAGAGAAAAAACAATTTAACTCCGGTCATAATACAGATCCTGTACGTTTTCCGCCCATGCATTACCATCATTGTCTATGGGGCATATCGGGTTCACGCTTTTGACCCCCAGGACGATCTTTATTGCACTGACGAACATGCACCAAATCCCCTTGGTTTTTGCACGCAGTGCTTGTGAGCCCTTTCTAGGTTCTTTCCCCTATCCCAATTTCTTTCAAACTTCGTAGGCATAGTCACTACCATCCCATCAAGGTCACTGTTGAGGCCTTTCTTTCGCCCTACCTTTCTCCAATATCACAGAAGCTACAGACTTCGTACAAATTGCTCTGGATAGTCCGAGAGAAGCTCTTTCGTTTGACACATAGAAACATGGCGTCATTGCACGCACATCGTTGTGACACGATTGCATTTCTAGTTGTATTATTGTTCTTATTCTATTACTGCAGATTAGATTTTGAAAAAAATCAATAATTTACTGTGATTAAACATAGAGTATAAAGAAATAGTATTTTACTAATGTTTAGCTACAACTAGCAGCGAGTATCTTACATACCCCATTATTATCAAGATAAAAAAGGAGTATAGTGGTGATGATGTTGATGGCTTCTTGTACAGCGTCAGTATCAGCCTCTGCTGGTACTCGCTTGCAACTTTCTTAATCAGTTTGTCAAATTGAGATTATTATCTTCGTTTAGTGTCCATTAGTCTTTATTATTATTATTATTCATGAGATGAACAGGATATTCATTATTTAGATAACGATTGTTCATGAAATCAATTATCAAATAAAATAAAACAGTGTTATTTGAGACTAAAACTAGAACAAATAAACAAACATGATACAACAGTATACAATGCTTTTGATATAATTTGTTATGTATTGATTTCTAATTCCTGCAGTGAAGATTCCGCTTGATCAGGTCAAAGATGTCTGGGAGGAAACTAGTGGTCCATATCATATACGAGATGTAGCCCTTCATTATGGTATCTTCAAAGATGTATTTGATGGAGCCAGCTTTGTGCCATATGTACCTCTCTCAATATCATACAGACAGAGCTCAGGGGAAAACGTACCAGTATTCAGGGGAAACTTTGTAACTCCAGCAGAGGTAGATTATTTTTAACTTTTTCTCTTTCAACAAAAAGAAAAGCATAAATAGGCATAATCAAATAATGATAAATCCTATCAAAATGAAGAAACATGAAGCACATATTATCATTCTGAAATGAAAACAGGAAAATTATGTTAGAAGTTTTTGAACATGAAAATCATGATAAGCCTGTAGTTAATAGTTTCTGTCTTGCCTGTGTAGCAAGATCAAGACATAACATGTACATGTACATGTACATGTACATGTATACACTGCTGTCTGACAACGATGACAATGTCACAACATATCTTGGATAAGTTTTAAGGTTAAAAATTATACACTTAGTGAAATTGAAGTGTAATTGAAAATATTATGAAACTGAAGTACATGGCTTGCTTGTTACGGCATCATCTTTGAACAAATTAACTGTTCATCAAGTGAAAGGTCACATTAGTCCTGTAGAAGTTTTTCAGACCTGGAAAAGTTGATAAGTACAAGGTTTTTTTGTTGATTTGTGTTCTGGATGGGTATTGAAGTAAATTCAGCTTGGTTGCCAGCTTGGCAACCTTGAGCAACTCTCAATGGTTCTAGCTTTGGTTAACATAGACAGATTATAGTTCGCACTGTTATATTCAACATCTTTGGCCTACGTACGTACCTGTCTCACCACATATTCAATTCCATCACTATCATCTGCTTTAACCATATTCAGTGTGTTTCCGACAGTCTCTCTATTAAGCCAATGACTGAAGCCCAACCTTCAATGTGTATGATGACCACGTCATTTCCTAGACATTTCATGAGGTTCGACAACATTGCCTTGCAACCAAGATAACCACCACATTGGACATACAATTTGTGAAGCTAAATAGAGTCCCAAATAATTGATATTCTACATATATGCTAATTAGGCTTATTAGTACAATAATTACATATTAAGCCAATTGCATTACTTAAAAATAAAAACTGGTATCACAACTGAATCCCTCATAATGGAAAACCCTGGAAAAGTCATATTATCCATGTTTTCAATCTTTCTGGATTAAGATTAGCAACATTATTAAATATTGCACATACAGTGTATATGCTAATTAGGCTAATTATACTACATATACATATAATATCTTCTCATGAATTAATGATTAATCTTTCAAAAGTGATTTACAATGGTGCATTGCCCCATTTTTAGGCTTTTTAGATAAACAGTGACAATGAAGTCCATATATTGTACATTTTATGCTAATTATGCTATTTAAGACAATTGTATTACATGTACTTAAAAATAAAAATTGGTGTCATAAATGAATTCCTTGTCATAGAAGACCCTTGAAAAGTCGTCATATCCATGGTTTCAGGCTTCCTGGATTGAGATTATCAACATTATTACATATTGCACATACATGTATGCTAATTAGATGATTATGCTAATATGGCTGTTAAAAAAGTTGCTCAAGGTTGCCAAGCTGGCAACCAAGCTGAATTTACTTCAATACCCATCTAGAACACAAATCAACAAAAAAAACCTTGTACTTATCAACTTTTCCAGGTCATGTACATGGTATATGGTACCATCTACTGGACTACATACTGAGTACTGACCATTAAATTTGGTAATTTTGTTGTCACTGTTGTTTAGATTCTTTCTTTTCTCGCCTGTCCATTAAGGGAAAACTCAAGTCTGATGCATGTATATATGTATGTATGTCCAAATTACGCTAATTCCAAGTCTTATCCAATTATTTTTTTTGCAGTTTACATGTAGTTCATTCCAATTGAGAAGCAATTTCTATCTATTTTTCATTGAATAGTCAGCTAATAAATGGACCCTTTTATAGGGATAGATCTCCCCTCCTTTTTGGTCAAGAGCTATCAATTTGGAATGAACTTTCATTAAGTGATACATCCTATAATGGGGTCTTATGGTCCAATGGATAAGTCTCCAGACTGTGAACCACAAGGTACAGGGTTTGAATCCCTGTCACAGCATTTATGTCGTTTGGCAAGACATTAATCTTCACTTGCCACACTCCACCCAAGTGAAGTAAATGGGTAAAATGCTTGAGTGCTGTAATGACAGCCAGCCATGCCAAAGCCAGGTCATAATAAAGGAGCACCAGAAATGGCAATGTGCCAGATGTTGGCCCTATACAAGACTCTCTTTATTGTTATAATTATTACTTGGCTTAGAATTTATTAAATTGCTTTCATTTCCTGTACAGTCTGCTGAAGCACCTGATGTTAGTTTTACAGCGTCTGATGATAGTTTATGGACTCTCCTCTGTACTAATCCAGGCAAGTCAACCCAATCTCGTTAAGATCAAGTCAGACTTCTCTTTAATGGGCAGATCTAGCCCTCATAACAACATGACTTGATAACAAACATACTAAAATAGAGAAAGTAATCAACAAGTTTTGAGGAAAATCAGATAACATAACGTTACAAATCGTTTGAATAATGTAACCGATTGCTAAAGACAGATTAGAATATTAGCAATTTAGTCATAAACTCTTAAAGGTATTACAAAGTTTTGGAATGGGGTCATGAATTTGGTTCAAATGAACATAATGGAAGCAAATGCGATTCTACAATATTAAGTGATCGTTGTTGCGGTTGAAAACGAGTCTAAAGTTTTGAAATTGTAAATAATAAACTCGTTATGTTGTATAGCTCCCTCTGAAGGTCAAGATATTAATTAAGCTATAAAACAATGTTTCTTGACTAAAATCGACCAATTAGCTCTTCCCGTTTGGAAATTATATATCACAACTATATATTCTGAGATTTTCATGGTCGCAGCTAACATTGTACGGCCGTATAGGCGCTATTTGCAATTTATCAAAATTTACCGGGAGCACCGGTAAATCTATATATTCAATTTTTCTCGAAAGCAGAAGTGTTTTAGGGGCTAATGTTTCTAGTGCTTATAATAAATCCACAGGGGCATCCAAGTATATCAAAATGGTAAAGAATCACTATCCACCCAATTTCAAAATTTCCCAAAACTTTGTATTACCTTTAATGTCATAGGAGCATTAATGATCTATACATTGTTAGAAGTTTCCTCTCTTGTTTTCAAGAACGGATTTACTAACATTTTCCAAGATGTATTGATGGTAACATGATATTCTGTAGATGCATATACACTTGTATGTAATGTCAGCCTTTTTTGCATACAAATTGATAAAGTTTCTTTATTAAAAAAGGGGTATTAGAGACTTATTGGCATACTACCAATTACTATCTACTTTTCTATAATTATGTGCAGATGGCCATCTACTGGACAGTGAGGCTGAATATATGCACTGGTTAATGTAAGTATATATTCTGCATTATTAATATAATTGAACATTGTTGTTACTGTACTTTCATCATCATCATCAACTTCAGGTGGCGCTGTAAAGCGCTGCTGTTGCCTTCACGAGAGCATGCCATGCAACTCTTTCACCTGCCATTTGTGTTGCACCTTTCATCTTATACTTTCATCTTGTTTTAATGTGCAAGTGATTTCAGTATTTGAAATGTAAGTTGAATGTTCAAGTTCATTTTTTATTAAATGTTTTAAATATTTTAAGGGCAAGTCCGACCCATTTGCAAGTTGAATTGAATAATTATAGAAAAATTGAACAAACAAAACGATAACATTTTCATCAAAATTGGACCCCCCAAAAATGTATGGAAGTTAAAAAATGTGAAATTTTATGTTTTTCCCCTGTTTCTTTTGATGACACACCTGCTATATCATTTCCCTCTGTAATGCAATAAATTATAGTAATGGTGATTTTGCACTTATTCCATGGGACTCAAACCATATGATGATCATATATTCTACCATATGATGATCATATATATTCTACCATATGATGATCATATATATTCTACCATATGATGATCATATATATTCTACCATATGATGATCATATATTCTACCATATGATGATCATATGCATTCTGTCATGTTCATACAGTGTCCCTCTGAAACTAATGTACAAAGAAAAATGTTCTGAAATAAAAAATGATTTAAGAAGATTATTCAGATGAGTTTGCACACATTGATGTCACGTATCGGTTTTCAATGTGATTATGTTCTTGTATTGAAAGAGTTGAGAAGTTTATTTCTATAGCCATCAGTTTTAGGCAGACAAAATTGTTTGGTGCATTATTAGCTTGTAATCCATTTTGTAACTTTTCCAACTTCATATTTCAGTGTTTATGTTTGAAAGTAGTATGAGTGTACTTGATGGTAATTTCGATTTGATTTGATTTGTAACAGAGGGAACATTCCTGGTAATAGGATTGATGAAGGAGAAACATTAGTAGACTACTTGGCTCCCTTTCCTGTCAGAGGTACAGGCTATCATCGTCTTATCTTCATCCTATTCAAGCAACACTCAAGGATGTCATTTGATGAGGAACAACAGCAGTTACCTTGGTAAGATTCATCCTGCTACAATCCAAGCTTTTTGGTTTAATGTTCATTGGGCCCAAGCAGAGCCATTCGCCTTGAGTCTTTATTTTATCTTTTAGAAGATTTAAACTGTGGGTCTTGTGGGATACCAAAATGTCTTTGTATGCCTCCGCTACAAAGTAGCCGGAGACATATGATTATGTCTTTGGGTTGTCCATACGTTCTGTCCTCTGTACCCATTCATACTGGCTGTTCCATGAAAATCAGGCCAGTTTGAAAGGGGTATCAGTAGAATATATACTGTTGACTTATATTTATTAAAGATTATACAAAAGTTTTGGTATGGGGTCATGAACTTGGTTCAAATGAACGTATTTGAAGCATATGCGATTTTATGATATTCGCGGTTGAAATCGAGTCGAGAGTGATGACATTGTAAATAATAAACTCTTTATGTTGTATAGCTCCCTCTCGAGACTGATAATACTTTAACCTTAAAACAATGTTTCTTGACTATACAATCGACCGATTTGCTATTCCCATTCGAAAATAATATATCACAACTGCAGATTCTGAGATTTTTATGGTTGCAGCGACCATGGAATGGCCTTAGGCGCTATTTAAAATATTTGAAATTTACCGGGAGCACCGGTAAATTTTTGGTTATTCAATTTCTTGAAAGCAGAAATGTTTTAGGGGCTAAAATTTTCTAGTGCTTATAATACATCCACAGGGGCATCAAAATATATCAAAATCTAAAGAATTACTATCCATCCAATTTTCAAGATTTCCCAAAACTTTGCATTACCTTTAATGAACATTTTGTGGCCATTTATCTTAATCAAGTGTTTCTCAGTAATTTTAAATAATTTTCTCTGATATTTTCACCCTCTTTGCTTTTATTGTAGTCATAGTTTGTCTGCAAGGACCTTCAAGACCCTAGAGTTTTATCGTAAATACCAAGATTTGATGACACCTGCTGGTTTAGGGTTCTACCAGAGTAGATGGGATCAGTCTGTACAGCAAACCTTCCATCAAATCCTTCGTGAGTCAATTTCTTATTCTCTACAACTTCTATTTTTATTCCTCAATGCAATTCTTTTTGCTGCAAGTGTAAATTTGTTGCTATATTCAGTCAAACCTGCTTTAGCAACCACCTGTATAGAAAGACCGTTTTCCTTGAACATGGTTTCCCATTGAAACATGTACCAAAGAAACCTGGGGCCGTATTCTGAACCCTGTGTTATCTCTAATATTGTTGTATCTTTGGAGATAAGATAAAGTTGGTATTCTGAACATTGTTGTATCTTTTGTTGTATCTTTTCTCTCTTCTCTTTGGTCGCGCCTGCGTTCAAACTTTGGTGCGCTTGTAATTGTGCTTATTCAGTAATAAAATGGCGCTTAATCCTCATTTGCATATGCGCTTGAGAGATAATATGACAAGATAATTGGTATTCTGAAAATTGTTGTATCTTTTATCTTATCTTATCTTGCATGGTATTTACAACAATATTTACAACAGGTAGGGGGTTGTTGTATCTTTCATGGTGATATAATGGCGGCAATATTTCTTGCCCAGAACCAACTTCGTGCCAATAGACGAGTTAGAAGAAGATTGTGTGTTGACCGGAAACATCACAGATGAGAACTTTCTGAGAAATTACATGCTAGGATATGACGATTTTAATGCTCTCATCTTAACCAATATAGTGAAAGCGTGTTGTCTTCCGTCATCCACATGCCACAGCGCATATGATGACGCGCGTAATAAGCGCTCAAATAACTAATTACGCCCAAGATTAGTATGCGCTAGGCGCATCTTCAGATATGGCATAAAGTATTCCTATTGGTTGACCTACTCATCATGCTTATATAAAACAGATTTTGATTGGTAGGGTCCATACAAATGGGCGTGTCAACGGTGGTCAAAGATAAGATAGAGGCGGTCCTCAAGAGATAACACAGGGATAAAATGATGTTCAGAATACCAACTTACAACAATATTAGCGCTGTGTTATCTCTGGAAGATACAACAAAAGATAACACAAAACTTACAACAATGTTCAGAATACCACCCCAGTACATAAAGACCACTTGCCTATGAAGACCACTTTTCTTGTCTCTCTTGGGTGGTCTTTATATATAGTTTTCACTGTATATATTGTCCAGTGAAAATAGACCTGTATCTCATTGTCTTTGTTTTTGTTGAATCTTTACTTGTATCAAGGAGTTCTAACTCCTTGCTTGTACATTGATGTGTGTTTTCACAAGCATGTTATATGTATTTTTATTTGATGAAATCAGAATTATCAGACTTTACATGAATAACCTAGAAAACATCCTTCCATTGAACTTTTTTGTTGATTTGTAATCTTTAGTGGTCCCAGAAAATTTCTGCTTTGTTGCCCAAGGAGTAACCTTGAGTAATTTGTATAAATCCTAAATCCCCACTGGTAGAAAGAGTTATGGCGCAAGATGTCTTACGTAAAATGTGAAACGGAAGATCTACGTACCGGCATTGCAGGCACGCTGATGGACAATGCCAATAGTGTTGTTCATCTTGTACATGTTGAATTGCATGATGTAATATAATAGTGAGATGTTATACTACATGTAGTTGAACTACATGTCCAATAATGATGTATGATATATCTGTTTTAGGGTTGTAGGGGGCTTGGTTCTTGGTAGTTTTCCATCCCAATAACTTCTAAAAGGAATGTATTTACTCAGAAATAGGAAAAAGAATGTTTCGCTTTCATTCATATTTTCTTGCGTAAGTACAGGTTGCAGACTATCTTGATTCTCTTTTCTTTATTTTATCTCAAATTATTAATGCTACATTTTTTAATGAAATATAATTACCATGAGTTTGTTTATCTTTGTGTATACAGGTATGAGAGAGCCTGTCTTTGAGTACGATCATCCAAAGCAGTATATTGCTCCACAGAAGAAGTGGCCTCATCGAAAACCAATCCATTATCTCAACAAATTCATACCTAGCAACTAAAACTTCTTCAGTCTTATCATTATGACTTCTGCAGGATAGATCAAGACTTGTGTTTTGTTAATTCATGAAGATATTTGTCTTTCATGTGAGTAGAGTTATTGTTATGACGTACAGGTTTATTAATACCAATAGGCCTTAATTCTACCAAATGGGCAAATGATTATTGGAAAAATGTGATTGAGTTTTAAACAATTGACTTTCTGCTCTTTGTGTGAATTGTAATTATATCCCCATTTTTTTTTAAAAATAAAGAGTAATATCCCAATGTTAAATATAAAGTTGAGTTCTGATCATGCGATTGCATTGTGAAAGAACAGGTGTGGAATGAATCAGAAAAAGTTGATCACATAGAATGTAAGTATTGGTGTGTACTGCAGGGTTCTGGAGTCATAAAAATCATAATAAATTTGGCCCAGTCTTGGTAAAGTAACACGCACTGTACACAGAAATATGTATATGGGACTACACAAATGGTGTCGGGCCTACTTACCTTGATTTCCTTATCTTTCTATGCCCATTACTCAGCCAGTATACCGGTACATTTTCTACCAAAATTGTTTGGCAAATGACATTTATTTGTAATCTTGAACATTCAGTTTAAGCTTCGTTTGATTCTGTGAGAATTCATTTTCTTTTTTTACCAGAACTCAAGTTTATTTTTAATCCACTCCAGATCTCAATTGGTAGATATTGAGTGGTGATCATTGTAATTTAGGTTCGACGTGGAGAAAACAAAACTTCTCACTCGTACAACCTAATTCAATCTTGGTGAAGTCAAGGTGTTATTCCAGTTTTTAGAATATAAAAACAATAATTAATGTGAATCTGCGCGATGGCTCAGTGGTAGAGCAGTGGTCTTGTAACCAAGAGGTCCAGGGTTCGAAACCAAGTCAATGCGCTCGTGCCCTTTGGTAAGGCATTAATCCTCATTAAAAGGGCCCTCAGAGATAGGCACTTACTTCCAGTCTTTTTTTTGCTCACTATATTAGAGCGTAGAATGGATGCGTGTAGTCTCAGGTGGACTTATGAGTAAATGAAATCTGTGAATTTAAGAGCTTTGGTCTATAGATTCACTTGCCTTAAATGTGTATATATATATACTGGAGGTTTGTGTTCCTGCATATAACTACTTAGCCGTACTTGTACGGCTAAGCAAATATTTTCAAATTACTGGTGAAAGATTCAACTGTTCCCCAGAATTCCCCAAAATTCTCACAAAGTTTAGACATAACATGAATCTACTTCACATATTGCTGTTTTTTATTGATGTGGGAGATAATAGAGTGGATGTATCAAGATGGTTTCCCAAGATCCTGCAAACGAACCAAACACTAAGAAATTTAGTTTTGTATGTTAGTAGTACTATGTTGTTATACTGTATTCAAAATATGAGCTTCAGATACTACTTCAGTAAAGAGATTCTGCTAGTGTAAATATAATTTTGAGTAACATAAAAACGACTTGTGAGTATATTACCTGATGCACCTGTACGTGTTTGCACAAGATAGGTCCTCACAGAACCGAAGTCCGTCTTGGACTCGATGTGTGCTGTTTTTTGTTGTTCTTTATTTTAAGCATTCTCCTTATCCATCAGCCCATAGAATGCTGGGTTAAGTTTTTTTTAGGTTGATTTTACAAATTATAGCTGTATACAAATTATTTTTAAAGTGATTGGTACACTTGAAAGCAGAGTATAGGTCAAATACATTTGAGCTTCTTGTTTAGGAACCCTTCTTGCCCTCCTATGGACTGTTGAATCCCTACAAAGAGAAAAAGCCACATTCTCATTAAGCTTCTTTTCTCTTAACGAATGTTTAAATCACTTTATTTTTAATTGACTTCCCTTTCTTTCTGTGGAACCACCAAAAGAACTGGCCTATTCACACTGTCTGTGATGTATATGACATCTCTGTGCATATAGGATTATTTCAGACAGAAACAAAAAGTTTGTTATGTGGTGATAACATTAAACATAAAGGATTACTTTAGATAAGATACCTTAATCTCTTTTTTCATGGTCTGGTCATGTGTATTTAAATGAACAACATTGGTGATTGCTAGAAAAAGAATATGGTAGAGAAAAGAAGGAGAGAGAGAGAGAGAGAGAGATTAGGAGGAATAGAGGTTAGTAGAAAGTGAGAGGGTTGGGTTGGTGTAGAATGAGAGAGATGAAGAGGACTTACTAGGGTAGTTAGAGAGAGAGAGAGAGAGATTAGGAGGAATAGAGGTTAGTAGAAAGTGAGAGGGTTGGGATGGTGTAGAAGGAGAGAGATGAAGGGGACGTACTAGGGTAGTTAGAGAGAGAGAGAGAGAGATTAGGAGGAATAGAGGTTAGTAGAAAGTGAGAGGGTTGGGATGGTGTAGAATGAGAGAGATGAAGAGGACTTACTAGGGTAGTTAGAGAGAGAGAGAGAGAGATTAAGAGGAATAGAGGTTAGTAAAAAGTAAGAGGGTTGGGATGGTGTAGAATGAGAGAGATGAAGGGGACGTACTAGGGTAGTTAGAGAGAGAGAGAGAGAGATTAGGAGGAATAGAGGTTAGTAGAAAGTGAGAGGGTTGGGTTGGTGTAGAATGAGAGAGATGAAGGGGACGTACTAGGGTAGTTAGAGAGAGAGAGAGAGATTAAGAGGAATAGAGGTTAGTAGAAAGTGAGAGGGTTGGGTTGGTGTAGAATGAGAGAGATGAAGGGGACGTACTAGGGTAGTTAGAGAGAGAGAGAGAGAGATTAAGAGGAATAGAGGTTAGTAGAAAGTGAGAGGGTTGGGTTGGTGTAGAATGAGAGAGATGAAGGGGACGTACTAGGGTAGTTAGAGAGAGAGAGAGAGAGATTAAGAGGAATAGAGGTTAGTAGAAAGTGAGAGGGTTGGGTTGGTGTAGAATGAGAGAGATGAAGGGGACGTACTAGGGTAGTTAGAGAGAGAGAGAGAGAGATTAAGAGGAATAGAGGTTAGTAGAAAGTGAGAGGGTTGGGATGGTGTAGAAGGAGAGAGATGAAGGGGACGTACTAGGGTAGTTAGAGAGAGAGAGAGATTAGGAGGAATAGGGCTCATATCAAAAAGTTAAAGGGGCACTTATCCGAAGGAAATATGGTACTTATTAGAAAGGAAAAGAGACACATGCCGTCGAATAAAAAAGGGCACTTATTATCAGAGGTGAAAAGTGGCATTTAAGCGGAGAAAGGGAAGGGATTCTAATTATTACAAAAGGAAAAGGGACACTTATCAGAAGGAAAAAGTGCACTTATTGAAAAGGAAATTGGGCATGAGTCAAAGTAAAAAAAGGGGAAAAGATATCAGGGGTGAAAGGGGAATTTTTTCGAACCTCAAATGAGGCACCTGTCAGATTTTGATAGTGGCGATTATTTGGGGTGAAACGGGGGCATTTATGAGAGGTAAAAGGGGGCACCTATCAGAAAGGGAAGGGGCACTTCTCAGAGATGGTAAGGGGTGCTTGCCAGATATGAAAAAGGGCACTTATGAGAATGGAAAAGGGACACTTACTGCAAAGGAAAATGGGCACTTATGAGATTCTAATAGGGACATTTATCAAAGGTGAAAAGGGACATTTATGAGAAAGTGGATGGGATGTTATGAATAGAATGGGGATGCACTTTTCCCTTTTCTTCCACTCCGTCTATTCCAAGTGGAATGACTTATTTACACTCGTTTACACTTTATCTCCAGCTTATAATGTACCCTCTACTTTCTCATCTCTTTCACATTCGTTTCCTCACTCCCAGCCTTTACCATTGTTTGTTTTTATTTTATTTGTTGTTGCCAACCTATGCATGACTAATCCAGGCACGATTAATAATTGTTATTATATCCTGCATCAAAAATTTGTTGGCTTTTGATTGGTTGAGAGCTTGTCACATGACCAGAAATATTTGACCTATTTTTTAGAGAGTACTATATGAGAGTACTATTTGGGTTTACTATTTGGAAGTTGGAAAAAAATGTGAATTTTTCTTTTAATTGAATCAAATTTTTTTTTCAAATCTTAATTTAATGAAAACAAAATATTTTAAATCTTTTTAGATAAAAATTGACATTTTTTTTGTTCTAAATTTTTTTTCTCCCAAAAATGTTTTTTTTATTTTTTTTAATTTATTTTTTATAAATTTTTGATGCAGGATATAAAACAAATATACCATGCCTTCTATTCGAGGTACTGGTTAAACTATGGGCCTCGTTGACTCCAAAGTACCTTTTGCTTCGGGGCTGCGCCCCTCAGCAAATAGTACTATTGGAGTCACCTCTTGCGTATAGTTTTGTATACTATACATGATTGAAATATGATTGTAATGTATGAACAATGATTAATGTATAATTGTAACTATGCATGATTAATATATAATAATCATACATGATTGATATATATTTGTAATTGTACTGTATTATTGTTTGTATTTGTTTTATATGTAGTGCGACCTGCCATGGTTTCGGAAAGGGAACATGGACCTCGTCTTAAATGTACACATGTATTACTTTTATATGAAATAAAGGCATGATTTAACAACATATTATATACTATCATTGTTATTTGGATATTTTGTATTTTATTTTTCAATAAATGCAGAAACATCTGCAAAAAAAGAAGATATTGAGTAATGAAAATTGTACATCAATTATACTACATGTACTATGGGACTTTGTAACATTGTTCAGATGAGAGATAGTGGTGCTAAGGTAGTGACTTCAATGCTAGATGTACAATTAAAGATAATCAGAAAATTTGAGTGAAACGGATCATTATTCATGGTACAAATTGAGAAAAACTGATCTGATCGATTACTTAATTCTCCTTACTATATTATTCTACTTCTATTATGCTACTTGTCAAAGCTTGTTCAGCATCAAGAGAAGGACAATTTAACTACATTTTAGGTGAATGTAAGTCACAAAGCAATAAAATGGCTCTACATTCCAATTCAGACAATTAAGTGTTGACAGATATTTAGTAGCCTGTTTTATATATTTTCTCATGGAAAAACGGTTGGGAAAATTCAAAAATGGTTGGGAGAATTTACTGTTAATCACTGTTAGAGGGTGCCTCACATCGACGCCTTCAAGGAAAACCATAGATATCTTTGTGGTTTGAGAATTTGTTCAGGATTTTTTGCATGTCAGAGGGTTAGTATACTAGAAGGAATATAGTAAGTAACATTTTATACAAAAATCAAGCAATTTTTTTCATCAACCTTCAACAATGTTACCGAGTCACTTTCTTTTCTCCAGATAGATTGAATAAAAATGTGGATTATGTTCATATTTTACCCACTGTGTACTCGCTATGACGAAAAGGTGGGCTCTTTGAGGATAAAGTTAGAGGTAAATAATTAGCTAAAACAAAGCTTTTATAACAAATCACGAGTTTGATACAAAATAAAACTGACCAATGACAACAAAATTCCTTACTTTGATGATCTCATTTATTTTGTACTGAGTTATATAACTCTCCTTTATGAAAGGTGCCCCTTTCAATAAAGATTATTATTATTATTATTACACATAGTAGTAGTAGTAATACACTCAGAAAAATGACGAAATTGGACACACTGTATACGAACTTTTAAATAGCTGTCGTTGGTAAAGTATTAATTTTTCATTAATATTATACAATATTACACCCCCTGTCAGTCAATATCTGTATAATATTTTATGACAGTTTAAATGACAGTTTTGAACAATAGAGAATGTCCCCCTTTTTTAATTTGCTGAGTACATGTAGTCAGGGGCCCTGTTTGTACGATTTAGACGACTTTGTGCGATATCCTGTTTCGATATCATATCAACTTTCGATAGAGTTGGAAAATTTCTAAATTCCTTCCATGGATTCAGCAATATGAACTCGCTGATAGTAATTGTTATCGGATGAAATACGAACAAGCTTGACCACACCCATCAGGATTGCCATAGCAACCAATATTGCTATCATTCCAAGGAGGAGCATCGCAAGAGGGTTGTAGGAAGACAAATCTGTGGTCAATAGAAAAGATGAAATATGGTATAACAACTGATTGTGGATTATATATAATCACATACCTATCCATGGGAACGGCAGCCATCTTGAAAAATAGCCCGAATGTCAGGGAAAATGTACCGAGCGGCCATTTTAAACGTCCATTTTGATAGAAGAAAAAAAAAAGTGCCTCCTCCTTCCTATTTTTCGAAAAAACAGGACGCTAAACATGTTTTTTTTTTTTGGCCTAACTGAGTGGGCTTTTATCTATATATAAGGAAAATGTTACATTTCAGATTTTTGAATGGCTTTTGTTACACAATAGTACCAAGCGCGTAGCCAGGATTTTATTTTAGGGGGGGTAGTGAGCACGCGAAGCGTGCGAATCGCTTAAAGAGCGCGCGCAGCGCGCTCCCTAGGGGGGTGGGTGCAGGGAGGGGGGAGTTTGAAAGAAGACGAATCGTTGTACCTTTCTCGACTCGCAATCCTTGTCTGAATTCAGTCCGCCCCTCATGCGCATAGCGCGAAAGCTTTGACGTATTATTAGACAAAGAAGATGATTTGTTGTACCTTTCTCGACTCGTAAGCCTTATCTGTATTCAGTCCCCCTCCCGCGCGAAGCGTGAAAGCTTTGACGTTTCATTAATTTATTAGAGAAAGAAGACGATTCGATGTACCGTTCTCGACTCTTAATCCTTATCTGAATTCAGTTTCCTCCCCTCCCGCGCAAAACTTTGAAGTTTCATTAAATTATTAGAGAAAGATGACGACTCAAAGTACCGTTCTCGACTTCTTAATCCTTGTCTGATTTCTGTTCCCTCCCCCCCCCCCCCCCCCTCTCGCGCGAAGCTTTGACGTTTCATTAAATTATTAGAGAAAGAAGACAATTCGTTGTACCTTTCTCGACTCTTAATCCTTGTCTGAATTCAGCCTCCCTCCCTCCTCCTGCACGCAGCGCGGAAGCTTTGACGTATTATTAGACAAAGACGATTCGTTGTACCTTTCCCGACTCCTAATCCTTAATTTGAACCCAGTTTCCCCCTTTCCGCGCGAAGCGCGGAAGCTTTCACGTTTCATTAAATTATTAGAGAAAGAAGACGATTCGTTGTACCGTTCTCGACTCCTTTTCCCTTTTTCTTCCTACGTCCTCTTACTTTTTTCTTCTCTTTCTCTCTCTTTTTTTTTTGGCCGGCGTTTTTGGGGGGCGACCGCCCCCACCACCCCCCCCCCCCCTGGCTACGCGCCTGAATAGTACATACCATTAGTAGCCATATCACTGGTTGAGCGACGAATATGAATCGGACCATTACTGATTGTCTGAGTGGACATAAAGGACGAAGATCGACGTTTGCGGTCGGGGTTTGGAGGTTGATCTGAGGGTGGAGTTTCTGAGGGGCATCCTGCGTCTCGAATCGATTGAGCCTCCACGGCACCACAGACATTCACTAAACAGTGAATGTACACCTGCGAAAATGACGATTATGCATGCATTACAATACATTTTTGATACTATCTTACATCCAAACACATGTGCTTTTTACGTTTCCCTAATCTTTAAAGGGGAAGACCAACCAGATATTAAGTTGGTTTCAATAAAAGCCGAGTTGCCATTCATTTACACGTAAGTAATTACTGAACCCAAAGAGAGAGGGTCATACATGATTTAACCAGGAGCGTGATTCTACAGTTTTGTTTGTCTTCAAATATACTCATGAAATGGGCAAAGAAATTTCTACTAGAATTAGGTGTATAAGTTTCATGCCATGTAAATATTTTACCTCAGTATAATCTCCAACAAAGGCAAACGCTTTAAAAGAAAAGCCTTCTCGATTCAATCCTAGGAGACGATTGATAACAACTGTTCCATCATCTTGGCAACTGTAGAACCAATCGAAAACAATGAACCCGAGTTAGGAGGAGTCATAGCCGTGGGAGAACCGTCAGGGATTCATGAAATTCGTTGAAAAAAAAGAATAAAACTAATAATAGCATTTATAATAATAATAATAATAATAATAATAATAATGATAATTATGATAATAGTAAAAATAACAATATCAATAATACCTGTAATACTTATGATAATAAAAGCAACGAATATTTGTGTACATTTTATGCTACAATTTATGGGTCCAGTTTACCAGACACTTTCTGGTTAACCTACAGCAGATCTACGAAAACTCATGTCTCGGCCCAACACTTTTAATACAAGATGTACACATTCGTTTAAAAAAGGCTAGTAATCGAAAATTCGTTATTGTACAGACATCTTGTCACCAATTGTGTTGCTCTTATGTTTGGCAACCAGACAGGACTAAATATTTTTGCCACTAATATTCATTGTAATATTTTGTATTATATATCCGTATCCCAAAGAGCATCTTTGAAGAAACAAAACATTATTTGCATTCAATTTACCCATTCTTTAGTGTATATTGGGGAATATTTTCACAAAATATCGTGTAACTCGTCAACATGAAGCACACGGCCTTTCGTGATTATGTGGGGTAAGTAATCACGAAAGTTTGTGTAACCCAACAACCCGACCGAAGTTAACATCCGACGGAACAAAGTAAGCCGAGAAGCTTCAGATCATCAGCATCAATGCCGACCTTCCTGAGGGCCTTTAAATTATTATAAACCCAGCAGTAAACCACTTACCCATTTACACCTGGATGGAGGGTACGTGGCAAATGTGGATTAATGTCTGGCCCAAAGATTTAAGTCCCGGACTTGGATTGGAACCCCAACCCTTGGATTTACAGTCAAGTGAATGAACCACTATACCATCACTATATGATTTCTACTAACCCTGAAGAAATTAGAGAGTATTGTGGAACGGTATCCGAGCCTTGAGTGGTTGTCGCCCAGCAGCTTTCAATAAACATACCAACATTTGATACCGAGTTGAGACCCACAGCAAGGAAGAGGTTCTGTTGTTGCAAGACAAATGACGTGGTGTCCAGTTCCTTATTCTCAAAAGAATATGTCTGGAACCTTTCCAATTTCAAACTGAAGTCACCAGAGCCCTTGTCGCTAAAGGACACCTCACCAAGCTGTGGTCTGAAGGATCCACTGACGATTTCCTCTTTCTTGAGGCAACATTCAACCCGAACCTGCATGTGATATTCACGGGTGATCACTGTACCGTCTTCCGAACCAGGCTTGGCGTAAGTGATCACGTTGGTGAAGGTAATAGTTGTGTTATCCTCCTGTCATGACACCAAGTAATATAAAATAAAATAATGTTGCGAGAAAAAATGAAATCCAGTATCGAGTTCCAAAAAAAATGAATGTATATATTGTAATGTATATAATTTTTTTGTCATTTTAAGATGACACTGAGGTGATTGTTGTGTCTCTGTCCTGTAATTGTACTGATATATAAACATGAATCAGTAATACATGTAGTCACTGTTCGGGCGATATCACGGGTTTAATACAATACCCATTATAATAATAAGAGTGGGTTCTTGTATAGCACTCAGGTCTGTTAGACTTGAGACTCCTGACGCTCCGAAATTATTACCCCAGCTTTAGCATGGCTGCCATTATGGCGCTCTAGCATTTTAATAATTAATTACTGCCAGGTACCATTTACATTAGCTGATTCGAGTGTGGCAAACGTAAATTAATGTTTTGCCAAAGCACATTAGTGCCGCGCTATGTGCCGAGTTATAGAAAGAATTACTTCTCTTTACAATAATGAACTATACCAGCCATCATCTAACCACTCAAGCCAAAATACTGGTGTTACATTTTGCTGTTCGTTCGTTCGTGTCTCCTTAGATCAGGATTAATATATATATTGTTGTAATCGCTATTGTCCGGGGGGGGGGGAGCTCTCACGCCCCCCCCCCCCCGACAGAAAGAAAGTAAGGAAAGAGAAGATGAATGCTCGTTATAGAGACCAACGATTTATAAAGTAAATAAATTGAGAGTTGCGCACCGTCTTTCAAGACATAATAGGCAGTGTCGTTGAAGAAAAGAGCATTTTTTTTTTGTCTCGAAAATTTCGCAACGACTCAGCCAGCCGCTGAATAAGCGGAAGGGGGGGGGGGTAGGGGTAAGATTAGTTTTTTGGGGTCACCCTTTGGTACAATTTTTTTAAGGGGAGGGTTCATAAAATATCCCACACATTCAAAAATTAAAAGGGGGTTCAACCCCCAACCCCACGCCCCCCCCCCCCCCCCCTGTGTACGCGCCTGGCCCATGGTATTGGTAGCCATGGGAACGAGGGCGATTCATACCAGTTATCATTTAAGGAGTCATACCTCAAAGGTGGTGCCACATTGATCGTAGTTTGTAGTGAGAGTGATCTCAGTGATAGAGCTGTTTACACCGTAGCAGGAGTGGTTTCGAAAATGAACACCAGATGCGTCACCCGGGACTAGCCGTTTATCTATGTTGACGGTCATTGAAGTACTCCCGCACTCAACAGATGTCACTGGTATAAGAGAATTGTCGAGAACAAAGAAAATGTCAATTACGTCACCCTTTTCATTTTATCTCAGGTGCCAGAAGCAAAAATTGCCGTAATCGATTATAGTGCGTATGGGTCAGTGGGTGAGGTGTGCTTGTGTGTTAATGCAGACGGGTTGTTCAAACATCCTGGCTAAATCATGATGAACAGAAATTCATCCAACACAAAAAATATTCAAGATACTTACGCTTATCTTGACACATATTGCCAGCATATCCTGCTGGACATGTGCAAGAGCCTTGCTCACAGATCGTTCCATCGACACAAATACTATCACATGCATCTGAAAACAATCAGAGACAACAGTTGCTCTATTAAATGATGTGGCACCAGAAAATACGAAGGTAAAGACAAGCTGGTAAAAAAAATGTTTTTGCCACTTAGAGTTCGAGTTGGATTTGCTGTTGCTGTCGCTTCTTGTCTTTGTTGTTGTTAATATACCAATATGGGCATGCCGCGCGTTGAGTTCTGGCAATGATAGAAAATAAATTCTCACAGAATCCCCACAAAAATTACACTGAATCATTTAGTGTAATTTCTTAAGATTCTGATTTTATATTCAGAATTTTAAAGATTACAAATATATGATGACTTGTGCCAAACGATTTTGTTAGGAAATGTATAGGGGCTGAGTAATGAGCATAACAAGACAAGGACATCAAGGTAGGTAGGCCCCACACCGTGAACTTAATACGGGACACTATGTGCAAATAAGAGTTGTGGTTTTTATTGAAGATGATTTCCAGCAAGTTTTTGTGAGGTCGTTTTTATTTTACTGTTGTAAACAATCAATCTACTAAAAGACAGACAATCAAGAATGAATTATAGCCATGTTCTCTCGACATACGATTCCCATACCAGAGCTTAAGTTTAGCTTGGAGGAAAGAGGACATACATATTTATTTTTTTTTGGTCCCAAAAAAAAATCGCAACGACTCAGCCAGCCGCTGAAAAAGCGGGGGGGGGGGGGGGGGGGGGGGGGGGGGGTAAGAGCACATTTTTTTAAATTTTGCTCCCGAAAATTTTGAAGTCGTGCCGGCCGCAAATTCGCTCGGTGGGGGGGGGGGGCACGTGCCCCCTGTGCCCCTGGATCCGTCCCTGAATACAGATATGGCTTTTATTGTTTTACCTAAATGACAGAAGTTTCCGCTGAAACCCTCGGGACAAACACATGTATTGTTCTCACACGTTCCTCCATTGTCACAAGGGTTGGTTGGTTCGCATTGAACTGTTGAAAAGAAATAAAAAGCACAGTTGTTGACAATAAAATCTATTTCCTTATGTGGTCTATCGAATATACAGTGAAAAATTATCTGGATGAGACAAACAATAAAAGTGTAGCTTTAAAATTCCTTGTTCCTCATATAATAATGCTTCCTTTTTGTGGAAACTACTTCAAAGCTGGCAAAAGCTTGTCTACGCTTGAAAAGAGCCCTGGTCTTCGACTGTGTACGCAAATTTTTTAACCACTAGACGACGGAGGTGGTAACAGTAGTATTCTGCTACACTAGAATCAATCAACGACAAACAACGTCTCAATCTAGTTAATCTGTGCCTTTTTTGCCAAAAATCCGTAAAATCCGATATCTTTATACGTCGTTCCGGTTATTGAGTTGGGAATTATTAATGTTATCAAATATTAAAAAAATAAAATGTTTTATGCTATGTTGATTTTGCATGGAACATTAATAAAAGCAACTTATCATAACTACAGTATGTGGACTCTGGATCTGACACATTGGAATCAAATGCAAATACAAAAAATAAAACTCGAGAGAAAAAAAATATTTGTAAAACTCACGTTTCATCCCACAAGGGACTAAATCCATTATGGCGATTAAGAATTTGTTCATTTAAACTACCTTTCCTTCAGCAAAGTTTTACGATTTATGTATATATGGTGCAGTCACTTGTCTAGACGATCAGTGTAAAACGTTACTCAATACATTCAACAATAGTTTGTACGGATATTTTTGGATTTAGCTCCTTATGTAATGACACATCCGGAAACGTCGTTTTAGAGGACAAGTGATTTTATTTCCTTTTAAATTCAGTGAAAGATAAACTTTGTAAATGATGATAGAGTATATTCTATAAGTAGTATTAATGTGTTTTACATTAAATTGACTCGTTAAAGTGATTTAAGAGTGCCAACATAAAAATGGTAGACCGGGGGTTCATTTCAAAAGGATCCAAATATACAAAAATCCATTCATGAAAAATTATGAAAAATTGAATTCATTGCTAGAATTCATTTTTGCAATATCCCTACCATAAATACAAAACAGGAAGGATAACTGACAAGGGAAAGTGGTAAATTAAGATACATCCGTTGATTTACTCGAATTCCGTTAGGAATGAAACTACTATGTTATTCGAAAATGCGTAACCTTTTATTAACATTTATAATAGTCTGATATACATTACTACGTAAAATAATGTACCTTTCCCTATCTCACGAAAAGTATCTGAAATTTCGAACATCCAACTTCCTGGTACTCCATAGTTACTAGTTGATAACAGATCGACGTCGGAGAGGTCAATTAACACGTTGACATCGCTATCAGTTATAACAGTCTTGATAAAGAAGATGATAATAATAATGATAATGGTGATTACGATAGAGATGACGATGGCGGTAATGATATCAGCATTTATAATGAAAGTGATGAAGATAATGATGATGATGATGATGATGATTACGGTGGTGGTAATGATGGTGATGATGATGAAGATGGTGGTAATAATGGTGATGATGATGATGATGACTATGGTGGTAATGATGGTGATGATGATGGTTAAGATGTTGGCGTTGATGATAATGATGATGGTAAAGAAGATTATGAGGATATTTGTGATAACAATAGTGTTGCTGGGACTCCTTCTGGTATTAAATAACATCATATAATTAGCAAGATTTGAAAGACATCCTACAATCTTCAGTGTTAATTCATGAGTAATGACAGCTTTTTAAAATTATATGATCTATTTTAAACGTCAGATGCAATCTTAAGGCATATAGCTTTGATTTTGTATAAGTCATTTTATTGAAAAATCAAAGCATTCTTTTAAGACCATTTCCTAATAAATAAATGTCATTTAACTTGCTCTGTAATATGTAATAGTCCTCTTGATCTTAATATCAGATGTGAAAAACTATGCTTCATAAAACTCAAAATGGAAGGGATATATCTGCGTTATTTAACTGTTGATGGTAAATGCAATATACTTCCTAATATTACATTATGTTCAATATCTCCTTCGATGCAGGAAGAAAGAAAATACGAATGACTACATGTAAATTACCATTTTTAGGGTATCAAAGGATGTTATACTACGTGTTCTGAAAGAATTTAAAATAATAAATTGCATTCTTTCATCTTTTTTGGTTTCTTAGATTGTTTGTTATTTTGTTTTGTTTGTGTTGCCACCATTACTTACAGCGTAACTCTGGTCGATTTCCCCATAGTTAAAGATAACGTAGGTCAGCTTCCCATCTGTTCCGATTAGTACTTGAAACGTACTTGACTGGACACCAGATAAAAAGGGGGGAACATAAAAAGAATTGGTTTTATTTTTCAGGACGCCACTCAATGGTTTTATTTCTATCTTGATTGATTTGAGGAAATGAGAAAGCATTTTGTACGAACCCCTTGTGAGGACCCGAATGGAGGTACTAGTATCCACGAAGCAACCACAATTGTCAGTAAAGAACGGCCGATAAACTCTGGTGTAGCAATTCGAATTGCACGCTCAGCTTTACTGTATGTTGTTTGGTCAGTTCCTTGATCTGATGTCCTTTAGGTTCATGAATGAATTAAACATTTAAAAAAAAGCGAGTTATTCCATATGTAATAATCCAAACAGTATCAGGAGTGAAAACAAATACAACCAATGAAAACTAAATAGAAATCACAGCGGGCTTACTGGCGTACGGGCACATTCTAACCGAGGGAGGGCGGGCGACAGTTGGAGCGTAAATTGGCGTGGGGTCCGGGGGCAAAGCCCCATGAAACTCAGGGGTTTTAGGCATTTAATTAAGGTCAGATGAGCATCCAGGGGGCGGAGCCGGAAGCTCGGGGGTTCTAGGCATTAAATTAAGGTCAGATGAGTATCCATGGGCGGAGCCCCCAGAAGCTCAGGGGTTTAAGGCATTTTATTACGGTCAGATGAGCATATTTTGATACCATATTTGTGACATGCACTGACATGCAGATCACTAATTGGAGTGGGGTCCAGGGAGCGGAGCCTCCTGAAGCTCAGCGGTTTTAGGCATTGAATGACGATCAGATGAGCAACCAGGGACCCGCCTCAGGGCCCTTGGTTGGGTCCAGGGGGCAGAGCCCCCGAAGCTCAGACATTTAGGCATTTAATAACGGTCGGATGAGCAACCAGGGACCCGCCTCAAGGCCCTTGGTGGGGTCCAGAGGGCAGAGCCCCCGGAAGCTCAGGGAAAAATGCCATTTCAGCATCATTTCTAAATCACTGGTATTGAACAAGAAATAAACCACTTTTTAATTATGTTTTATTTTTTTAGGGGGGGGGGGGGACTTGGAAACAACGCTCATAGTTTTACTTACGATACTCTCTTTCTAAAAATGTATGTTCCCAAAATCCTCATAAAAAACCCACAACTTACCAATAAACAACTGACTAATTCGGGCAACTCCGAGATGAATACTAACAAAGTATGGGTCAAGACAGGACACCAGTAATACTTTGAGTAAGAGCATTTGATACGTACAATCAATAGGAAGATGATGTGAGAAGGGGATCTGAAGTCTTCTTATAGTGTGAAACTTTCCCCCTTCTCCCCCATTCTCTCGTCTCTTCACCAGGCCTCTCTTTCTACCACTATTACTCTGTGTGAGTACATGTACGTGTGTGTGCGTGGATATGTGTGTGTTTAGCCCACCCCCTTCTCCCCCTCTCTCCCTTCTCCTTCCCTAGCTCTCTTTCTCTGCATACCGATCACTATGTGTCTACATGCATGTGCGAGTCAGTGTCTTCCCCCCCCCCTTATTTTTCACCCCTCTCTCTCTCTCTCTCTCTCTCTCTCTCTCTCTCTCGAATAGTCTCATCTAAATCGCTATTAACCTCTCTGCATATCCCTGCTTTCTCCCATTTCTTGCTGCATCTTGAACAATTACTATTTTGACGTACGGTTTTATTGGTATAATCATACAATGAAAGTTTTAAGTGGAAACTTACATCAACTCTACATGACTAATAAGATCTAATCAAGTCGAAATGTTATACAACACCTGAAGTAGACATTGCCGGAGATTCTGATATCTACATCGTGTGCGAGAGGAGCAAGATGTAGGCTATCCAGCTGATCGTCGAAACTTACAAACCCGTTATCCGATATCTGCATGTCAAGACAAAACAATTAGAATATATTGTAATTGCAATGCAGAGGCGGCCCTCCGGGGGGGGGCAGGGGGCCAAAATGCCCCTTTTTACATAGGAAAAGTGCCCCTTTTATTTTGTAAGAAGTGCCCCTTTTACATAGGAAAGGTGCCCCTTTTACTTTGACAAGTGCCCCTATTACTTAGTAAAAGTGCCCCTTTCCCCTTTTCACCTCTGACGAGTGCCCTTTTTATTTTTGACACGTGCCCCTTTTCCTTCGACATGTTCCCATTTTCCTTTGCAATAAATGTTCATTTTCCATTCTCATGAATCTTGAAATTATCTTGAATAAGTGCCCTTTTTAATCTCTAGTAAGTGCCTCTTTTCAGGTACGAGAAGTGCCCCTTTTCACTTTTAATAAGTGCCCCCTTCACCTCTGATGATTGCCCCTTTTTTAAACTCGGATGAGCGCACCTTTCATTTTAACATGTGCCCCTCTTATTTTCTAATAAGTGCCCCTTTTCCTTATGATAAGTGCCCCCTTTAAAAAGAGAGAGCTCCTTCCCCTTCTCATAACTTCCCCTTTCCCTTTCTAATAAGTGCCCCTTTTCCTTATGATAAGTGCCCCCATTAAAAAGAGAGAGCTCCTTCCCCTTCTCATTACTTCCCCTTCCCCTTCTCATAACTGCCCCTTTTAAACATCTGAACGGTGCCCCCTTTTCATTCAACAAATGCACATTTTCCTTTATTATAAGTGCCCCTTTTACATTTTCATAAGTGTCCCTTTTCATATCTGGTCAGTGCCCCTTTGCAACTCTGATAATTTCCCTTTTAATAATGATACGTGCCCCTTTTCCTTTCTAATAACGGACCTATCCCCTTTTCACCTCTTATAAATGACCCTATTAAAATCTGATGGGTGCGCCTTTTCCGTCAACAAATGCCTATTTCCCATTTTCGTAAACGCCTCCTTTTCATCACTGGTGAGTGCCTCTTTTCAAGTGAAAAAATGCCTCATTTTCACCTCTTATAATTATCCTTTGTACTTATACACGTGCTCCTTTTCTTTCTAATAAGTGTCTTATCCCTTTCGATTATTGTCCCCTTTTCATGTAATCATTAAACGTGCCCCTTATTTAAAGCGACTAAGAGCAGTTTCCCCCAAAGTTCGCTCGCTGCGCTCGCTCGCATTTAAAGATTATATAATTATGTTACTTATCAAAGGTCTTTTCAGTCTTCCGTTATGAGAATGTGCTTATAACCCCATCACGATTGGACTTTTTCCTCTTTATAAGATGTAATTTTTCGCACTGCGACCTCACAGATCTTTAAAAATTTTCTCGCTCGCTTCGCTCGCTCGTAAATGCATATTCAGACATCACACCCAACTGTAAAGTTTGATGCTTAAGCGATATCTTGTATGATGTATGAAGAGAAACAAATATTAAAATCATCCCTGATAATGTAATCACAATGTAGGGGTATATACCAATGTCTAAAAATTGTATATTTTCGCTTTGAGATTTCCCACTGTAGGTGCCCTTTTTTCCAGAAAGTGCCCTTTTTTGTTGGTGCCCCCCCCCCCCCCACTTTGAAAGTCGCTCGGCCGCCCCTGTTGCAATGTTTTTACATAGACCTCTTTTATATCAATCATAATGGGAATCCGGGAACATCCAGTTCGTTAAGCAGGGCTCCCATTTAGCCGAGTTGGAGCCTCGAGTTGTGGCGAGCTGGCGCAAGCTTATGGCTAGCCGTTTTATCATTAAAACATATTTCTTGATATCAAGAATTCAATTCTTAATATCACGAAATCGAATTCTTGATATCACAAATTCAATTCTTGATATCAAGAATTACCATTGCTTTACAACGTAAAATTATTACTTGATATCAAGAAATATGTTTTAATGATAAAATGGTTTGCCATAAGCTTGCGCCAGCTCGCGACAACTCGAGGCTCCAACTCGGCTAAGTGGGAGCCCTGCTTTAGAAACCGACAAACCCGCGACATTGTCTGTCTCACGAAAACTCAGAAGAGTCTGTACAAGGTGTCTGGTCTGCGAGACCGCCATCGGAAATTCCATTATTTCAGGCCAGATACCGATTGTGAGGCTATTAAAGATAGCGAAACCGACATATCTGCTATTCCATGATTCCATCATTCGGGCCAATCGTCTTGTGACGCTGTTAGAACGTAATAGAGACTGTTATATCTAGGCGCGCCGGAAGCAGTTTGGGGTTGGGGGGGGGGGGCGAACATTCCAGGAGCAGTGGCGTAACGAGCAAAAACGTTTGTAAAGGGGGGGGCAGAAGGAAAATCTGCGTCACCACCACTCTTACACGTTACATGCAGGCCCCGCGGAACGTTTTTAAAAGTGGAGTATCACTTAGAGCGGAATTTGGCGTGGGGTCCAGGGCCTGGGCCCGGCGGAGGGTCAAGGGGCTTAAGCCCCCGGAAGCTCAGGGTTTTTAGGCATTAAATTACGGTCAGAAAAGCACATTTAGATACCTTATTTGTGACAATGGCAGGTCATTAATTGGCAGGGAGTCCAGGGGCAGAGCCCCCGGAAGCTCAGGTTTTGTTTAGGTATTTAATTACGGTTAGTTGAGCACACAGGGGCACTCTTTAATGCCATTGATGTAGTCCAGAGGGCAGGACCCCCTGAAGCTCAGATGTTTTAGATATTTAACTACGGTCAGATGAGGATCCAGGGGCCGGTCTAGGGCCCTTGGTGGGGTCCAGGTTACAGAGCCCCCGGAAGCTCGGCGGGTTTTAGGTATTTAATTACGGTCAGATGAGCATTCAAGGGACCGCCTTAGGGCCCTTGGTGGGGTCCAGGGTACAGAGCCCCCGGAAGCTCGTTTTTTCTAAGGTATTTAATTACGGTCATATGAGCATCCAGGGGCCGCCTTAGGGCCCTTGGTGGGGTCCGGGGGCAGAGCCTCCGTAAGCTCTGGGGTTTTAGGCATTGAATTACGGTGAGATGAGCATATTTTGATACCTCATTTGTGACATTGGCAGGTCACTTATTTTTTTTCTCTCTCTTTTTTTCTTCTCTGTAACATACTTTTTCAAAAAGTGAAGGGAGGGGCTCTAGCCCCCGAGCCCAGCCGTTCTGCAGGCCCTGTCAAGAAGGCTTCTAAATAAGCATATATTTTGCCCGACTGTAAATTTGGGAATTTCTAATTTTCCAACAAACGCATTTAAAAGGTATGACTTACACAAAAATTGAGAAAAAATACCGGAAAATCATGTCATTTCAGCAAAATTTGTAAATCACTGGTACCGAATAAGAAATGACCCCCCCCCCCATAAGTACGCCAGCGTTCAGGGGCTCATGTCTTCTTACACCTAAAACTAAAAACACACACGCTTTCCCATCCTCTCACAATATTTCCACGATATGCGCATATCGCTAATATAAAAACCTGATTGATAAATATAGGTGGCATGCGGAATGTTTAGGAAATTTAATTCCTGTTAACTTTCCTTTTCTTAGAATGGAATTTTATATGTGATTTAATTCAGGTTTTTATTATTGTTTTGTTCTTTTGGGTTAAAAATACAAACCATCTTTACTCCTTTACAGCTTTTCTTTTTTCTTTATTTAGAGGGGGAGGGGGCGTTTTTTTTTTTTTTTTTTTTTTTTTTTTTGGGGGGGGGGGCAAATGCATTTTGCCCCCCCCCTTTTTGGTGGGGGGGGGGCAAGTGCCCCCCTGCCACCCCACTTCCGGTGCCTATGGTTATATCAGTCATTCGGCTACCGCCTTGTGAAGCTGATAAAACGTTATCATGACCTACAGTAAGAGAGGTACTTTTGTTTTGTATCTCTTTGTGCTTCTTTAATAATAATAATAATAATAATATTGGCATTTATATAGCGCTCTTACAGACATACATGTGTATCACAGCGCTTTACAACATATTATTATTACCCCGGTCATCGGATTCAGGCTTGCCCGCACACAAGGTATGCACATTCTCCACTCCCTGGGGAGCATTCCAGCCAGTCGCCATTTTACAAGCGCCACTTGCTAATCAAACCACATTAGCTTTCGCATCCTACCGGGTACCCATTTTAACACCTGGGTGGAGAGTGGCAAATGTAGATCAATGTCTTGCCAAAGGACATTAGTGCCGCGGCGGGACTTGAACCGCGGACCTTGTGATCCACAGTCCGGTGACTTATCCACTCGACCACGACACCTCTAAGTTGCAGTCACTTGAAAAGCCCTATATTGGCGACTTGTCAACAGAGTCCTCTATCTTGGTTTGAATATCAAAATGTTTATAAATGTATGTATGCACATTATATTCGTGTCGAAATGAATGACCAATAAAAAAAAAAACTGTTGGATTTAAAACGTGAATCGTCTAATCTTCAACCTTTTTGCGTAGAGGTGTCGTGGTCTAGCTGATATGTAACCTGATTGTGGATCACAAGATTCGGGGTTCGAGTCCCGCCACGACACCAAGGTCCTAATAATAAATAGAGGTTTTCTGGTCTGTAAAGATGCAGCGAAACGAGTATACTCTGCATGATTGTGTTAGTATGGACGAATGTGTGTATATCATGTATATATATATATATATATATATATATATATATATATATATATATATAGAAAAAAATATAAAAAGTTGAAAATAAAAATTGATTCCGTTTAACGTCTGCAACCTCGAATATTTCGCCGATGAGGTTAATAGGGAAATCATGTTTTATTCGATTTTTTTATTAGAAAATAATCAAACGTAGCAAACGACGCATTGCACAAAGGATATAGCGCAGCAACTTGCTAGTAACCAATGAGAGTGTAATTAAACAGAGAGTATTTAAGCAAAGAAGAAAAGGATAGAAAAGGAAAGGTAAGAGCAATGAATGGAGAAGATGAGAAAGTCAGAAAGGGAGAGAAAGGTTAATAAACGAAGAACCAAAGAAGCCAGGAAAAGGGTTTAAAGAATAAAGGAGGAAGGGAAAGAAATCAAGAGGAAGGGAGAGAGAAAGAAAGAGAGGGGAGGGAAAGGAAGAGAGAAAGAGAGAGAAAAGAAACACAAAGGACAAAACAAAGTAAAGGAAATAAAAAATGAAGCAGAGGGTAAGGGAAACGAATAGGGAAAAAAAGAAGGAAACAAGGGTAAGTAAAAAGGAAGCGAAAAAATAGAGGGGGGGATGAACAAAATTAAGAGAACGAAAGAGAGAGTTAGAAATCAATCAATTGATTTATGTAAAGCTCGAAGGGACACATTCATTAAATAATTTGGTATATCAATCTTTCCTCCCGCTTCTTCCTAGATGGGTCAGTAGGGAGTTTTCGCAAGCTCAACGCGGACGGAGAATCGGCGGTTCGTGTGCAAAATCGAAAAGCTACTATACAGTGTGAGTCAAAAAAAAGTTTACACCTAGAAAATTGCTAATTATTTTTAAAATCACCTATTAACAGTAAATTATTGTACATCTTATGAAAGAGTGTTTTATCCCAAATCATTTGGTATCATTTGTGTGTGGTATCAAGACGCGATACATGACATTCCTGAGAGAGGGAGCAGGGAGTGGGAGGCGGGAGTGGGAGCCTGGAGTGGGAGGCGGGAGTGGGTGCCGGGAGTGGGAGTGGGAGCTGGGAGCCGGGAGTGGGAGGCAAGGAACATCATGGTCCCATATTATTATAACATTAATAAAATGAATGAAATAGCAAACTTACACTGACTTCGTTGTAGCTCACCCCGTCAAACTTAAAGGAATTGGAGAAGCTTAACGAAGCAAAATGATCATCGCCCCTAATTAGCATCATCGAGTCGTTAAACTCTGCTGAATTCCCATAAGGAAATAGGGTGCCTACATGAAATGCAAATCAGTGGATAGAGAAGCATTAAAGCAGGGCTCCCACTTAGCCGAGTTGGAGCCTCGAGTTGTGGCGAGCTGGCGAGATCTTATGGCAAGCAGTTTTATCTTTATAACATATTTCTTGATATCAAGAATTCAATTCTTGATATCACGAAATCGAATTCCTGATTTCATGAATACGAATTCTTAATATCAAGAATTACCATTGCTTTACAACATTAAAATAATTTCTTGATAACAAGAATTGATTTATTGATATCAATTAATAATACAACGGCTTGTCATAGGATCGCGCCAGCTCGTCACAACTCGAGGTTCCAACTCGGCTAAGTGGGAGCCCTGCTTTACGCTCCTAGAAACAAACCAACGCGGTACGCCTGTTTCACAGTACCGCTTTACCGACAATCTACAGGGTTCATTAATTCTTAAAAGACTTTCGATTTTGTTTTCTTTCTCTCCAGATAGCCTTTTAAATTCTCCAAACAAGAAGCAGCGAAGTAACAGTGGCACAATGGCAGTTGCCCCCTCTCCCAATCACATGGCAAAATATAAGAAATTCAAGAAAAGAAGAAAGGAAGAGAGCGAGGGGATGGAGAGGGAACATATAACGTGAGAGAAAATACTATCCTATACACTCTCCCCCTGACTTGATGGTCTTGTTGATTTGTATTCGACCAGGTAGTAAGACTGATTTCCCCCACCCCAACGAACTCAGGCAGCGCCAATATCTATATGTCACTAATACCGGACGCCTCTTAACACCAGACATGTCAAACATGTTTCCATATACAAATATACTGACCATTACAAACTTATAAAACAAATTGTACCATTAAACATTTGTCGTCATTTAGTGAAAAATCAATAAGCCCTTTAAGTCTTTATAAAATCATAATAATCTGGTATCACACATAAATTACATCTTTTATCAAACTTGGATTTTCAAACATTTTAGGGAAATATATGTTTCAAGTTACAAAAGGAGGGGGAGCCACTCGGCTATATTGAAAAGTAACGCGTAGACTTGGACATGACACAAAAAAGTGATTAAATCGTTAAGCCTGCTTAAAACCCTGTTCCATGTCGTAATTTCCTAAGGTTGATCCGAAAGTTCGTCATTTTAAAGATGAACTAGGGTTCATAAGGCTGAAAATGAAATAGGGTACATTATTCCGAAAATAAATAGGAATCATAATCCCGAAGGTTCATACTTCCGAAAATGAAATAGAACCTGCATGCACAAATTTGTGCAGGCGTATTGTGGTATTACGAACCTTTGGAATACCGAACCCTTTTTTATTTTCGGAATTATGAACCCCCTGGCATGGGAAATTTCTGTTTCAGAATTACGAACCTTGGGAATTATGAACCTTTGGGAAAACCAGTGACTCCCTAAAGATTTTCATACGCTTGATATAACTTTTTTCAATTCAATTCAATTTTTTTCTTCAATTTTGCCAATTTGAAATTTGCATGGATTTCAAATTCAAATTTCAAATTTATTCATGTTTCCAACAAAACATTACAAATCAATTATAAGCATTTAAAACAAATTTAAGAAATACATGTTGGAAACAGAGGGGTCCACTAAAAAGCAATGCTTGTACAAGTGTGAACACCTAAAATGAAACTTAGGAATAATGAGTAATTAAATTAACTAATCTGTAACTACAAAAGGAACTACAAAATAGGGGAAAGAAAAAGGGGGATGCCAACAGAGACGAGAAAGGGACAAGACAATTCTTTACACGCCAAATATAGAAGAACACGGTCATAATACAAGGAGTTAACACTTACCATTTTCCTGAGCGAACACACTTATGGTGAAACACGAAAGAAGGATGCACAGGAATGAAAACATCTTGACTGTTCTGTATCTCGACAAACAAACAAATGATGGAAAATGCCAGTAGATTATATGCCAGATGGGATGATAAAATAAAAACAAATAATGATCAAGGACAAGTGGTGGCGCTAGGATTTTTTGAGTTATGGGTGAAGCTACTCCAAGGGAATGAACAAGGTTTTTTTTTTCTCGGAAAAGTGCAAAAATAAATCAAAAATGTTTTCTTCCTCTCGCGATAATGCAAACCTTCAGGATTTATTTTATTCAACAAGATTTTATTTGAAGTGAAAGTGGTCTGGAAGAAGAATGATCATGCCGGAAAAGTTCTTCGTTTTCTGTTTTCTTTTCTTATATTCGTCCCGATGTTTCACCGCACCCCTTTTCAGAAATAAACGTCCCCGCTAAGCTATTTTTATCCTAAACCAGTCCTCTAAATAGCCATAATAATGGGACTGAGCAGTGGCGAATATGGGGGTGTAAGGGGCATCTTTCTATATATGGCAGCCCATGAAGGGGCAAAAAGGCGCAAAGGATGGGGGAGCCATAAGCTACAGCTTCCTTCCTCGTGTTAATGGTCCGTTTAGTCCCTTGGGTAATCTTTCTGGGGATCAATACTTTTATCTTGGACCCCCTTGTATTCAGGGGCGCACTTCAAATTATCGGGTGCTTGTTTCATTTAAACCCCCCCCCCCCCAAAAAAAAAAAAAAAAAAAAAAAAAGTTGGACTGATTACGTAGTCTAGAAAATCGCGATGTCATGCAATCGATTTGAATCCATAAACCCTTCCTGTTGTGATGGTTTATATTCCTTTGTTTCATCTCCGGCCTGCGCATCTGCTCCCGATTAAAAAGTGGTGTCCTTCAATCCTTTCACACTTTCTCGGTTCTGTTGACAAATATTGTTTTGGTCCTTGAAATATTTTTCTATCTGTTAAGCCCGTTTGGCAAGCCGTTTTGCTATTTAAAATTATATTTGGATATCACTAATTCCTTTTCTGAAATCACGAATTCAATTCGTGATATCACGAATCGAATTTTTGATATCACAAAGACCATTTCTTGATATCAAAAATTGGGCTTATGTGATAAACCTATGGGAATTTGTTATATCACAATTTTGAGTTTGTGATATCAAGAAATCGATTCACAGTTTATTCGAGCATTAGCTTTGTGCAGAAAATCAACAGGGAATTCAGCACTATCTTTGTGCAGAAATACATAGGGATTTCGATCATTACATTTGTGCAGAAATTCAGCTTGGTATTCGAGCGCCAATTAAATGCAGGAATTCAGATGGGAATTCGAGTACATGTATTTACTTTGTACAGAATTTATATAAGTTAAAATAAAAATAGCAAGAGACTTAATACGTAACCATATCATTCATTAAGAACGATTTGAAATATGTTTAGACGAATTGATAGAAGTAAATTGATTTGCAACATATCGAGTATTCAATTAATGATATGTTGTCAATTTAAATGAAACCCATCATTCTGTTCCATATATTTTCGAGTTTTAATTGTTCAGGATATACATTTGCTTACAGTTATATGGACATGTCGCATAGAAGAATTGATGACTTCACTCAGACCAGAGGTGGAAAGAGCTCTTTTTTCTTTATAAATAAAAAAATACTGAAGCGGAGGGGGATCCTCAAAAACACACACTTAAAAAAAAATGAGGGTCCCCCCCCCCCCCCCCCCCCACTGCGTACGCGGCTGCATCCACACAATCATTTCTCTACACACATATTATTTTAGTGATGCTACTCCTAGTCATGAAAATAGTCCGAGTCGCTATAGTGGCGATCTCTACGTCATCCTTTTGTTTCAGGGAGGGGAGAGGGGATCTTTGTCCCTCCTTCAAACATAATGATGACACAAAATCGCTGCCACTGCTGGGGGCTACATTCGCATTGCACAGCAATGCAGATTGCGATATTTCTAGTTTTCCTGGGGATCTATACTTTTATCTTGGACCCCCCCCCCCTTGTACATTCAGGAATACACTTAGGGATTCAGGGATATGATTGGGTGCTTGTTTCCTCCAACCCAAACGAATTAGACTGATCACGTATCTTGAAAATTGTTATTGCCGGCAATCGATTTGAGTCGCAAAAATCCTCCCTAATTTTGTCACCTGGTTTTCATTCCTTTGTCTCATCTCCGCACATCTGCTACGATTAAAAGGCGGCGTCCTTCCATCCTTTCACACTTTTCCAGGTCTGTCAATAAATATTGTTTTGGTCTTTGAAATATTTTTCTGTGTGTTAAGCTCTGCGCACACGTACACTACACCAGTGGCGTAATTAGAAGGGGCAGGAAAAAAATCTGCATCACAACCACTCTTACATGTTACATGCAGGCCCCGCGGAAGGTTTTTCAGGCATTGCTTTTTAGTGGACCCCTCTGTTTCCAACATGTATTTCTTAAATTCGTTTTAAATGCTTATAATTGATTTGTAATGTTTTGTTGGAAACATGAATAAATTAGAAATTTTGAAATTTGAATTTGAATTTCAAAGTGGGGGCTTAAGTATTAAGTAGAGCGTAAATTGACGTGGGGTCCAGGGGCAAAGCCCCAGCGGGGAGGGGGTGGGGCCAAGGAAGCCCATTGTAGCTCAGGGGTCAGATGAGCATCCAGGGACTTGCCTCGGGGCTCTTGGTAGGGTCCAGGGGCTTTTGAATTTCATTGATTAAAAAGGCTATAATCAGGAGAGGAAAAGTACACCCGGCAAGTGCATATACACAAAGTTGTATTTTGTTTAATTCACAAGACGCCGACGGGCCCCGTGAAAAGAAGGAAATTATAACAGGTGTGAGGGAGAGAAAGAACGGGAGATAGAGATTGATAAATGAGAACGATGGGGAAAGGAGATACCTTGAGAAAAAGTAGCTGGAAAGGAGGGTGGGCAAGGGTACAGCTAAATTCCGTTCGAGAGCCGGAAAAAATGATGGTACAGAAGAAATAGAGGGGATCACGGGGAGTGAAAGAGATAAAGATTTAAAGTAGAATAAAATGATAGAAAGAGAGAGAGAGATCAATGGGATATAGTATTAAGAGTCTATTTTCATGTAAACGTTATCTGAAGTTAAAGCTAGTTAAAACTAATAAGGAATCAATGTAACATTATGCTCATTTGCTTCTAATTCATGGCATTATTCATGTTTACAATGTATTTTGCTGAAAACGATTGTTGGCTATAGTTGGTGATTGTGAATTTATCATGAATGATCAATTGTTTTTCGAAACTTTGATGATAATAATACGGGGAGAAGCTTTATCATAATATGCTTCCTTTCTAAAGAAACATGGTGTAAACAGGGAACAAGAATTAAGATAGGAAAGTAAAGATTTAGAAACAAAATGTGTAACAAACGATGCTAAGCCTTATTATAGGAAATTTACGAAATGAAATTAGAATTAAAAACTCTCCGCTTAAACAGATTGAATTGCGATGATATCTCGTATAAAGTGGCTGGAGTTTGTTTAAACCCAGGGACGTGATAGAGAAGGACTGGAATCAAGCCGCTCTCATTTGACCCCATGCTCCAAGCCGCCGAAAAGTTATGCGCTAATCTACAACTGTTGACCAGGTGGTGAGATAAAAGAGCGCATGAAATTTCAAGATTTAGAATTCCTACATCAGAAAATAGTATCACTGCAACTGTTCGCTGTCCCTTCCAATGATTTCTCATCCATTGTTGAATGTGTAAAGAGTAGAACAAGCGAACACAAACTTATGTACTTTCATCCTTTTTTAAACTTGAAAAATACAAAAAACACGCGAAAACACGCATTAGCAAACTTAATGTTATTGAAGATTGTAAATCATGGATCAAATAACGGGGCATTAAAGCATGCACAAATTAGCGCATCATCCTAAAATATTGAGTTTTTGACAGGATGTAATTTTTCTTTTACCAACTCTGGCACAGAAATTAAAGGAAGGACGGAGTTCTAAATTTGAATATTTGTTTGATGCACTATTCCAAATAAAATCCCCATATAAAGTTTTTGATTTACACTGAAATTTTGCCGGTAATTTAATATTTTGTAATAAATGTAAAACTGGTGCCTGGCTTCCAAAAGTCCCCGCAGTGGAAGCGCGGTTCGGAGCATGGAACTTCAAAGCCAAGTGGAATGTTACACATCCCATTGTTACGCTTTAGAACTCAAGAATGCGTTTGAATAAATTACAAGAGTTTCGCCTCCTTTTCTTTCACCTCCCTGGAAAAACAGAGCAAAGTTGAATAGGATAGTGAAACATGCCAGCAGAGTAATTGGGGTCTCTGTGAAAGAGCTTGAAGATGTTGCAGAAAGGGCATTATTGGCTAAGTTGCAAGTGATTGTGAAGTATTCTAATCACCCTCTGCATAATGAAGTGGTTTTCAATAGATCAGGAAGAATTAGGCTACCTAGAATAAGAACTGATAGGTTCGGCAGGTCCTTTCTCCCAAATGCAATTTATGTAGATGAATGACCCTGTTCACCTCCCGAGTACAACCCCCTACCCTCTCATTCTCTCTCTCTCTCTCTCCTCTTTCTTCTGCTCTCTCTCTCTCTCTTTCTCTCTCTCTCTCTCTCTCTATATATATATATATATCCTACAGTTATCTATCCCCTCTCTCTCTCTCTCTCTCTCTCTTTCTGTCTCTCTCTCTCTTCATATCCTGGAAGTAGCTTACAGGGGGTGCAGATGGGTAGGATTTTATAAGGTCATGGGGGGAGGGGGTCCTCCCTGCTGTTATGGTTGGGTGGTTGGTAGTTTGTGAGTGACTTGTGGACCCGTCAATTCAATTCAATTCAACAATATTTTCAATATCTCACACTGCACTTTTCCTCCTTTTCCTCCTTTTTCCCTCTTTCCTCTCTATACTTTTCTCCACTTTTCTTTCTTTCTTCTTTCTTCTTCTTTCTTTCTTGTCTCTCTTCTCGCCTCTTCTATCTGACATCAATTTTCTTCTTTCAACTGTACAGTGTATCTGCCATCTATATGTACATGTACATGTGATAGCATACAGTTGTATTTGTATATTTTGGCACGCATTGTCTTATAATCATATGTAACAGTACTTAACACAGCTGCAGAATAAATAATGTCTATTACAAAGCAATGTTTTGAATGAAATTGTATTTGCATCATCTCACTCTCTCTCTCTATCTTTCTCTTAATTTCCCTCTCCCTTTCTCCCTTTCTCCCTTTCTCTATTTCGTTCTCTCTCTTGTCTCTCCTCTTTGCCATCCACTATGATGTACCTTTAGTTTATGTCTGCTAAAAAATAAACAGTTTTTATCTGAAATTTGTAACAATTGATGAGTAATTGATTTTAGATCTTGGCCATGATTTGTTCTATTTATATGACATTGATTGTTGTCATGTACATTTTCTAAAATATATTTAAGTTAGTTAGGAGCCAGTGGAGTACAAATAATCAAATGATTCCCCTGGCTCTCAACAGAGAGGTTAAATTATATTACATTGTTATGTTATTTATGTTATTTGTAGTTATTTGTCTATGATATGTTAATGTATTGTTATATTTTATACAAATGTGAGCCGTAAGACGATTTTTATGCCTTCAATTTATTTTGTGCATGACAATAAATTCAATTCAATTCAATTCAATTCGATTCAATTCAACATATGAAATCCCCTAGGCAAGATGGCTTTACTGTAGAGTTCTACCGTTTTCCTATTATAGTCATCGAACCATGCTTATTTTACAAGACACCTATCACAATCGGAAAATGGGGACTGTAACTTTGATTCCAAAAGGGAACAAGTCTAGAGATGTACTTAAAGTGACTCGGTAACATCGCTGATGGTTGATGAAAACAAACTGTGTAATTTTGGTATGAAATGTTACTCATTATATTCCTTTTACTGTACTCACCCTCTAACAGGCAAAAAATCCTGAGAAAAATCTCAAACCATAGAGATATATATATGGTTTTTCGTAAAGGCGTCACTGTGCAACGCCCTCTGAAAGTGATTAACGGTAAATTCTCTCAACCATTTTTTAATTTTCCCAACCGTTTTCCATGAAAATAAAACATAAGACAGGCTTTAAAAAAATGTCAACACTTAATTCTCTGGAATGGTATATAGAGCCTATTCATTGCTTTGTGACGATTTACATTCACCCAAAATGTAATTAAGTTGTAATAATATAGTTGGGAGAATTAAGGAATCGATCAGATCAGCTTTTCCCTATTTTTATCAATAATACCTTAGCCCCATTTTCTCTCATCTTAACAATGTTAGAAAGTCCCCTCCAATTTCCTTGCTTAACGTTATATATGAACTAGCCTACGATTGTATAGCATAATAAACTAAAATGGGTTTTGTCTTATTTGATAAACGAAGATCAAAAGTGATTTCTAAAAGGTCGTTTTATTTGGGAAAATAAACGTTTTTTAAACGACACATTACTTTACTCTGAAATAAAGGATATGGCTGGCATGTTACTCGTCATTGATTTCAAAAAGGCATTCGACTCTGTGTCTGTTAATAACATTTTGAATTTTTTCAATTTGGCCCATCTTTTCATAAATGAATAAAATTGTTTTATGAAAACGCTTTTCCGTGTGTCCTACTTATTAACGACACTGTACATGTACAGATAGACTATTAACAGGGCGAGGTTGTCGTCATGGAGATCCATTGTCTCCGTACCTGTTTTTGTCAGTGAGTGAAATACTTGGTATCCTGATGCGTCACTCAAATTCTTTTTTTAAAAGTTGGATTACATATGAATGGGAAAACACTCAGACTGTTGTAATATGCAGATGACACCATCTTTACACTCAATGGTACCAGACAAGATTTACAATGTGCCTTTGAAATACTTGCTGACTTTGAAAATATGTCCAATCTCGAACTCAACATACATAGCACAAATGCAAGTTATATGGATCGGGAAGCACAGAAATTTACACGAATAAAAATTGAACTGGATATCTGGAGGTTATTTTTAGGTACCTAGGTATAGACTTCTCGGTACATTTATCACAGATGGTCGAACATAATTATTGTTAAAAGATAAAAGAAATTAAAAGTCAAATGACCCCGTGGTTGAAACAGGGACACTCTCTCTGGTTGAAAAGATCATTGACCCCCTTAGGAATAGTTACCAATGTTAAATCGTTATTTATACCCAAATTAAACTACCTGTTTCTATCACTTCCAGAACCAAACTCACCCACTATTAAAGAGGTAAATCGATGTTTTTACTCGTTTATATGGGGTAATAAACACAACAAAATATGAAGAAAACAAAAACAGGGTTTAGATCTAGAAGATAAAGCATGGTGTTCGTATTGTCTGATTCCCCATCAGTCAACTGATGATATAAATATGAGGTGGTTCCAGTTTAAGCTTTTAAACAGAATACTTAACATGAAAGATTCATTGCAGAATTTCCAAATAGTTCCTGATAAATATTGTATATTTTGTAACAGCAGTAAAGAGACAATTATCAGTGCATATTTTTTGTTACTGCCCATATTCAAATATAATATGGTCAAAACTTGAGCAATGGTTTTGAAGTTCAGTACGACCAATACAAAGGCCGAACTCACAAACTGTATATGTATACAGATGGGACTAAAGTTTTGGAATTTGTCTCTTAAAAATGTGTCTCTTTTAAAAAAGTTTCGGGTTTTGAAAAAAATGGCATTTATCAGATTTGACCTTGTGTTACCTCTGATGTGTAAACTGCGTCTAATTTATCGACTGGAGTGAGTGTGAACTGTTTTATTTTTCATAATTTGGCCGATAGAAAAATTCCCCAAAGAAGTGCAATATATATGTGTGTTAAGGTAAATAATGCTCAGTAGCTTTGTGTAGTGTCCGTTGCTGTTGTGTTGCTGTTCATAAAATGATAACCAAGATAGTTTCCTCCAGGATATTGCAGGGTATTAACTCTATAGGGTATGGTTGAACAATCAGGGTTGATTAAACTGCTCTATTGCATACTTCATTTTTGGACCTAAGTGCAAATGGTCTTGCACCCTGATTGTGGCTATACCGTAATCATAATAAGAAGTTATATTTTCAGGAAGATTAATAGTCAAGAAGACTTACAATAATGTTGACCTTTCATCACTTTTAAATTGGTTCAAGGACAACGTGGTTAATGATCTTGACTTTTTATGCGGAACAAAATAGCTTCGCGAAAACCTAGATTGATTACTTATTTGCAACTTGATATTATGTTTGCAAAGTATAGCATCGAGTATTGGAAAATTATGTATGATTATTTCGAGTGACTTCTTGATCAGAGCTCCTTGATAGGAATTTATGAGTCGATGCACATGATTTGATTACTTGATTTCATTTAGACAAAGACAGAAGTGTAGACTGTAGTAGACTTAATTATTAATCTATGACATGTTTATACCAAGTAATAACTTGCTAAGTACAGAAATTAAGTAATTTTTGCTAAGTTTTTCAGATGACCAAAACCGGTAAATTGATTTTGGTTTTGTAGTTATGGGTGTTTGGTGCTGTATTTCTTACAAAAGAAAAGGGGCATTTGCCCTATGTTAAAAGGGGCGCTTTGTGAGTACCTGAAAAGTGGGAGTACACTGTGCCCCCCCCCCCCCCCCTCTCACGGGAGGGCCTTCTCTGATAGTTGGTCATTCGGGTCTTGGGATCAAAGCACCATGAATATATGTGTGGTCTATCATGAAGGTGGGTCCCACTACTTTCTGTATCTCGAAAACAAATCTATTTCAATTAATAAATTATTTTCTTCTTCAGAAGCCCCGACAACTTTACTAACATATGCAAATTTTATGCGTGCCTTTTAAACAAATGTTGTTCTTGTCAACCTTAAAGCTTACACAAGGCTTGCTCGACATAGCATCAAGTAATGTGTACAGACTGGATTCCAAGTATTGTAGTTAATTAATGACATGTTAATGGATAACTTGTCACTAGACACTAGGTCCCCACACTATGAACATTACGGACAATGAAAGCGGACAAAACATACAGTTCCTCATGTAGACAAAGGAACATCCCTTCACTGCTATTATGTAAAAATGTGTAGAACAGGTGAATATGCCTGTGACACCTGTTCTATACATTTTTACATAATAGCAGTGAAGGGATGTTCCTTTGTCTACATGAGGAACTGTATATTTTGTCCGCTTTCATTGTCCGTCTTATTCATAGTGCCAGGAGAGAAATATTCATGAATTGGAATATATTTAATAGAACATCGTTTTATTTGCCTGCTATACACACCGTCGTATGTATGAAGGGAATACTTTGCATATAGTATTTGTTGTGATTTCTGGCATGCTTCTGGTATGCTGTTGAGTCTTCAAGAGAATCTTTTGTTCAAGAAGTATGCATGTCCTTAGTTGTACGGGTCTATTGTGATTTGTCACTACTGCAGGTTTGGGGAAAATAACACATAAATACATCTACATCTACTTGAATACATGGGAATTTACGTCGTCCAAAATAACACGTCTGTCCCATTATGAAAAAGAGATCTTTACAATGACATGAGGAATGTTAAACATGCTTTATAATATTTAAGTACATAACTTATATCGTGAATGATAGGAAGGGTTTTAAGAAAGCGTCGTCCAATCAAATCTCAGTATGTCACGTTTCAATCTAAAGCCAATCAAACCCAATATTACTTGTTTTTGCTCACTGAGTGTGCTGTCCGCTGCAGATACCCCCGCCATAACTCTCTTTTACTACCCAGTGCAAACTTGCTAAACTTGCATCTGTTCTCCCTCATACACCTCTTCCAAGAAAGTTATTTCCCCCAAACGTATTGGTTTGATTTTTACCTCAAGCGAATATTCGACGATTGTTGCCGTGTGTTTGGAAGATGGCACGTACAAAGCAGACGGCTCGCAAGTCAACGGGCGGGAAAGCTCCAAGGAAACAGCTTGCTACTAAAGCTGCTAGAAAGAGCGCCCCAGCTACAGGAGGAGTCAAGAAGCCTCATCGATTTAGACCAGGTCAGAATTTATTCTGAATTGGAAAATTGTTTTGCATATAATGTCAGTTCATTAATTTTAAGATCATATGGCGTAGGCCTCAACTGGAGCGGTTCTAGACTGCATGAATAATATAAAAAGTTCTGCAATTCAAGTTTGAGCGTTGATATCTCTCATGTTACTATCATCAGTGGCGTAGACAGGTTCGTACACCTGGGGGGGGATGACTGAGGGGCGGACCTAGCTTTTTGCTAAGGGGGGGGGGTTGACCAAAATAATGACGATGCGGAGCATCGTCAACGAGCCGCGAAGCGGCGAGCCGATTTTTTTTGGGGTGTTTATTTGAACCCCGTAAGTGATGTTTTCCTGGCATCTATTAACACAATGGAGACCATAAAAAGCAGTGCATGATAACGTCTTTTTAAATCAAGTAACAGTTAAATACACAGTTATATCCAGAGTTATCATGTGTTTGGTTAAGTTACCAGATGAGTTGAATATCTTCTCAAAATATTTGCACTTGAAAGGGTTTCTCTCCAGCGTGCGTTCTTTTTTCTTTCTTTTTTTCTTTTGTTTTTCTTCTTTTTTCCCCTTTTTTGTTTGTTTGTTTTTTGGGCCGCACAAGGGGGGGGGGGTTTAAACCCCCTAACCCCACCCCCCCCCCCCCCCCCGTAGATCCGCGCCTGTTTAATCTTGTGGTTATCTTGTGGTTTCCAAACCACAAGATAACCACAAAATACTTGTAAGATTTTCTTTTTTTTTACCGTCTGAATTGGCTTTCACCGTGTGAATGCGGCTAATAACAATAAACACAATTACAATAATGATGAGGATTATTATTATCATCATCATAATTATTATTATTATTAATATTATAATTGTTATCATTATTATCACTACTATTATTATCATCATTATGACTTATTAAGTAAGCAAATATCATTCCCCAAAACCTGGGGGGGATGATTGTACATGCCATCCCCCCCCCCCACCTTGTGAGGTGGGGGGGATGCATCCCCCTCATCCCCCCCCCCCCCCGTTGTCTACGCCCCTGACTATCATCACATACTTGACGTTTGTTATTGAAGAGCCTTTGTTCCACTTTTACAATGATGTCCCATTCGTAATGATTATGTAAAAATTATGTTACACACAAGGTTTAATTGTCTAAACTTTCTGAATGATCTGTAAACAGGAATGGACTTATATAAATCTATTAACATGTTCAATTGATGGTTAAGATAATTCACGTAATATGCTATCACTGGTTAGAATTCACTTTTCTGACATACCCAATGCAACTGGGATGAAATGTGACAAACTGTCCCAGTTCATCCTCAATAGGAGAAGAAACCACTAGACGTGAATTAAAGTGTTTTTTCTGTGTGTACTATATTATGTGCTTACTATATAAGTCTATTCTGAAAAAGTGTGAAATATTCGACCTAATTAAAGGGCTTCTATACTTCTGCAATCTTTCTCATCTTTGGCTCTGAATTAATGCTTCACCTAATTTTAAACATCGCTTGATGATCGCTTGATGATCGCTAGATATTGCTACAATAATGCATCAGCGAAAGATCAATGTACATGTATCAGCGAAACATCAATGTATTGTAGAAAAGATTAATGTCACAACAAGTCATACGAAGAATCTGAGAAAGTGGTCAATATAAGAGCATGAATAATTTTTCTTGCAGGAACCGTTGCTTTGCGTGAGATCCGTCGCTATCAGAAGAGTACGGAGCTGCTTATCCGCAAGCTTCCATTCCAGAGACTCATTCGTGAGATAGCTCAGGACTTCAAGACTGAACTCCGTTTCCAGAGTTCTGCTGTTCTTGCTCTTCAGGAGGCCAGCGAAGCCTACTTGGTCGGTCTCTTCGAGGACACCAACCTGTGCGCCATCCATGCCAAGCGTGTCACCATCATGCCCAAGGACATCCAGTTAGCCCGTCGCATCCGTGGAGAGAGAGCGTAGCCATGCCTTGAAGGATTATGACTTTGTGGAAAAATTGTTAGTTATACTGATGCAAACCTTTTGTAATGATGTATGTTAGAGTCTACAGTTTCGTATCGATTTCTATAGTTTCAATGTAATGTCTTTTGTGTGAACGTAAGTTGACATCATGGCAATCATTCTTTTTAAGGTTTGTTGGGTTTTGTTGTTGGTTGGATTGAAAGTGAAACATTTTGATGCGTATTGATTTAAATAATTAAAGTAGAGCTATAGTCCTTTATTAATATGTTCAAAAGTAGGCTTGTTCAGAAATTGAAGCCTTAGTGGGTGGGGTCAATATCTAAGGCGGGATCAGAAGCGACCCATCATCACGAAATGTTGCACTCGGCTTGGAAAATCCCAAAACGAGACCGTTTTCCAGTTTCCTCAGAAACGGACCATTTCATAAATTGTGGTTGGTAAAATAAAATAGTATTCGTCGCATTACATTCTTTTTGATAATGGGTGAACAAAAGCTAAACATATTGCACGAAATAAGTCATTGACTATCCATAATCACAGACGTATTAACATTCCTCGGGGTCGTGGATAATGCATATTGTCAGTAATTGATTGTAATCATACTTGAACTTTCGTATATAATGATCAAGAATACTGCATACTCTTATTGTTTAACATATTCATAGAGTTTCTAAACAGTCATTCTCAAAGGTTTAAGACTACCCTATATAACAAAATTGAAACAACAAAACGGACAAGTAAATAAAAGCATCTTATTAGTTGCTAAAACGCAAGAAGAGAGTGCTTACACTTTCGACGAAATTTGAGTGGTAAAGTCAAATTACCCCTAAACAATAGCAAAAGAATTTATATTACTGCAATTCACTTGAAAACAATGAAAATGATGGACATATTTTAAAATCAATGTAAAGAATACAATTTGCATCATGTTTGAATTTGCTTCAACAATGAACAAATTAAAAGTTATATTTTCATTATGATATGGAAATAAACGATTTGAATTAATGGAGTGTTCAATCCGACGTGTTCAAGGTATAGGTCAGTTGTTTTATGAAAAATGCTTCTTCGTGTGTCCTACTTATTAAGTAGGGGAGGAGGTTCATTAGCATAAACAATTCAGTATAGTGTTTAATATTTGTATAAGATATGCAACTAAATTTCCACTAGAAAGATATAAAAATTGTTTTATTTATCACAATTGACCATGTAACCACTTCCGTGAATTGAAATGCAAAAGTTAATATCAAAATATCGATTTTCATATAGTTATGATTGAAAATATTTATAATGTTAATCAGCACGATATTCTACTTTATTCGCTAACGTTGAAAACAGTTAATGAATATCACACTATTGTAAAAGGAGGCTTGGGTGCAATTTTGGACGAAAATATGATTTAAAAAAAAAAAAATCTTTATGGCTGAGGCTAATTTGTGTCACATGTAAAATGTATTGGTTATAACGGTCTTATAATGTACTACCGGTAATCATTTTCATTGACAGTGCCAACATTACTTGTGACACTTGAATTTATTATATCTGGTTATTAGATGGCAAAGTATGATTAAAAAATATGAACTTTTATATATTTCTGTTTATAAACTTATTTGCATATTCCACCTTGTTTACCGACCTTGCAAACATCGGATCATTTAGTTCAAATGGGTTATTTGTTTCCAAATTAAGATGAACATATGACTTTTGATTTCCGTGTATTGTTGTAGATTATTCGCACATTATGCACATTATGTTCATTACATTAATTTGGAAACGTGTCTATATTTGCACTGACCTTGAAAACATCGAGATTGAGTACAATTTAAAGGGGAAATATGAATTTCAATTATAATGGATGTTTATTTTGCATTGTAATAATTGTTTCCATCGTGTTAGATGACATTAAGAGCATTATTTAGGGCACATAAGTTTCAGTTGGATACTTAGATGCACATTATGAAAATAATTAATTCCCTTTCATGGTCGATATTAATTTGCATACCATGCAGATTACATTCATTGTCATCTAATGTAAAAAGCATATCAATTTAAGCACGAAACCACATAAAGTTGGTACTTAAAGGCCGACTTTTTATAGATATATATATTTTTTTTTTCTTCATAATATGGTTATAGATAATTTTCATATTCAGCAAATTTAACTGCATGTACTTTCCAAAATTTACATCTTCCAAAACTTGTAATATGTCGTTTTAGAGGACTAATCCGCAGAGCACTGTAATGAAATGAATTTGTTTTTAATTATTATTATTTTGGGGCTAATCCACAAAACTCTACAGTTTTAAAAACTGCATTGCGCATAAGAGTCTTGCTATCCCAATGCTTGAGCTGATTTTACATTCAGACTGCCAGAGTAGGCCTAAGTACTATGTTGCATTGCAGATGGAATGTTATACAAAACCTGCCTTTAACAAGTAAATTTCATTCTATGGGAACACAGCACTACTCTGCTGATACGGAACACTTTAAATTACATGTCATTTAATAATTCAATTAGATAAAATAATGCAGGCCAAGACACATGAGTACCAACAAATTTCCAGGTGGTCTTAATTCTTAAACATGTGCAAATGATTGTAATTATTAGTTAACTCCAATGCAATGCATGAAAGTGTTCCTTCATATTATTTATTGGCTTTTACAAGAAATAGAGAGAATAGCTACGGGGAGTGGATTGGATTTACTACATAATCATAAACATAAAATTGTATTCGATAAAAGTAGAAATGCATATCACTATAGGGGAAAATATTATGCTTAAATAAATTTAGATTTCTGAGCTGACTTGAATAAATGTGTTTTCCAAAGGCTCTTGAAAATGTATAGATTGAGACGGTTTCGAGGAAGACTATAGTAGCAATACTGTAGGAGCCAGGATTAGGAAACTTTGAAAAGAACCTTTTTTGTTAGTCTGTTAATGTGTGCGTATTGGAATTGTATTGTATACCGCTTAATGTTTTGTCTATAGATATTTTGGTAACCAATAAAGTTGTTCAATGATAATATACATACGGGACGTCTTGTCATAATTATCTTGGTTGTCGTGTATTACATTTAAAGAAACCTACCAAATCCATGGTCCGTGCCATACGATATTTATTTCAACACGGAGATACTTGCTTCAGCTACTGGCTGTTCTCCTGCAAGTCCGTGCATAAATAAACACATACAATATAAACAAAATCAGCAAAATTTATAAAATAACAAATATACAGAAAGAGGCCAAATTGTAAGACTAGGACATATGAAAATCTAAAAACAAATATGAATCTTACAAAGAATGATTGAACCAAGATTGAGTATATAGGCACTACTTGCACATTAGATTGCATAGATTGCACATATAAGACGTTCAAACAGTATACAAGATGCAAACATGACTGGGTGAGAACGAAAGATAGAGGGGTAAGAGAGAAAGAGGAGATTTTAAAAAAGGATATTTTTCGTAATAGGCCAGTTTCGTAATGTAACCTAATTTAATGCATACGTCTTTGTGAAGTGCCTCAATACAAATTATTTCATTCACCTGATAAGAATAATAGTATTTCAATAGTCATAATGCAACTGCATATATTAAGTGTTGCTAGGTAGGTCAAGCCATAACGTTTGTCCAACCTGGCAACAACTAATGTATGCAGTTTGGATTCTGTCTATTGAAATACTATTATTCTTATCAGGTGAATAAAATAATTTGTATTGAGGCACTTTACAAAGACTTATGCATTAAATTTGGTTACATTACGAAAGTGGCTTATTGTTTTGGTATCTGCGTTTCATTCTTTTTGAGAATATTTACGCCTATCACTTTTTTTTTCTTCTTTTTTTGTTTACTTTTTGTAAATCATAAATTTCTATTGAAGTCTTTCTACTTAAGTAGTGATCAAAATTTTAGGGCATTTGGTTGACGTGCGGTATGTGCACACCCCAAAAAATAAGACTGTAATTTGGTGAACTGATAAACGGAATACCGGGGAAAATGTAATTTTGGGCAGCTCTGATACAGTATTCCGTGAATATCCAGAAAATTGTTGTGTTCACTTTATAGAATAAAACATGAGACAAGAAGAGCCTATGCAAACAAATGTCGAAAGTATTTTCTACACCAATGTATGTACGCCTCATCGTTGTACATGTATTTCAGTCAGTTAAGCTGAGATCTCTATGTCATACAAAATTAGTATGGGGTGGAACAGATGCAATAAAGATACAGTATGTTTGATTTCTTTTTCTTTTTATTTTATTTCTACTGACACTATACAAGACATGCATATCCTCCCAAGTTGTTTAATTATATACATCACATTCTCTTTCCATATGAACATGAGATGTGTACCGTTTGTTATAAAACGGTTCAAGGTATTGACAAGGTATTGACAACAGTAAACCTTACAATAAATCCCAGAGAACAGTTAACTCTGCATATCTCTAAAAGTCACACAAGCCAATTATCATTTTTTTGACCAAACTATGCAAAAAGTGATATTTACACTTTTCCAATGTCAAATTTTGGATACTGGTAAATCAAATTATTTTGTTGCCATCTCAACATTTAACTTGTAGATTAGAATCTGAGTCTGACTATCACTGAATTGATTTTAACAGGCATTGCCTAGAAGATAGTAATTGGGACTACATTTATAATCCACTTTCCCTACTTAAAAGGATATTCAGGCAGGCATGTTTTAAACAAGATCCTGCCCCCTCCCTAGATATACACTACTCGCATCATACAGGCTTACTTTCATGATGAGAAAATAACCCTCTTTTCACTATCTTTTTCTTTCCATCAAAATGGATAGATAATGCACAAACGTATTATAACAGGTGCATCAAAGAAGTGCAATGATGGGCTCACAGATCTTATTGTTAAGGGCTGACCTAATTAGAGAATCACTGAGCAATCCCAACAAGATGATTAAAATCATAGAGGGGGGTGTTTAGGTTCATTAGCATAAACAATTCAGGTCTGACCTACAATAACTTTCAATGCCTCTCCTACATAAAGAACAGGAAAGCAAGTTAGGAACGATTTACTGCTATCATTGTTATCATTTAGGTCTGACCGGCCGTTAATTTTGATCTTGGCTTTTGTGCAATCATGTTTATTTCGGTGATTGTGATTTCATACTTATGTAGGGCTTAATACAAATGTTTCTATTAAAGCACTGTATCATTATTGAAATTATCATTAAGTACATGATAAATTTGTACAAGGGGCAATAGGCAACATACTGGGCAAGCTTAAATTTTGGATGACCCTATTTATCTACACAAAGAGAAGCATTTTACATAATGGCATATTTAGAATGATTTCATTTGCCTTTCATCTGAACTGACAAAATCCTGATACCTGATTCATAATAATAGAAAATACATTACAAATAATGTAAATTCACTGATACAAAAATATGAAAAAATAACTGTTTACTTTGAATCCAATAGCGACTTTAAGGGGAGCACAAAAGATAATGTAGGCCCCGACTGGAGATTTAAATCATATCTTACTTCTAATTTTAGTTTTAAAGAAAAGCAAATGTGGGTATGAAATCACAGAAATCTGGCTGCCTTTTGAGGTTCACCGAAACCATACCTGCACTTTGAGAAGCCAAACATGAAGCATCATAATTTATCCAAAATATTTATTCAAACTATAAATCATGATAAAAGTTATGATTTTATCTGAAGATTTTGCTTTTAATTAAAGCATGATTTATGACATACTAGAGTTATATAAATAATGACCTAAACTACCACCCCCCCCCCCCTCCAAAAAAAGTTTGCTAAATAATACAATAAAAAGTATTTATCATGAGTGCATTACAATTTTAAGTTTTTAAATAAATCACAAGCTCTTCTCATACTCTTGACTTGACAATCTCAGCTCAATGATCCCTTTTTTCTGTTCTTTATTTTGAGGGGGGGGGGGGGGGGTAAGTATAGTAAATTTTCAATATCACATGCCTTCTTGCATGTTTTTAAATCAGAGTCACATAAAAACAGAATATCAAAAATGTGATTTTGTGTAAAATCTCTCTTAGGAGCCTAAGCTGTATTAGAAACGTTTATACAGAGTATATTGAATTTATCATTTGTTTTATCTGATAAATCTTAAGAAGAAGAAAAACTGCCCTACAAAAAAAATTACAAAAAGAATTAGTTTACATTCATTTTTAGTAACTACATATTTCCAACTGTAGTGTTAGACTAACGTAAACAAAATCAATGTTATAATGATTATGTGCCATTTTCATTTGAAACTTGATGTTAAAAGGTAGATAACACACGAGCAATACCGTGTGAAATGCCCTAGAGCATTATGAGTGTAGCTTTAGTCATCTAGCATGACAATGTCTTCACATTCAGCCGATTCCTGATTGGTTATTTTAGGTTTCTTGATGAAAGGTGTATCATCTCCAGTGGTAGATACAACATCCTCAGATAACTTCCTCTTCCTAGAATCACCATCACTATGTATCTCCATCTTTTCTTCCTCAACAATTACTTCTTCTTCATCCTCGTCCTCTATAATCATGAAGTCGTCATCATCATCCTCTACGTTGTTTGTGCTCTCTGAGAAATAAGACAAATAAATATAAATATACACTATGTAATTAAAATCGCAAATTCTTTTTTGGCTAAAGGTAACAATAATTATAATAATAATTATAATAATAATAATAGTAGTAGTAGTAAAAATTATAATAAAATTAAAAAAAATATATATGATTATAATTATAATAATAACAATTCCAACCAAAACAACAAAATGCAGTTCTTGTATAAAGGGTATAATTTTATGAGAAAACATTTCTTTGTGCTTCTAAATGACTTTGGATGTTACCCTGGCTTTAACCTTGGCAAATGTAATGCTCAGTGCATTCAAGGCACCCACTTACTACACTTGGGTTGAGTGTGGCTAATATAGATCATTTTTTTAGATGAAAGGTTATCATGGCAAGAACATATTAATACTATTCATAAAAAAGCAAGTAACGGATTATATATGCTGAAATCTATAAGAAATATAGTAAATGAATATGAAATGAAATTGGTTTACAATTCACTAGTATTGTCTCACTTAAATTATTGTGATGTAGTATGGGGTGGATGTGGAAGTACACAGAAAAACAAATTACAAAAAATTCAGAATAGAGCAGCACGAATAATTAATAGGTCCTCCTCATCAGATGAAAATTTAACAAGACTAAATTGGAATAAACTTGACAATAATAGAATGAAGAATGTAGCAATTATGATGTATAAGATTGTCTCAAAACATGCTCCTGAGTATTTAGTAGAAAGGTTTATATTTGCTGACCATACATACTATACACGTTCAAGTCTGTATAATGTGAAAACAATAAGATCAAAGACTGAGACTATGAAAAGATCTTTTAAATATAGAGGGGCCTTAACATGGAATAACTTGCCACATGATGTACAAGGTGCTAAATCATTAAATATTTTTAAGGCAAAGCTGACGTAATATGAATTAAGTGTTTGGGGAGGGGCTAACTTATTAGTTTAAGAGAGCTTTGTTGTTGTTTGTTTTTAAGGTTTTATAGTTGTATACATATCTTCATAATTTCAACCTATTTATCATTCTTATTTATGTTATATTACTCCTACGCAATATGTTTTAAATGTCTAATCGTGTGCAATATGATCTTTGCAATACGATATCAGTTTTTTTCTCTTTAAAAACAAAAACAATTATATATGTAGTATTTAACTGATCCATATTCATAATGCTCTTTAAGTTTTTATCATTATTCCATACTTCATTTTACTTCTACTTAATATGGAATACGCATTTGTCTTAATTTCATAATTATTACACATTCTACATTATGTGTTTTCTTTTGTTTATTGTTTTATAGTTTGATTATTAATATTTAACATAAATACATAATATGTTCTTAACTTATTTATAATCTTGTTAAACTTCTTTTTGTTTTTACTTTATATATATATATATATATATATGCAAACAGATTATGATGATCATAACTTATTTCAATTGTTTATCTTTTGGGCCTACCAATAAAGTTCTAATTAAGTAAAGTGTTTTTAGCTTATTTCCTATATATTGTCGTGTTATGGTTGTGAATTTGTCAGTGTTATATTACTTTTGTTTACATGTTATGATCATGTTGTTTTTTATCGACACGGCCCTGATTGAAACCAGTCTGCAAACTGCTTCGGGCTTTTACCATGTATAAATAAAATAAACTCAACTCAACTCATTCTTTGTATGAAGGGTTTTGAGCCAAGCAGAACAATTGGCACATCTCGTGCTTTGAACAAAAGTACCCAGATGAAGGGTTAGTAAATTATTTAAAATCTCATGGTTTGGGTTGCATGAATGCATTAAAGCTGAATATGTGTTGAAATAAGCACAAGCTATTAAAGAAAATGGATGTATGTGTGCAGTCCTTGCAAAACACTTGAGTAAAACAAAAAATTATCTGCATGTTTAATGTGCAAGTTCATACAAAAAACATTAGGACATAATGGTGGAAATTGAGATACTAGGTTCCAAACAGCTTCCATACAGCTGATATTAATAATATTGAATGGCTTTTCTTTCCTGGGGCACAAGGGCATAGTTCACTCGCCAAAGGAAGTTAGTGTTTGAAACCCTTGTAGTACTAAGTCCAAAGGCTAAGTTTATAAACCAATATTTTCATGTACAGATATTTTCGCCCCCAAATTGCTTACGCGATGACAACCACGCTACTTGCATTTAGGTAGAACCATATCATTAGGATATGGAGCTGGTAAATCTGGCTAAAACCCTGATTTAGGCTTAAACTGTTGACTACTAAATTCTCTCATTCGTTTATTACAGGAATCATCTCGTACCAAATATGTTGTAGGCAAATCTATAATTCAGATTTTCCAAAGACCGCTAACTTCTCATTTTCTTGAGTATTACATGGATCTACCCTATGGAATTCTTCATGAATGGAATGATGTTTACCTTGAGAAGGGCCAGCCACTTCTTCATTGCCATTGGTTGATGATACTTGGTCATGGGATTCAGCCTGTGCTACTGATTGGTTGTCCTTCTGATCAGACTTTGCTTCTGCCTCCTTGTGAATAACAGGTAGCTTACCAACAACCTCAAACTCAGCCTCTTCCTCAAGAGCTTCTCTGTAAATAAATGCACAATTAGTTTAGTAGTGCTTTATATGGAAGCGTCCATTGCTATTATCATCTTATATGAGTAGTCTGAAATGCAGGACAATTGCTTCAGTTTCTTACTACCCATAGCAAGGTTTTTTTTAAAGTTGGATGGATGGAGACGCTAACATTATGGATCATATACGATGGAAAAATTATTATGAGTCTATTTTCGACATAGCAGAAAGATCTCTCAACTATATTCTGATCTAATCAGAATAACGCATACTTTGCAACAGCATTTGTTTTAAGACCACCAGAAGAAATGAATAATTTGAAAGTATCATTATTGTAAGAACCAAATGCATTGGGTTTGAATGTTAACCCATGGTTATCATTGTAAATATTCTTGATTCTATCAATTAAACAGAAATGAACTCACTCATATTGGATATTGATGACAAGCTCATAGTTTTGAAGGAAATCATCAGCTTTCAGGCGACTTCCACCGATAATCTTGAATTCACTCAGCATTTTGTACATGTTATCTGACAAATAAGTACAAGATCAACAATCAATGCATAAATAAGATACATATAGTATAGATGACATAGGGGAATAACTTCTTGAGATTAAACAGTTTCATTGAAGTGTGTACCTGCAACAAGGAAAACCAATTTTGAGAAGAAAAAATCCTAAAAATTTACAAGATGTTAAGCAATAATAACATTTATATCATTTTAAATATATGAAGTTATCATTCATATCATTAATATTCTGCAGGCATGTTCATTCATATGTAGAAATGGCTTAACTTTTATACCAAAATGCAACTGTTTATAATGACATGCTAAGAAAGGTATTAACAAAAACAATTGAAATCTGCCATTATTACCTTCTGTCTCTCCTTCCTCACTAGAAATAATAATGGTTCCTGAAAGATAAACAAACAAAAACATATTTTCACTATCCTTGTTGTTACATCATGATTGTGTACAGTTCTATTGTCAAACTAGAAACTTTCATGAATTGAAGCCTTCTCACAGCCTGTTCCACAGCATAAAATGTTCACAAATTGGTGACCATGAAAAAAACATATTCATATATAAACAGTGTGTCCCAGAAAAAACAAAACCAAGAATTATAGATGTTTTATCATAACTTATTCACAATTACAATTAATAAATGACACATATTTGTAAAGCTTAGATCCTCCTCTTTCATTTGATGCAACTCATATGATGCATATTTCACGCATGAGTGATTAAAAACAATTTGAAGAGAGGAAACCAAAATAATAATAAAACCAAAAGGGTAATAATTTCCATAATTTGATTAAACAAGCTCATTTTCACTGGCTGCCTGCCGTAGCAACAAACAGAGATGACAAAAGACTTAACTCCGTTCTGTTGACGATCAGCCATGCACAAAGAAGACGAAGACTTGATGCATGGCTGATCGTCAGTGTCTTTCACTTATTATTAGTTCATACCTTTGCCATCTTGGATTTCTACATCAGGGGCAATCATTCCCAAAGCAGACTTCAATATCTGATTCAAGAAAAGTAAAACAAGAAGGTATAGGGATCATTCTCAAAGCAGACTTCAATATCTGATTCAAGAAAAGTAAAACAAGAAGGTATAGAAAGGGATCATTCTCAAAGCAGACTTCAATATCTGATTCAAGAAAAGTAAAACAAGAAGGTATAGAAAGGGATCATTCCCAAAGCAGACTTCAATATCTGATTCAAGAAAAGTATAACAAGAAGGTATAGAAAGGGATCATTCCCAAAGCAGACTTCAATATCTGATTCAAGAAAAGTAAAACAAGAAGGTATAGGGATCATTCTCAAAGCAGACTTCAATATCTGATTCAAGAAAAGTATAACAAGAAGGTATAGGGATCATTCTCAAAGCAGACTTCAATATCTGATTCAAGAAAAGTATAACAAGAAGGTATAGGGATCATTCTCAAAGCAGACTTCAATATCTGATTCAAGAAAAGTATAACAAGAAGGTATAGGGATCATTCTCAAAGCAGACTTCAATATCTGATTCAAGAAAAGTATAACAAGAAGGTATAGGGATCATTCTCAAAGCAGACTTCAATATCTGATTCAAGAAAAGTATAACAAGAAGGTATAGAAAGGGATCATTCCCAAAGCAGACTTCAATATCTGATTCAAGAAAAGTAAAACAAGAAGGTATAGGGATCATTCTCAAAGCAGACTTCAATATCTGATTCAAGAAAAGTATAACAAGAAGGTATAGAAAGGGATCATTCCCAAAGCAGACTTCAATATCTGACTCAAGAAAAGTATAATAAGAAGGACAGGTATAGAAAGGGATCATTCCCAAAGCAGACTTCAATATCTGATTCAAGAAAAGTAAAACAAGAAAGTATAGAAAGGATAGCCTCATATAGTACATGCTTACAAATTGATATATCAGTACACTTTGATCAATTGATCTTATTTACTGTGTGTAAGCCACAAATATGTTTAAATAATAGTACACTTTGTACAACAAAGTAAGTGAACACTTTATATTGCTAATTTTTTTAAATATATATACCACCTATAAAATTTGGTGACATACAAAATGTTGGGTCAAAATTTTGTAGAATATGGGTCTTAGAGATGTTGCTAAATAAAATCTCATTGCCTCTTTACTTAGATATCTTGTATGATCATCAGAATGTACATGTATAATATCATGTAAAAGTAAGGATTGAGGAAGGATATGTGATTGTTATTACTCACCTTATCTTGCAATACTCTGACTGTTGTTGAGTTTGTGTTCAGTTTAATGGTCACCTGATAACAAATCATAAAAACATCAGTGAAACTAGACACTTTGACATGATGAAAACATCTATCAATAACCTACAGCATCAAACTAGACACTTTGACATGATGGAAACATCTATCAACAACCTACAACGTCAAACTAAACAATTAACAAGGGAAACGCTCTCGGGGGTCTCGCCTCCATAACGCAATTCAATATGATAAACCAGAACGTCAATGACGTAGCGCTCATCCGCATCTCGCAACAACAAATATCTTAAATTTTATGTGGTACACTTTTGAACTGGTCAAAAAATAAAAATTTGATGCCCTGGAAGGGACATAATTTCATTTCATTTGCATAAAGTACCATAAATAATCAATGGAGCAAAATCTCACAATTCTGTGTAGAAGTTTAGTGTTCCAAATTTAACTCTACCAGATAAGGCAAACCAAATCAAAATCGGTCAAGAAATGAGGGAAAAGAAGCAATTTTTGTTATTTTTGGAATAAATTTGCATAAATTACCATAATTAATTAATGGAGAACAATTTCAAAATTCTGTGTAAAACTTTAGTGTACCAAAGTTAGCTCTACGATATAAAGCAAACCAAAATCAAAATCGGTCGAGAAATGAAGGAGAGGAAGCCTTTTTTGTGATTTCGAATAAATTTGCATAAATTAGCATAGATAATGAATTTCACGATTCAGTGTAGAAATTTTAAATCCCCCTCCTAGCCCTATCATATGAAACAATCAGAATCACAATCGGTTGAAAAATAACGAAGAAGAAGCATTTTGAAAATCTTGATGTTGATGCCATAACAAAGTCTAAGTTTGTTGACCTTAAATGACCTTTGACCTAAACTTAGTGACCTGAAATTCTACTCACATGATTGGGGATACTTGATTACCCCATAGTCAAAGTTTCATTGACTAAGAACGTATACTTAAAAAATTATATCAAAAATTCAAAACTTAACCTTAGGTTAAGTTTTCGATGATGATGCTACAACATAGTCCAAGTCTGTTGACCTGAAATGACCTTTGACCTTGGCTTTGTGATCTGAAATTCTACTCACATGATTGGGGATACTTGATTACCCTATAGTCAAAGTTTCATTGACTAAGAACCTATACTTTAAAAATTATATCAAAAATTCAAAAACTTAACCTTAGGTTAAGTTTTTGATGTTGACGACGCTGCCGTCGCCGTCGCTGTCATGGGAAAAGCAGCGCCTATGTCTCGCTTTTTGCTACGCAGGCGAGACAAAAATATGTCTAAGTAACTAATCATACTGATCACCATTACTGTAATAACAGATGCTTATAATATATTTATACAAGGAAAACTTCAGATTGTGTTTGTCCACCTGTGACCAAATTGTATAAAAGTTCCTAACGAGCATCACTGACTCATGTTCAGTTGCACTTGGAACAATTTACATGCAAAGTTATCTTTCACCGACAGTTATGTTAGTGTAATTATCCTCCCTCAGTAATTTCTAAATAGTCCAATCACCCTTAGGTTTCTATTGCCCTGACTGTATCAGACTGTTCCAAAGTGACTTTGTGCGGATAATCCCTACTAGCGCCGTCACTATTGTGCATTATCATGTATCAGACTGTTCCAAAGTGACTTTGTGGGGATAATCCCTACTAGCGCCGTCACTATTGTGCATTATTTGTATAAACAACAAATCCTTTATTTAGCTGTAAGCCTAATCATATTCTTAGTATACTTTATGTTTCTATGTTTTGATATTATAATTGAAGGACACTATGGAAGCCTGTATGAACAAACAAGCTTAACATGATACTTACTTACCTCAGATTTATCTGCACATACATAGCAGTTAGGATTGGGTGGTATCAACACAGCCTCTATTAACAAACAAGCTTAACATGATACTTACTTACCTCAGGTTTATCTGCACATACATAGCAGTTAGGATTGGGTGGTATCAACACAGCTTCTATTAACAAACAAGCTCGTTCGTTCGTGTCTCCTTAGATCAAGATTACTGCAATCTTGATCTTCGGAGTAGTTGCTACAACCGGCCGTGTCAGACACGTTGCCCCGGGGTGCGAGATAGGACTCTTGTAGCGTGCCCCCATTTAAAACAGTTATACAGTTACAGTTAACAATACATTTAATTAATAGTATGAAACTATTAAAATTACTCTCATGTTACGGGAAAAAATATTGCATATACATATATTATGAATCAGTTGATTTGGTCGATCCAGTAGATGGCACAAACACGGCACTACTGGACAGAGATCCTAATAATTACAGAGCTTGGTCTTGTTGCTCTGTTCGCCAAACAAACAAACAAGCTTAACATGATACTTACCTCAGATTTATCTGCACATACATAGCAGTTAGGATTGGGTGGTATCAACACAGCTTCTATTAACAAACAAGCTTAACATGATACTTACTTACCTCTGGTTTATCTGCACATACATAGCAGTTAGGATTGGGTGGTATCAACACAGCCTGTATGAACAAACAAGCTTAACATGATACTTACTTACCTCTGGTTTATCTGCACATACATAGCAGTTAGGATTGGGTGGTATCAACACAGCTTCTATTAACAAACAAGCTTAACATGATACTTACTTACCTCAGATTTATCTGCACATACATAGCAGTTAGGATTGGGTGGTATCAACACAGCCTCTATTAACAAACAAGCTTAACATGATACTTACTTACCTCAGGTTTATCTGCACATACATAGCAGTTAGGATTGGGTGGTATCAACACACATGGGACTAACAGCTTCTTCCGGAAATTAGGAAACCGAGTCATGTACACCTGCAATTGATATATGAACCGAGAATTATAACAAGCTCAACTAGCACTTGATGGACAGCTTAAACCTTTCTTATACAATATAGAACACATGAAAAAAGAAAGAAAAAAAAACACACACAAAAGAGCTAATACAGAGTATGCAATGTCTCTATCCTATTACAGGTAGCTTTAAGCTAAATTGGACTCTTGAATATAATTTTGTCATCGTTTTCTAAAGTCAACATTCTTTTATAACGCAATGATATTTACCTAGTGACACCTAGTGACACGAAGTGAATACCCGATTATCAATGACACTTCCTTGCCTACTACATGCACAATTAAGGCTATTTACATATAAACTGTAATCAAAATAAAAAAAACTTGTTTTCTTCATTATAATACTTGTCTCACCAGAATACTCTCATATTTTGAGTTATTTATTTGTTTTGTTTTTGTTCTAGCATTGGAAAACATAGTCTTTAGAAAGAGAGAGGAGGTAGACAATGAAACTATACTTCAATTAGGAATCAAAACACTTCTATAATATCAAACCCTTGACATGCTTTTAAACAGACAAATGTGAGTTTGTTGATAGATTATTGGACTTACCGTTTTACATTTGTCCATGTTGTTTGAGAGAACTTTGAGTGCTTCAATCACAATGAGTCCTGCGATGACAGCATTGGTTGTAGCTATAGCTGGAATGATGTTACCTGCCATTGCTATATTACAAAAATACATACCATGTCACTAGCAGCTTTGAATCACCATACCAACATTCATGTTCATCAAGCTTTGTTAAAGCCCCTATCAGGGATTCGCAAGCACTCAAATACGTATTTCAAAATGTATGTGTAGCGGCAAGATGAGTTTATGGAAGTATGTGCAAACTTTCAGATTAAAAGACTCTGTTTTTCTTTCTCTACGAGTGAAAATTGAAGCCCTCATTTTGCACACATCAAATGGGGTGAATAAAACACTGCAAGTTGAAAAATTAAAATTGGAAAGGAAAAATGACTGTATTTTTGTTAACAATGAATATTTTGCCACCATACTTTTAGGAAAGTTTTCAATTATGATTTTTTTAAAATACATTTTGTTCTTTTTACAAGTCTAGAGATTTTCACCAGGCAAATCCCTGGACACAGTGAAGAAGAAGGAACATTAACAAATACATGCATTGACATAAAACAAAACTTTTGAATTGCTTACATGATTATAATATAAACCTGTGTAGCCTAAGTTCTATATTAATGATGATGATGCTGATGATTATGATAATAATACTACAAACAATGGTATTTGCTTGCTCGCTAAGTTAAGAAACAAAAAATAAATCTGCTGTGATGAATTTCAGATTGGGGTGACGCAAATCTTTTTATTTAATAAGAAGCGTGCCATGACTAAAACTAAAAGAAAGCTTGAAAAATGCTGTGACTAGATCACAGGGAGACCAACATTGGTCTTTTGTTTGAATGTTGATCGTCAGATACAGTTGGGCTATCATACGTGCCCATATTCTGCATGGCTGTTTTTCGTGCATATCATCTCCAATTTATTAATGGAAATCAAATCTAGTCATTTTTTTTTTTAATGATTTCAACAAGGCATGTTCTAAATCATCAATCGTCTAAATTCACTGTCCTCCATTCCTTAATAATGAATGACCTACTGCTGAGATGCGCTCTTCTAAACTTGCTCCCTTTCTGTATTGTTTTAAATGATACATCGATTCCAAGATCAGCTAGGAAGCTCTTCTGTCTTGTTGTTGTTATTATTATTATCATTATTGTCACATCATCATCACTTTTACATTCATCATTATTATAATGAGTTGAAAAAGTGTAGTTTAACTCTACAGGACTTACATTTTATATCAAATCTTGTTTTCATAGGAATACCAAAAATATGTGATCTGATGTTAGCAGTAGATGCTACAAAGTCCATTGCAGCTGGGTCATCCTGTCAAAGCAAAACAACAAATAGAATTATTGGCCTTACATTATTCATATTCCAAGTACCACTTTTGCCCTTTCAGGCCTTCATTTTCATGCTCATATTCCAATTCTTACAATGTATGTAAAATTTAAGTAATCAAATTTTAATTTTCACCATAGAGAAACCTAAACCCACACAAAAAGCGAAAGGAACCACTTATCACCCAAAGTAGGTTCTCATCTACACTTTAGATTGCTATTATCCAGTGCATAAGACTACCTTATCCTATGATCACTCATGTGCAGGCCCACCATGTCACATTGTGTCTAGTATATGTTTATCTTTTCGCTTGTGTGTAAACACTGTCATACATGCATATCTACCTATCTATAAGGACATACATGCATATCTATCCATTTATTTAAAATGGTTTATCTATAAGGACTTGTGTATACATGCATATGTACCTATCCATCTATCCATCTATTTATCTACCATGTATAAGGGCTTGTGGGCACATACCAAGAAAAATAGATAACTTTAGAAGGAAAAAGCCCAAGACAGAAGAAGGATAACAAAGAAGGATAGATAGAAAAATGAGAGAAACTGCCAACAAAGAAGAACCTTAGGTAAGACAGAAAAATTCAAGGAAAAACAAAAACATACAAAAAGATTTGGATATAGGAAATGTGTGTGGATATAAAGTATGCCTACATTGTCATACAGGAGCTAGTGTCTACATCTACCTTAAGGAAGATAGTGTGAATGCTTACCTTATCCCATACAAGCTCTCCTCTGTCCTTACTTTGAAGATGTAGATCAGCTAGTGTCTACATCTACCTTAAGGAAGATAGTGAGAATGCTTACCTTATCCCATACAAGCTCTCCTCTGTCCTTACTTTGAAGATGTAGATCAGCTAGAGTCTACATCTACCTTAAAAAAGATAGTGTGAATGCTTACCTTGTCCCAAACAAGCTCTCCTCTGTCCTTACTTTGAAGGTGTAGATCAGCTAGTGTCTCAATCTACCTTAAGGAAGATAGTGTGAATGCTTACCTTGTCCCATACAAGCTCTCCTCTGTCCTTACTTTGAAGGTGTAGATCAGCTAGTGTCTACATCTACCTTAAGGAAGACAGTGTGAATGCTTACCTTGTCACATACAAGCTCTCTTCTGTCCTTACTTTGAAGGTGTAGATCAGCTAGACTCTACATCTACCTTAAGGAAGATAGTGTGAATGCTTACCTTGTCCCATACAAGCTCGCCTCTGTCCTTACTTTGAAGATGTAGATCAGCTAGACTCTACATCTACCTTAAGGAAGATAGTGTGAATGCTTACCTTGTCCCATACAAGCTCTCTTCTGTCCTTACTTTAAAGGTGTAGATCAGCTAGACTCTACATCTACCTTAAGGAAGATAGTGTGAATGCTTACCTTGTCCCATACAAGCTCGCCTCTGTCCTTACTTTGAAGATGTAGATCAGCTAGACTCTACATCTACCTTAAGGAAGATAAGTGTGATTGCTTACCTTGTCCCATACAAGCTCTCTTCTGTCCTTACTTTGAAGGTGTAGATCAGCTAGTGTCTACATCTACCTTAAGGAAGACAGTGTGAATGCTCACCTTGTCACATACAAGCTCTCTTCTGTCCTTACTTTGAAGGTGTAGATCAGCTAGTGTCTACATCTACCTTAAGGAAGACAGTGTGAATGCTTACCTTGTCACATACAAGCTCTCTTCTGTCCTTACTTTGAAGGTGTAGATCAGCTAGTGTCTACATCTACCTTAAGGAAGATAGTGTGAATGCTTACCTTGTCACATACAAGCTCTCTTCTGTCATTACTTTGAAGGTGTAGATCAGCTAGTGTCTCCATCTACCTTAAGGAAGATAGTGTGAATGCTTACCTTGTCCCATACAAGCTCGCCTCTGTCCTTACTTTGAAGATGTAGATCAGCTAGAGTCTACATCTACCTTAAAGGGGAAGTCCACCCTGAAATTAAGTTAGTTTTAATAGGAGTAGAAAAATGAGAGAAACAAGTCAGTGAAAGTTTGAGCAAATTCCGATTAAGTTAGGATTTTTTAAGTTGTGATCAATCAAACACAAATTGGCAACTCTATGACGTATCATGCGAGCTCAACTTCCATTTGCTCAGTACTAAAAAAATCTAAAATTTTCATTTTCCCTCAAGAAAAATTTCAACCATACATGCACCCTAAATATAATAATTGCAAATATGTTTCTATACTCCCCCTGCAAGGAACAAATATATATTCCGTCATCAATAACGAAGAAAACATGATTTTATGGAATATTATGCACAAAGCAAATGAAGGAGAGCTCGTATAATAAGTCACAGAGTTGCCAATTTGTATTTGATTGATCACAGCTTCAATAATTCATAACTTTCTTATTTTCATTCAGAATTTGCTCAAACTTTCATTCACCTGATTTTCTTATTATTCTGCCTCTATCGAAACAAACTTATTTTGGGGGTGGACTTTCCCTTTAAGGAAGATAGCGTGAATGCTTACCTTGTCCCATACAAGCTCTCCTCTGTCCTTACTTTGAAGGTGTAGATCAGCTAGACTCTCTGCAAACACTCTCACACAATTCTGCAGATTCCACTGTCTTTGGTCCTTCAGTAAGTTACCCTTAGTGTTGCTCAACTCTGCAATAGTATACAAATAATGAATGGTTATGAGTTCAATAGTGTGAATATTTTCATGAGTTGAAAGATTAACATTCTATTTGAGTTAAATAGAATTAATGTTAATCTTTCAACGAATGAAAATATTCGCACTATTGAACGAATGAAAAATATTCCTTATTTGTTTTATACAACATCGAAGAAGATCTAATAGTACGTTAATCAACAGATTATGCTTTACTCCCTATATTAAAGATAAATTAAAGTTGGAGTCGAGCCTTCTCGATTACATTCTGATTTCCTTCGAGTCAGATACACGCAGGGATACGCGCACGGCAGAGAGGTACGCAGTCTACAAAAATGCATGGCGAATATAACCAAAAATGCACGCCCGTACAATAGAACATCTATTAAATATCATGTGACCAACAATCCTCCAATCAAATGACAATGATCCACGTAGGTGTTATATAAAAGACAGTAACGTTAGTCTCTTATTGTTGACCTTACTCATGCCTGCTAGACAGAGTTCATTATCATGTCTATTTATTTGTTTCGTTTATAATGATCACATAGAATATATGGTACGAACATTAAGAAATCAGTAGCTCACATGAGGCCGATTCCTGTACCCAACATCATCACGCATGTGTCATTGGTTGGTGATGCATTGTGGGACACGGCTGTTGACACATTGGGACATTGTGAGCTGCAGCTGGCAGTATATCTCTGAAGTAGTGTCAGTAGAATACCGTGCTTTTGAAATATCTTGAACTAAAACTTCAGGTAGAATATAGATATAACAAACTAACAATAATATTTCAATGTGGGGTTTCTGAAATATATTGGAATGGCCATGTGAATGTGCATGTAAGAAAGGTAATCTACCTCCGGTGTCTGGCAAATGATTCCAGTCGAGAGGGGTAGGGGCTCTCCTCTTCTTCCATAATTTCTCCATTGACAGAAGATACTTGATATCCTCATGGAAAAACTGTACATGTTAACAGAAAGAAGAAAAAAAAATGAAATACACCATTTTGATTAGTATTAATACATATGTTGTTATGGCTCATTGCATACAGCATGAAATGCAAGGATGGACACATAATGATAACGCGATAAAGCTAAAAAGAATCCAATGACCAAGATTATCACACCAGAGTGCCTCATAATTGTAAAACAACATTGATATTTACAGTAGGCTTGCATTAACATTGACATTACAAATTACTATCATCTTTATTGTCAAAAATAATTACTGCTGAGCTACATTTCCATATGTTATTCTGTGTTAATAAGTTATACTGAGAAATCTCTGAAGAATTTGGTAGAATCTCATTTGTACCTTTCTGAAAAGTTTCTCAGCATTGAAGTGACATTCCTGAGCCCAAGTCCTGGTTGATTCTCTCATGACATTACCATGATCCATAGTTGGGATATGATCCACTGCTTGCTGACCTGCGTCTCCTGCTGCCTCAGGATCAGCAGTGTCAGGTGATACATCTTGATCTGGATCTTCCTCTCCAAACAGCTGACTAATTAATACAAAATATTTCATACTTTTTACTGATATTATCTGTTTTATTAATCAGCTGACTAATTAATAAAAAATATTTCATACTTTTTACTGATATTATCACTTTTATTAATCAGCTGACTGATTAATACAATTTGTTTTGTGCTTTTTATTGACATTGTCTTCTTTACTACTCAGCTGACTGATTAAATACAAAATCCATAATAATTGCATTGAAAGTTTGAAACCCCAAAACATAATGCCTCCAGTACCACTTTTGCCGGCGGAGGCATAACAAGCTTCAACTATACAGGCGAGAGAAATACAGGTCTGCAATTCTTACTTGAATAAATGCTTTCCCCATACGATGCAGTGTATAGGTTCAGATGGAGTGTTTCGTATAGTGCATCCTGGGAAGGATTTCTGGGGTGGAGCTGGTTGGCATTCGTAGCATTCGGTTAGACCCTGTAAATACAATCAATATACATACACATCTGTATCACCATGGATGTTCCTACACATGTATACATGTATGTCTAGCATTGGTTGTATGTAATAGACCATGATGTGCAGGAATACATACTCTATTGTTGTTACCTTTTCTTGAAAATAACTAGTATATTTAATGTTTTAAATGACAGTTTAGCACTGACACATCTTCAATTGTAGGAGGGATGTGGGAACATAGTCTAACATTAAATAAATAATCAATAAAAGTGCATATCATTCAATCCATGGTGCGTGACAATAAGTGGCTACTCAAAACATTTCACTGGTTTAACTGCCAAGTCCCTGTACTTGGACCTTTCTTCTACACCTACAAGTATTATATGCTTCATTTGGAGAGACTACCGGTACTTCACCAGTAAATAGCCTCCCCCCCCCCCCCCCCTCAGCTTTTTGTCTAAGATTAACAGCACATACTACCTTGTCTACAGGTAGGCACTCACTTTCTTGCTAAGATATCCAGCTCAAACCAGATTCAATAGAGTTAGGCACTCACTTTCTTGCTAAGATATCCAGCTCAAACCAGATTCAATAGAGTTAGGCACTCACTTTGTTGCTAAGATATCCAGCTCAAACCAGATTCAATAGAGTTAGGCACTCACTTTCTTGCCAAGATATCCAGCACAGACCAGATTGAATAGAGTTAGGCACTCACTTTATTGATAGCTAAGATAACCAGCACAAACCAGCTTGGCTAGAGTTAGGCACTCACCTTTTTGATGACAGTCACCTGACCGAGATAACCAGCACTGCCACTTTCCACCAGTGGTACATCAGCTGCAAGACACATCCGGTTAACATGATTCCTAGCAGCTGGCAAACGAATAAATTACAATAGATAATTCATCAGATGACAGGGAAGAATAAACAGAATATAATTTTAACTTTATCCACACTCAGTAAGAATATTAGTTCTCTAACCTTACATCACACGGAAAGGAACATAGCCTGGCATGGGAACCCCCCCCCCCCCCTTCCCCAGCTTTAAAGGTTCACATGGTCAATACATTTCATGCCATGTTGTTTTAATAATTTCATTTCACAAATAAATGACAAATACAAATTTACCCAACAATTACAATGGATTCTTGTAATATTGTGTACAAGGTCTGTTCTAAATTCAGAGGTAAGTCCAACCTTAAAACAAGCTGTTTTGAAGGAAAGCATTAAATACATAATATTTTTTTTTCTTCTGAAAGTAAAGACAACAACACTCACTGCAGTGTTGTTTGAACATCACCCTAGTTAACCATTCTTGAAAGACAGATTCAATGATGGTTTAGGACCCCAAATCAACAAAATTAATGACAGTATAAACGTGACCCTACATGACAAACTCACTGCTAATATGAACATAATTGCAGACCACTTCTTACCTCTGTTATCTAAAGCATTAAGCACCAAGGTGAACTGCTTGAAAAAATCACGGTTGTATTCTGGGCTGTAGAGAATAGGAATTAAAAAAAGTTAATAATGAAATCAGTGCCAATCAAGAGGGGAATGTACCTTCCACCCTAAACAAAAACAATAAAATAATGATAATGATAAAATCACATTATCCTCTACTTTATGGGAGCCTGTTCCATCCTGAAACTTTATGTACACATATAAGTAGGTATCACAGTTAACTTTTGAAAGTTTCTAAATTTCACTTCCCCTGCCCATTTCCTTTTTGAGCACATGAAAAGAAGAATTTTGATACCTCATTTGTCAAATTTGAATAAGTACTTTTGAAAATACGGCCACTTACATAAGAGACCAAATGGTCAAATTTTGCGTAATTAGGCTATAACTGACAATAAGCCATTTTCAAGGTGATATAATTTTGTAATTAATTGATGAATCACCTTTCTCTTCAAAAAATCTGTTCTCTGTAGTGTATAGATTTCTACATGCCTATTTTTTTTAGGTTCTTTTGACAAATATTTTTTTTGTGGAATTTTTCAAATAATTATATGAAGCCCATTTTGATGCGTGTGACAAATGCCTATTTTTGCGTCGCCGGAACAAGTTTCATGGATTTTGAAACATGGCTAGATTTAAGAGTGTCTATCAAGAGGGGCTGAATTTCGGCATATCTGGGATATAGAGTGGTGAAGTGTGACGTCATCAAAAATCTATTTTTAGAATTTCTCAATTTTTTCTTCATATTCCGAAAGAACATCAAAAATAATGTCCAAATGTCGAAAACCAATTGAATATGTTAAGTATTGGCTGAGATATGACCATCTGAATGAATATATGTCCTATGGGAACTCAGTGTTATATGCTCTGGCTCCTAACCATTAGGAGCCAGAGCTTATAACTGAGTTCCTATGGGGAGTATATTTATTCAGATGGTCATATCTCAGCCAATACTTAACATATTCAATTGGTTTTCGACATTTGGACATTATTTTTGATGTTCTTTTGGAATATGAAGAAAAAATTGAGAAATTCTAAAAATAGATTTTTTATGACGTCACAGCTTCGGTACTCTATATATATATATAGATTAATTATTTCTGTAAGTTTGGACCATCAAATCCATTTAAATTAATTTTAAATGGCATTTGAAAATGGCTCTAAACTCTTCAAGAAGTCCAGGTAGACAAAGGAACATCCCTTCACTGCTATTGTGTAAAAATGTGTAGAACAGGTGTCACATGCATATTCACCTGTTCTACACATTTTTACATAATAGTAGCAGTGAAGGGATGTTCCTTTGTCTACCTGAGGAACTGTATATTTTGTCTGCTTTCTTTGTCCGTCATATTCATAGTGTCAGGGTACAGCTGTATTCATCGGATTTGCGCTCAAGCACCGTCTCGCGGTCATTCTTAATATTTACATGATCGTATTCTCCAGTAAATTCTCTTTCTTCTCGTATCAAAATTGAATTAAAAGTATGTTTTTCTGATATAGAAAAATTGTTTCAAACTTTTCACTCTAATTTTTCATGATCTTTTTAAAACATACCCCCATCATTTTTTATATGAAAATAAAGCTTAAAGATAAAGTTGAGTTCTGGTCATGCGATTGCATTGTGAAAGAAAAGGTGTGGAATGGATCAGAAAAGGTTGATCATCTAGTATATAAGAATTTGTGTGTATTGCAAGGTTCTGGAATCATCAAAATGGTAAGAAATTTGGCCAAGTCTTGGTTAAGTTACAAACACTGTACACAGAAAGATGTATATGGGACTACACGAACACGTGGCGTAAAGATCCCACCCCCCGAGTTTTATGATGTTACATGACATATTTAGAATATGAAGGCATTTGAAGAGCCATGCTTTTCAGGGAACATGTCTTATCTGATGTTCTTCCACACTTGCATAATAAGAATGATAACGCTCACAAATTATTTTTCACCTCTTCCCAGAACTCAACCTTCTCTTTAAGATGTGCTCTTTCCAACCAGTGGATTTTTAAAACTCAAAGACAAATGGTGTTCAAGCGCATTGAGCTAAAACTAGCGATACAATTCAGCGATCAAATAAAAATGGGGACAAACGAAGTGACACGGTACGAATTAGAGGGTAAATCTCAAGCAACTGTGTCGTAAGTAAGAGCTTCTTTTTTTTTGGGGGGGGGGGTGGGGTGGGGGGCCAATTCATGAGAAAATATTTAGCAGAATACCCATGGGGGGGCGCTTTTTGTTTTTGTTTAAAAAAAGGTTTAATTTACGTTGTTATCCTATTTTTTCAAACTGTTTTTTGGGCTAGGGCCTGAAAAATCGCCACTTGGATCCACGCCTGTATTATTCATTGGTGGACTATACACAAGTTAAAGGTAAACATAACCAATGCTTATAGTTTTCTTGATAAAAGGCTTAAAAAGAGGTATAAAAATATTTACTTCATTCTACTGTCGTACTTAGGATGAATAGAGGTATACTTACTTCATTACACTGTCATGCTTAGCTTCAATTGAGACATCAGGATTGAATGTCAACACACTCTCTTTTGCAACCTATTTGTACACATAACAAAGGAATTGATGTTACATAAAATCATTAAACTTGTTTTTTCAAAAAGATTTCTACATGTAGGTTATCAGAAGCAAGCAATAACAATATCATCATAACAAAGCTTCTTGCTATTTAAGCAGCGAGAGTTGACATACATGTACCCATTCCAAGCCACAGACAGGGATGTACATAAACTACATGTTGGTAACCGACTGAGCTTATGGCCTGTTCTCAAAATCCTGGAATGCAATTTCCCACCATTTGCACATTACCAGACATAACTGTGTTATCATCTTCAGTGATTGATAACGCACTTTGTTTTTCCTTTTCTTGATCCATATTCTTTCAAGTACTTTTTCAATTCTTGCACAATCAAAATTTAATTTAAAAATGTCCAGGCATCATTTTATTTTGCCTTTTGCATATTTAACTCATTCCTAGCAACCAATCTTTTTCAACTTAGGCATGCAGGGGAGGTATTCCATAGTTTTTAAGTCAGTGAGATGAAATTAGGCTTCCATGCAGACCCAAGGAAAAAAGAGTAGGAACAACATTTTGAGAAAAAAAAATTGAAGAAAAGTAGGATTTAGGAAACAGAAAGTAGGATAACAGATATTTGAAAGTTCTCCCGATTTGATTTGTTTTGTGAACTTCATGTCAATACTCACCTGGAAAGTAATCTCACTATGTGCAGTAGCGGAGTCAGCTTTTCAGTATGGGGTGGGACAACTGACCCAGATTTATTATTTTTTTAAAGGAATAGTCTCAATTCAAGAGCATCTGACTTGCCAACATGCTTAATTTTTCAAAGAGAATCTTACCTGAGCTTTTGATTTGCCAACATGCTTCCTCTGGAACAGAAACTGCCGGTTGAGATTGCTGACATCAATGGTATCTAAATCAATCTACAAAAATATTTAAAAAAATAAAAAAAAATAAAAGAATCAAAGGAGTTACATAATCATTTAAAGAAAAGCGTCTTGGTGACTTGAGAGCTGCACAAAGCAATTCACTTTCAATTTGAAATGAAAGTAAATTAAGTGGTAAATTTGATTATGAACACAAAGACTAAAGGATCCTCCTCTCTACACTTAATAATAGTGATCAGTGTAAAAAAGGTTCACACGCGGTAGTCTGCTAAATTCAGAGACCTCTGTGCATGAACTTTTCTATACTAATGATAATGTAATCACTAATATCTTAAGGTAGGTATCAAATTGGCAACCCAAAAAATGTTTTTTATGTGTATACAGCTGTCTTTGCATTTCAGCCAGAACTAAGAATTTTTGTAATATATTGCGCCTTCACTTATTACAATCAGGACCATGTGGAAGGTTAGTGAATCGGTATCACTGATGGGGGTCGTTTCTCCAAACCGTCATAACTATAGGTACAAGATCAACGACATCTTGAGTTTCTCGACACTGTCGCTCAACTTGCCTGCTAAGTGTTTCACAAAACCGTCTTTGTCAAGATTGCAAGATGAGCGAAAACTTCTGCGACAATTCCTTGTCACAACTCCAAACTTGATATCTATTTAGGATGCCATCTCAAGGCAACTTTATGTTAGTCTATGGGCAGTAGGGCTGCGACGAGTAGTTGAATGCTTGAGTACCCGCACTGTTGACAACTTCTCAAGTACAATTTCTTGTACTCGAATATTCGGCTGCAAAAAAAAAAAAAATTAAAAATAAAAAATCCCGGTCACCTGGCACTGTCCAGGTCGACGCTTACCCGTGCCAGGGAGAGCGGCGGCCGCTGGCATGGTACTGTCGGTAAAAATGTTTCCCAACTCAAGCACTGTCAAACTCACCACTCAGAAACTGGGACCAAATGTCCGGATTTCTGTTTGGACTCGGAGGAAAATGGATTATTCTGCCATCTTTGGTTTTTAAAACAGCATTGTTTACCGTTATTATTATTATTAAATCGGCACCTTCAACTGCAACTCGAAGTATAATTGCATGCGTTTTCGGCGACGGATCTGGGACACTGACCCAGTGGTATGGTGGTTGCAAAAAAAAAAAAAAAAAAAAAAAAAAAAATATGGCGTCTGAATATTCGCTTGTAAGCCTCATTACCAACCAAAAAATTACTTTTTTTTTACGAGGGCTCTTTTCAGATTTTCCCTTAAAAAAATAGCCCCCCTTAATTATTTTGCGGTGGCTCAGGGGGGGGGGGGCTTTTTTTTTAAGGTTGTATTTTTTAAAAACATGGTTTTACCTACTTAAATTCCAAGCAAAGGCAAATATACATACAGTTGTAACGTAAATATGTCATGTAGATTATTGCAGACATATTCAGATACCCATGATTTATTCACTTTGTGTTAAACATGTGGCTTATACGTACATGTAACTAAAACTTGTCAAAAGGAGAGTTTTGTTCAACTGTTCACTTTCCATATCATAAGAAAATATTATCACTGACACGCAGGCCAAGAATTTTTTTTTTATGTGGGCTACTATACCCCATTGCATAAAAAAAACCAAGGGGCTACTTTAAAGGTACTACGTCCCTTTTGCAGCCAATCTCAAATTCTGTAGAACTTTGCAGGAATTATGAATACTAGTATGTCATGTATGTCCTATCTGTGAAATTTAAACGTTAGCAGTGTCCTCATATTCAAATTATGCAAGGAAACCTGTTTACTTGCTAGACTTCACTGTCAGACACTATTGAGTGACTGACTGGCTTTTCTTCTTCTTTGGTAATAACATACATGAAAAGAGTTGTAAAAGGTACATGATCATTTGTCTACGTCAATAACCAACTTCTTCTGATGGCCAAGATTAAACTGATTGAATCTTTGCGCAGCATAAAACGTATGACCATTCGGTACAATTGTCTGAAAATCAAGACTATTACTTTTGGGCTCTATAGCCCTAAAGTCGATTTGACAACTAATAGTCGTTATTTTCCCACTTGAAGACATTTTCAAGCCCCACCATTTTTAGGGATGTTCTAAATTACTATTATCTTTTAAATACAGTTGGAATTTAACTTTTTCATTTTTTTGGCCTGCAAATTGGACATAGTACCTTTAAGAAAAGTGGGGGCTACCTTTGAAAAAAAGGGGGCTACCTTCTTAAAGAGAAGGTTGAGTTCTGGGAAGAGGTGAAAAATAATTTGTGAGCGTTATCATTCTTATTATGCAAGTGTGGAAGAACATCAGATAAGAACATGTTCCCTGAAAAGCATGGCTCTTCAAATGCCTTCATATTCTAAATATGTCATGTGCATCGCTTAGGCGGATACTGCTTGCGCGCTGTGTGAAGATCTAGGTACGACCATCGATCCGATTCAACCACAAAAGTTTTAAAATGTTGACGGAAGTTTCTAGATTTGAAGTTGATAGTTGGAACAGAGATTTCACTCAGAGTCTCAGACACATCAATAAATTGATTTACCAATTCCTAGGGAATATCAATTTATGGCGGGGGCGATTTTTCATTATATATCAATTTTTTTTCGCCCTCGTCTTGATTTTTACTGTGGCGATTTCAGAGGTTTAGGGGGCGAATCGCCCGTCGCCACCATGTATTTTTTTCGCTGCTCATTACACTGTTGTGCACAGCCTTAATGGGCAGCGAACAAATTAAAACTGAAACTTTATTTTAAAAATTATTTCTTGATCTTCAAGCTCTCATTTCACTGATCAGTTCTCATTGGTAGATTCTATATAAACATACAAACGGTTTTAATAGGGTTTAAATACATTAACAAGTTCCGCGTTTAAGAGGATATCCTTGTTTATGCCGACGATCCTCATTCTCATTCTCATCCTGATCCTCGGACCCTCTACTGGAACAAATACAACCCAATTGAGGTAGGGGCGCTAGTCCGAGTATAAGGATCGTCCAATATAAACGAGGATCGTTTAAAATTCTTTTGTTACGAGCCAGAGATTTTGGGAACAGGAGCATGCATGCGGTCCCTGTTCCCAGAGTGGGGGGGGGGGGGGGGGGGGGGCGCTCAATGCGCAAAGTTCTTTGTGCTCCGGCGTCAGTTCTCCCTGAGTTAACGCAGGGGTATGGGTTCAATTAAGGCATGGCGATGTTAATACAATACTAGATCTATAATCCATAATTTCATATTAATTATCACCAAGCCCTTTATAAGGCTACAGCTATACACCCTACTCAGTTTTGAACGAATGGGGATTGTTGTTAACTGGTTAAATTAATGTTATAGATCTAACTTTGTTAGATCTAAATCCAAGCATGCTGCAAGTCTGTAATCAATCTTACCACCACAATGGTCCTAAAGCCAGTTAAAACCAAATTCTTGAGAAGCTCACATCCTATTCCACCGGCCCCTACCACCAAAATTTTGGAATTCGACACAGAACTTGCTAGTTTTCCAGGCAGAATTCCATCAATGGACGTAGCCATTTTGGGCGAGTGATAAATAACAATCAGTTCGGACCGCGCGCGCGTTCGCTGTATGGAGCGCGCGCGTTCGGTTTATAGTGCGCGTACGTACAGGCAGAGTGGACATGTGTATTGACCACTTGAGGTTAATGGTAAATGACCACCTTCTTCTTCTTCTTCTTCCTCCGTTGTTCTCGGAGATCTGCAGTTGTATTCTGCAAGCGTCAGTGTTGGTGTCTTTCGTCTCCAGCTGTTGACATTGTAGTTACAAACATTCAAGTGGGAGAGGAAAGGATAGCAGGGCTGCCAACCTTTGGAAAGAGTTTGGAGTGAGACAATGCGAGGGAGCGGAGCGACCAAGCCCGAGGGCGCGAAGCGCCCGAGGGGGGGTTGGTGTGGAAGGGGGGTGTCCCCCCTTCCACGGTAGGGAGCTTTTACAATTTTGCAATTGAAATGGTGCAATCTGGTGCATACTTTAACCCTGATTCCACAAATACATAAGGCAGGATTCAAATAGGTTAATTGATTTCATGAAGTACACTGACCTTGAAAAAATACAAACTTCCACATTTGTAAGTGCATTATTCCAAATCAACTTTCTTTATAAGCTTAGCAGTTGAACCTCAACCTATGATTATCTGTAACAAAATGGACAAATCCTCACTCAACAGGAACATGCATACTGAAAATAATAAATAGATATATAATATATAAAAATAATATAAAAATTAATAAATAGATATATAATGAATATATAACAAATACTAAAAATAAATAAATCATACTGCACAATTTTCATTCTTCAAAATAAGTATACCTCTCATCCAGTTAATCTTGAGATAAGGCTGGACTGCTGCTTCCCAAGATGATACTAGAACAAGTGATCATTATGATGTCTGTCCATACTGGGGGTCATTCATTCTTAAAAATAAGTATACCTCTCATCCAGTTAATCTTGAGATAATTTGCATTTCAGGATGACCTTACTCTCTGCTGGTAGCTCAAACTTAAAGCAAGGCTGGGCTGCAGCTTCCCAAGATGATACTAGAACAAGTGATCATTATGATGTCTGTCCATACTGGGCGTCAATTAGCAAAGCCATTTACTTTTTCCTCTCATCCAGTTAGTCTAGTGGGATTTGTTGTAACTGGAGGTTGCGCTCCGCGATGCCCTCAGTACCTCTGCTGGTGGTTCAAACCTGCAACGGGGCTCCGATGCTGCCATCTTGATTGTCATGATGGAGCTGAGCGTTCCATTTAAGTGGAGGGCATTCCTGGTGTCTGTCTTGTTTAGACCGATGGACGAAAAAACCCTCTCAGCATCAGCATTGCTGTGGGGAAGACAGAGCACCAGCTGAGCCACCTTAGCGAGCCTCAAGAACCTCGGCTGCCCAGTTACCTCGTTCTTCAGCGAAGAAAGGTGGACCCAGAGCTTGTCAATTCTAAGAAATTCAGCTTCTGCATCTGTAGAAGTAAACTCCTTCCACTGCCTGGAAGACACCTCATCCATCATCTGATAGTCCGTAAACTCTTCTTGCACCTTGTCCTGATCTTGTGGACTATTAAACGGCAGTAGATGCTGGAACCTAAAATAAAAAAGAAATGAAACGCAAAAAATCTCAGATCTGAAGTAACAATATCACCTCAAGATTCAAATCATAGACTGATTTGATTCAAAATTAAAGACTAAGACAGGCATCTCTGCATTTTTTATATGGCAATATCCGATAGAGGTACGGGCAATGTGAATTTTATGGAGGAAGAGTAGAATTAGAGTGTTCAGTCTATCATATAGATTTGATGGGAGCACCGTGGCGTACGCAAGATTTTTTCAAGAGGGGAGTTTTAACATTTTTTTATCGGGCCGAAAATTTTGCAACGACTCAGCCAGCCGCTGAATAAGCGGGGGGGGGGGTCTCGAAATTTGATTTTTTTTTTTTTTTTTTTTTTTTTTTTTTTTTTTTTTTTTTTTTTTTTATTAAAACAAATTACCAAAGAGGGGGGGGGGGGGTTTTCCTTCAAAATACATACATTAAAAAAATACCTAAGGGGGGGGGGGGGTACCCCCTCCTCCTGCGTACGCGCCTGATGACCACTAATCATTTCATACCATGTGTAATTATGTCGCCCAAACTTTGGCATAGGGAATTACATGTACATTTAGAGATCTAATTTTAACATGAAATAATTGTATAAAAAGATGAATTAACAAAATAAAAATTGACTGCTTTGGAAGCTGGTTTGTGACCCAACAGTATTAATAAGGGGGGCGGGGCGGGGGCGGGGGGTTCCGGAAGTATTTAGCGCTCATATTGTCATTGCCTTAGTTTTCAAAGAAAATTATTCATCAAATTGTGCCATCATTAGTATTTTTCTTTTATCGTCTAACATATAGATTGATAAAAAAATTCCATTTAATTTTGTCAAATAACCGATTTAAATCGAACCTGCCCGGGTATAGACAGTTTCAATGGCGGATCCAGGGGGTGAATCGGCCCCTAGCTCCCCCTTTGATGTCCTTTGGGGCAAGGCGACGAGGGAAAGGAGAAAAGAAGAGAAAAGAGGATAGAATATATTAAGGAGAGAGGAGCTATAAGACCGAGAGACGGGTGTGAATTTCAAGAACGAATTACAATTTCTATCGCTCTTAACGGCCGGACGGACTTCTTTCTTTATTTAAATGAAGAGCGTCCGGTCCCAATTTCTACCATTGAGGATGCAATCTTGTAGCCACGGGAGATGGGGGGGGGGGGGGCAGAACGCCCCAAAGTTTATAAGAACGAACTGTACGTGCCCCGTTTGTAAAATATAGTCCTGCTCGTACTAAACGCTTTCAAAATAATGCCTTTTATCTAGATAAGTCGTTTTTATATTTAAAAATTGCCCCAGCCTATAAGACTGAACATTTGCCCCCTTAAATTCTACTCATAAATAAAAAGTAAATATATATAGAGGCGTTCGTACCCGCATTCGTCCAGCCTCTCATCATGATTTTCAATCACGTGCCTTGTAAACTTCATGAATAGTTTTCATACTCAAGGCAACTGCATAATATGCAATACCAAAAACATTCCTGTTAAATAGAGGCATTGATTGATTAAAATACTTGCTATGACAACATATTTTAATCACCTTTGTCTCCTTCCATACGATTTCTCATAGCCTCATAAACATTATGTGCCCTTATCAAAAGCGCAATTCGTTAAGAGATAATAATAATAATAATAATATTAATAACAACAATAGCAATAATGATCATAATTATTTGAATTTATAAATTGTTCTCCTAAAGCTCATGAACCAATGATGATTATATTGAATAGCCCATTAAAAGCAGTGGAGAGATGTTTCTAATCATTAATCAAGTTTAACAATTTTGGATGGTGTAAAAATTATTTATGTGAAATGACGAGATCTTTTCTGTTCTGAATTGTTTGCTTAGTTGTTTTGTATGTTCCATATTATTGTACTTTGTTTCTTGTATTATTGTAATGCTGGTGGGAAGCATAATTATTTCCACATTTTGGACGAATAAATAAATCAATCAAATAAGTATTTGTTGAATTTCCCCCAAACCCACTCGTCACCCAACTCATTTTATCCCTTTTGCAGGCCAAAAAAATGGCATTTGAAAGATAGATGATACTAATTTAGAACTGCCCTTAGAATAATGGGGCTTCAAAATGTCTTTAAGTGGGACAATAATGACTATTAGTTGTCAAATCGACTTAGGAGCTACAGAACCAATAAGTAATAGTCTTGATTTTCAGACTATTGTACCTCATGGTTGTACGTTTTATACTGCACAAAGATTTAATCAGTTTAATTTTGGCTATTACAAGAAGTGGGTTATTGATGTAGACAAATCCTTTACAGCTCATTTTATGTATGTTGTTACCAGAGAAGAAGAAAAAGCCAGTCACTCAATACTGACAATATAGTGCTGCCACAGTGAAGTCTAGCAAGTAAACGGGTTTCCTTACATAATTTGAATATTAGGACACTGCTAACGTTTAAATTTCACAGATAGGACATACATGACATATTCATAATTCCTGCAAAGTTCTGCAGAATTTGAGGTTGGCTGCAAAAGGGACATATTATCGTTAAAGGTCTTATACACTTTGATTAGGAGGCTGCATGTGCTTAAAACCCAATTACGATTGATGATTTCACCTAAATATAACAAAATCTAATCGGGCGCAATGCGACATCAGAAATCTTTAAAAATTTGCTCGCTAGCTTGCAAATAAATGTCCACACAATTTCAAAATATGGTGCTAAAGTATTTTGGGGCACGTAAAGGAAAATGTTGAAAAATATTCCTGATAATAATTTATTCTAATGTATAGGGGTATATATATATATATATATATATATATTCCTCTCTCTCTCTCTCTCTCTCTCTCTCTCTTTCTCTCTGTCTTTAAACATATTTTGTAATAAATATGATATATATATATATATAATTATATATATATATATATATATATATATATATATATATATATATATATATAAATATTCAGTGTAAGTACACCTATTAATACATCTAATTTAAATTTTGGCCGCCAAGGGGGGGGGGGGGGGGCGGCGTTGCCAATTCGGCCCCCACCTGGATCCGCCACTGATATGTTGTTGGTAACCTTAGACAGATTATTTTGTGGTATGTACATCCCATTTTGTTTCGGATAAAGCAATGTATTGCTGTTCAATTTTTTTTTTGTCTAGCTGTCAAGTGCCAATTTAGACAGTAAGATTCGTAAAAGTTTCTTTTTTCTTTTCGATTCCAAGTTTTGGAGACACCGTCGCGTCGCTTAGCGATGAAATTGGCAACAATAGTCAAATTTGACTAATAGCCATTATAATACCAAACGAACAACAACATAAGTCATCATTGGCAACATTAACAAAATTGATTGCCAAAAATTGTAAAATTATATCGAAAGAAGAAGAAGAAGTTAATAAATCAAGAAAAGAGCGATATATCTACCCCTGAGTTCTGAAACATCATGCTTCATAAAAGAGGTAAGTAATAGTAGGCACGAAGCCAT